GTGATGCATGCCCCCTTCCTTGGCCCAATCGGATTTATTACGATGCTCACGTCCTTGCCTAGACGCAGATTTCAGTTTTTTGCCGCATTCGCACACACAAGCACACCTCCTGGCTCCTCTTACACATTTCTTGTAGTGCCCATGGCAGTTGTTGTGCTAGCCCTACAGCCCACCAAGATAAGCTCGTTTTCGTTTTTTATGTCACTTTATACCATATTGATCCGTCTCTATCCGTTTAAGGTACTGAGACTTCAAAATTTCATTTTTTAGCCATTGTTTAGCATCTGATGTTAAGGAATAACATTTAGAGTGGTACACTCTATGAGGTACTACTTTGAGAGAACGCCCTTTTTCGGTTGAAATTTTTTCGATTTTTGACTTTTATGGCACCATGCTAAATAAATGAGCACTATAAGCAAAAATCCTGCAATGGATTTTTTTAAATCGACTTCTGACGATTTTCTAACACTCTTAAAATGTTTGCAACTTCTGAGGTATTCTTGAAGTGTGACTGAAGAAACAAATAAACATAATATAATATAATTGAATAATTTCCAGATACGTAAGATACGTTGCATGGCTGTACTTTTTTGCTAGATTCATCGTTGATTTATTTGAAAACTCAAATCATTGAGTCTCAAAGATTTTCTTACCCATTGACATAAGAAGAATTGATCAATAATAGGCTTTGATTTTCGTTTATTCACCAACAAACCTTTTCGTTTCTTTACTGAGAAAAAATGTCTAATTCATACCAAATGTTATCCTTAAAATATCTTTTGATTCTTGTTTTCCAAGATTTTGTTGCTTCTTTATGCATTAGCTTTGCACGGAAGCATCCATGACTGTGACGAGAATATTTCATCAAATGGACATTGATTTCGCTTGATAGAAGTGACGACCCTGTCTTTTATCCTATGCTTGAGGTGTGTCGTAGTCGAAAAAAAGAAGAATGAAATAAAAATAGAAAATCCTGACGAAAGGTTTAGCTCAAAGCTTTTCGTTCATGCGCTTATCCTGAATCGTCGGATATTCTCCTTTTTTACTCACTGCGGTACAAAGAGAAGTTGAGTTCGTAGGTTAAAAGAAGATATCCGAGTATTATGTCCTTTTCTTGTACTCGGGATTTCCAGTATTTTATTTGCTTGCTTCTATTATGGTAGAACCAACACTGCATATTTTGCAACTGTGATACCTCTCAGTTTTGTTTTTGTGTCAAATGTTTCTCATCAGGTTGGTACACACTTTTGCAAAATAAAATAATTTCAAAAAGTTTGTTTAATATGTCTCAAAAAAGTGTTTCAATCCGGAATGAATTTTTTCCTAGATGTATAACTCATCTTGCTTTTTATTTTTGTTTGGGGATTTTCGCTACGAGACAAACAGAAGAGTATTTCATCTTAGTACGACTGCAAAGCGCATGTTCTGCTCTGTAACCATCAAATCAAAAATTTTGATTTTGATCTCAAATTTTTGAAAAACTTGTGCATACTGATGTGCAAACTGAAACAAGGAATGTTGATATTTTTACACATTCCAACACAAATATGAATAGATAAATTGGTCCCATTTCCTTGTTCTTCCTATGTAAAACAGAGGAAGAGCTTCTGAGCATATAAATTATGCCAATGTAATTTTTTATCTTCCTAGCAAAAGAATTTGAATCCAGAATATAATTTTCCTTCCACCTTTTCTCGCTTCTCGCTATCCTCGCACCTCCTCGAATCTCCTTCTGCAAACCTTTCTTGCACGAATCTAAAGCGGCGCTGGCTTTTGAAGTTAATTGGAGCCGCAAACTGGAACAGCTAATCCGATTTATTTACGGCTTGAATCAAGTACGATATCATAAAATGCCATGCTTGGCTTCTGGTTCAGCTGTAAATGCGATAAACGCTATATAAAGTTGCTTTTGACCAAACCAGATCAGTGCCAATCTGCTTTGGGACCGAGCTGATCCCCATACAGTATCCTTACAGTAGTCGAAGGGCATCTATACTATAGTCGCGTAGATAGTCATTTCGTGCAATTGCACAACTTTTATGAATTTGCACTAAGGCAGGCCTGCAACAGTGAAATAACCATTATTATAACAGAAATGCTATAGGACGAAGAACAAAATCAATGTAAAATTTAAAAAATAAGAATTTGGTAAATAGGAAAACCCATAAAGAAAATGCGTCGTATAATGGCTCTATAGTGCAGTTTCAAAAATTTGTGCATTTGCACAAAGTGGCTGTCTGAGTGAGAACGACTGTACTAACTTTCTTTCTACGCTCTAACTTGTTCGAAGTGTAGCAATAACAAACACTAACGCGTCGCTTCCGGGAGCGTCGCGTCAAGAACCTGTTGACCAACTGGGGCGCGACAACGTTTATGAAACAAGACGGATCAAAGATACAGTCAATCCGTCCAGTTATACTGCTCTCCGCTGAAAGCTGAGATAGTTTCTCAGCTTTTTCGCCTCCTCTGATAAAATGCGCGAAACAGCCGTGAAATTGCGCTCGATGCATTACGGAGAAAAACAGGCGCAAAAATTGCTAGCTGATTGATTTGCTTCGGAAATTTGCGGAATTGCTTCACAAATAATTTTTTTTTACACGTAACGCTTTTTACTGGAAAATGTGATGAATTCGGTTGTGTTCTTATTGCTTCCGGTTGCAATTTCCATTCGAAAAAACTTTTTTGCCAATGTGTGCAATTGCACTCCATGAAAGTGTTGACCATGACCATTTATAGTTTTCTCGTATTCCCTTACCTTCCATTTTTGAGCACAGTCGGGTTTGAGAAGCATTAGTGAATGGAAGTCGTGCTTGATTGACCCGGGAGTTCGTATATACTCCATTTCCAACATCCTGAAAAATGTGCAATTACACACATCAGCAAGCAGACCTATTTGACAATGTAGTTGATGTCAAATCGTGCTGCATTTGCACTAAATCAACAAAACTGACTTTTCGAATGCTTGTTTCGAAATTTAGTGAGCTGTGTATTTGGGATTTTTCAGATTCTTCTAGCAAATGCTCATCTTCAACGTTCTCTCCTTTAGAACAATGCGACCACTTCCGATGAATGACGAATATTCTATTTCCTTAAAACCGCCTAGTTGATCATACCAATCATGCCAACAAACATTTTCAAGGCTCTCCCCCCCCCCCCCCACCAAAAGGGACCCCTCGCAAACCAAATACTAAGCGTGCGAGATCCGGTGAAGTGTGGCGAATTTGCGCTATCTCAAAACGTGATCAGGACATTGGCATCGCGTGCTCATAAAGTGTATTTAGACGGTCGCGTTCGCCTCTCCTTCCTAAGCTTATCTATATTTTTTTCCTACTTTTGAATGTAGCGAAGATGCACTAGCAAAAGTCAAAATTTCAGCATGTAATTAACCGACAACATTCTGAGTACGTTAAAAGGAGGAGTCTAATTATAAGATGTTGTCAATTTCAATCATTTAGCATTCGATCGGTCGATCTACCATTCGATTCTCAAATAAGTGTCCATACAAGCAAATCCTATCTTCCTTGCAATAGAGAGTTGTAATGTGGAGATGTCAATGAGACCGGTTCTTTCGAATGTCTTCCATGCTTTAGAAGGAGCTAAGTTAGTCTAGCTTGATCTGATCTCACTCGAAATTCTGCTTTAACGCTAATGCTGGCAGGATAGTGTTGAGCTGAGCCATTCACTACCATTTGTTTCATGTTTACTCAAAATTTTGTTGTTGTGTCAAATGTATGTCAAAAAAATACTGATATTACTGAAAATGTATTTTCTTCCTTTTCCATTCTTTCAATCTGCATATATCTTCCTATCTAAACAAAAAAAGTTCATTGATTTTAAAATGATCGACTCGAGCGGGGGTATACGCAGTTCGACTGTGGCAAGAAGAAAAGAGACAAACTCCAAATTTAGCTGGAACGTGCTGAATTATTTTGAGGTCATACCTCGAATTAGGAGCATGCTCCGAGCCTCATAAGTCAATTGCTGAGTTGAAAATTGTTTAAGAAAGCTCAGAATGAAATTTGCGAGAAGAATGAAGAAAGCAATCGAACAGTTTTCATAAAGACAAAAAAATGCAGTAGGAAGCACTTCATTACAAAAAGTAGCTTGTGAAAGAGGAGATCATAAGCTACAAAATCGTATTTCACATCATTCATACCTTTATATTTTCTTCGTCATATTTCAAATCAAAAATTGTCAACGCAATTTTGGGACACATCTTACTTGTAGAGAGGTTCGATCACCACAAATTTTTCTCAGCTCGAAAAAACAACTCATAAAAATAAAACCAAGCAAAAATTAGATATCGATAGAGATTTTGATAACTATTGAACGAAATTCAAAATCCCCTATTCGGGTACATATATCAATCAGTCTGTAGCTTTGCCAACAAAGAATTTTGGCTCAAGTACTACTAGAAAGTGCAATAAATTCGCTTTCCAAAAAGACTCAAATAAAAATTTTGGATGTTTTTTTAAATTTTTTTGATGCTTAAATTGTAACAACCTAATATTTTTTGATCAAGCAAGTTCCGTAAGGGTTGCTATCTTATTTGACCTCTTAGAATAGTGATAGCAAGCCGAAACAGAGCGGCTGATTTTGCCAGAACAGACAGACGCTATAACATCATCTGACTTTGAACTTGGCCCATAAGCGCAGTAAGAAGCTACTTTACATAGTCTAATACCATTAAACCTCAAACTTTCCCTTACGTTTCACATCCGGTTCCGCAAACCTCAAACCCCTCTATTCCCACGGTCCCATTTTCCCCGTCTTTTTCACATTTCACCTGACGCAATGCTTTCGAATTCTTTTACGGAACAGGCTTCGTATCCTCATTCACCTCATCCGATAACCTCAACGCGCATCAGTTGTGACACTTTTTGCATCCTCTTCGCTCCGCATTGAATCCCAGCAGGTTTATGGGTCTTTTAAACTTTCGAACTTTACGTCGTTCTCACAGTTTTCCTTCCATCGCAATTTGAAGTGGTTTTCCCTTTCCAGGAAGTCTATGTCTCCACTATCGACACCGGAGAAGAAAAAGGACAGATGTTTGGGTGGAACTATTCACTTGAATGTAGGTTTTTCTTTTCACTTTTCTTACAAAAGAGAAAGGAATTCAACTAGCCCTAAGTTTTTGTTTTTCTACCAGTCACGGAAACAATAAGTTCAAACGTTCGAATATTCACGAACGTTTGAACTCATTTAGAGGTCAAAGCCATTACCTTCAAAAAAAGAAAAAAAACTATTGTTGAGTATTTATGTTGCTCAATTTTTACATGTAAAGGAGGAACTTTAGCAGCTCTTATCCAATTTGTATAAAACTTCTCATTAACGTTCACTCTTAGAGCACAGAAAAGCTGAGAAAGTGGTTTGTTTAGTTAATAGTTTTTAGGTGATTTTGTTCAAGATGTTATTAATACGCAGAAAGTCATCCCTACATTTTTTTAGCGTTTAGTTTCCAACATTTTTGTACAATAAATGAGATTCGTTAACACGAAATTGAAAAATTTTCTTCTATTTTTTCGCGATGCTCTCTAAACGGTAGCAATCACTTTTGTTGTTTTACACATGAAGTGCAAGAATCTACAGAGATGGGTGAATTACGTGCTAGAAAAAGAGAAATAAATATAGATGAAATTGTTTCGAAAAATAACTTCAATACTGACGAAAATCAATTGCTTTTGAAAAAAATAGAGAGGGGATTGAGTTGATTCAACAATCTAGTTAGTACACGTACTTTGATGTAATGATATTCTACGGCATACATCTTGGCAAATATTGAGTTGTGATTTAGTCTAAACATACAAATATTTTTCTTTTTCAAAATAACTGTATCTACTGAGTTAAAAGACTGAGGCTCTCGAACAAAAAAATTGAATGATATCGGATTGTAACTTCTGTTACAATTTTGCTTTTGTTGACTTTTCACCCAAGAAAACGTCTATGAGGTAAAAAAATTCCTACGCTTTCTGTATCAGCTTCTATACATACTTACAACGATGAGAAATGTCAATTTTGGGATTCCTCGATAATTTCTGCGGCAGCGGTCATGCCCTTGGATAGACCCCTTGTTCCTAAATGCGAAGCATATAGGAGATTTTCAACAAGCTTGGAGTTTTGCAGGATCAAGAGAAAAGTCAGAGTAACAGAAGTTGTCCGAAGACCTAACAGACCAAAAACACCTCGCACTGCTATGAAAAAGGTTACAAATAAAATTAAGGACAAAATAAAAACAATAGCATAAAAAATTAGAACGAATCAAAAAGAACAGAAAATCAAATGTGATATTTGAAATAACATGAACATATAAACATGAACATGATAACATTTCAGGTTGTGATTGTCCATGCAGGACATCAAAAGCTGGTCATGGTGATTAGAATTTATATTTTTTCTAAACAAGTTTCACTAAATTTGAATGAAACCAAGAATGGAATGATCAAGTCAAAATCAATTCAGTATCATTTCTTCGCCTGATTACAACTGAATTTTTCTAATTTCCTCAGGCCGGAATTCGAATCGTAGTGTCGATCGGTACACTGGTGATTCTGGCTCTCGTTGTGGCATTGTACCTAAAATTCCGAAAAGCACTTTTCGTACTGCTTATCCCGACCGCAGTTACTGTGATGACAGTGGTAGCGATTATCACTAGGAGACATCACCTCGTCTGGCCAATCATTGCAACTTCCGTGAGTTTTCCTTTACTATTCCATTTTTCTTTGGGGAACGGGGGTGGTAGGCGAAAATACACGTGTATCAAAAAAAAATGCTAGTATAAAGGCAATGAGTAGCCTACGTATATGCATATGAAGCGCTATGTACGTGTGCATTAAAATCAGGAACTCAAAAATGTTAGCAAAAATTCAGGTCACAATAGCATGAAAATAGTTTTTCATTTAGAAGCATTTTTGAAGGTGCGTTTCGCAAGTTCTACTCACGAAGTTAGAAAAAGAAGTCTGAAAACTATGCCATTGAGTAGCCGTTCGATTCTAATTTTTTCATGAAAATAAAACTAGCGATTTCAGTTAAAATTTGATATATTGTATCAAAAAATAGCACATGCCATTATGTGTTTCAGATGTTTCACGTAGTGCTCGCATGTTATGCCATACTGATCTTCTCCTTCTACTTCTTCTTCAAACCTTTCTACATCATTATGGTATTGAACTGGGCATTTGACAGTGAGTTTTTCTACCATTACTTTTGTTATCAACAAAATTTTCGATACTTTTCACGAGAACCAAAAACTGCTGCTTATTACAAAGAATTTCCAGCCTTCTGAATGACTAATTACTGTAATTTATTATATTTCACACTTTCAGAGGTGAATGAACTTATCAAACATACTGTGAAAATAATGTAGACGAAGAAATCTATTCATGTTTTCACCATTCCTTTTCACTGTTCAGAAAAAAATCGACTTTTCATGAACATAACGGCAGTAAATAAGAAAAGAAACAATTCAATGCTCGTCTGAATAATATCCATTTACAACGTTTATAACCTCACGATGCGAATTTATGTCCAGTTTAAAGCCTTACAGAGATTGGAAGCCAAGATATGACCATAGCGAACAAAAGTTTAGGCAGACCCTGTCTTGAAAGAATGCTAGAACTAGAAGAACTTGCTTTCGGTTGTAAAATAGATGAACAGTCCTTGTTCCGCGTGTTTTTTTTTGGCCCCATAAAATTTAACACTGCTTTGCTCAAAGGCAGCGTAAAGGCAAATTATACGTCACCTTATTAGTACCTAGCCTTCAAAAAGGACTTAAAGGCAGCGTCCAGGTAGATTCTCGACTTCTATATTTTTATGTTATCCAGGCTTCTCCATGGCGCTGATTCCGAATATGGATATCAAAAAGCGTGAATTCCTCAGAAAACCGCCTTTTGGGGCTATTTTGGGAAAACCCGGACGAGTGCTTCTGATGTTATCCTTGTCGAAAGCAAGAATCTCCTCAGCCTTGACGTGTTTTCACATGACCACACAGTCGAACTTACAGCGTTTACCTGTTAATACTCCTGGTTTTCCCAAAATAGCCCCAAAAGGTGGTTTTCTGGGAAATTCACGCTTTCTGAGTTCTATATTCGGAATCAGCGCCATGGAGAGGCCTGGATAACATAAAAATATAGAAGTCGAGAATCTGCCTGGACGCTGCCTTCAAGATTAGGACATCTGCGCCGGTTCGGTCCTCTCATTCCTCTGAGTGGAAAAAAAAGGATCTATGTAGAACCCGCAAAAATGCTATCAAGCCACTCCCACCCTATCAAGCTCCTCCCATTCAGGTATTGAAAGTCGCCTGTGCCTTCAGTAAAGGGTTCCCACAAGTTGGTTTTGGGAGTTTTGCACATTTTGTACTTCATATCTATAATCAGGGACACGGGAAGATCCCAGAATGACAAAAAACGGAAGGTGAATGGGAGGTTTAGGTGGATGTTGCCTTTGAGCGTTCATATTGAACTTCGAAATGACGTTTGATTGTTCACCTAAAGCTAGAATAGTGATTTGACAAAATTACAGAAACATCTTTTTTGGAAACGAGACTACTTTACAGAACTTTGTGAGGAATTGCGAAGAGGTCACTCGTAATTGTCATTTAGATGATTTGATAGTGGTGTCGCTGCGATGTTACCAAAAAGTCCGTAAAAAATGCCTTTGACGCAAAAGCACGCAATGAATTTTGAGCAACTGTTTTTGTCACCGCAAAAGCCCTTAATTTCGCTAAATTTGCTGGACCATACACATAAATGATGTAATAATTAGACCAAATACCCTATAATCATTAAGGCCCTCCTTCTGAATCTTATAACGTCCCCAGCGAATATGCGCACCAGAACTTACGAAAGTGCAATTTTGCAGTGAATTCGTTATAAGGAAAGTTGACGTGTGATGTAGAATTCCAATATTTGTCTCGCAATACAAGCAGCAGCAAGTCTCTCGTGGTTGTACAGCTGCACTTTTGCTAGTCTGTTTCGCAAAGATCCTGCACAACATTTGCACTTTTTATAAATTTCACTAGACGCATGCCCTTTTCATTCACTTCACCTGCGTCAACTTTAGTATATTCACTATACTTTTCCTATATCACGATAAGGGACGTAAAAGTCATACAATGAAAAAATTGAGCAGGAGCAACCTTGTGCGACGCACTTTGTCTTTTCTTGGTTATTTATAAATGCAAGAATGAATCATGACCTAGTTTTTTTTACATCAAAAAAATTTTCGCTTTCTCATTTTAAAGTTTCATCCACTGTCGATTGGCAAATGTGTGATGTGCAATTGCACAAAAGCGAAATCAATGTCTACAATTAACGCGCAACTCTGTCTGAGAATTAACGGTCATTAAGAAGTCTGGTTGTCTCTGTAAGGCAAATTTGAACCGTAAGATCTCAAACCTGTTTTTAACATAGACAATCAAAAGAATTTTTTAAGTTTTTTGTGGAATTTTAAAAATTAAAAAAAATCAAAAAATTCCGTCTATATCGAGCCTGAGAAGGAGTTGCAAAATTTCCAAAAAAAAAATTTCAGGAAGATGTAGTCGACACTATGCCTCTTCTTGTATATAAAACCACAATGGCTCTCCCTCCCCTCCCCCCCCCCCCCCGTCACTAGAAAAAATCCGCGACGTCGCAAAGTGTAAGTAGGTACATGGAGTAGGATGATGCCATTGCCCTTTTTCATGTAAAGATATGTGCTGGAGTAATAGAAGAATGTTAGCATTGATAATATACAGTATGGCCTGTTTCGCCTCTACCCCTATACAGGTATCAAGAAGAGTAGACCACTCCCGAGGCTCTTCAGTAGGGAAGAGTGGCTTGAATGGAAGACTAATGGTTTGGCCTTGGGTGTTGCTGTATTTATACCTCAAGGTTTATATACCATTCGGGTAGAGCAAAATAATTATGATCCACGATCTGAGACATAAAAATCAAGTTTTTGAATTATGCACTTTATAAAATGTTGTATAAGTTGTATACAAACCATAACTTCCTCCCCCCCCCCTCCACAAAAAAAAATTCCGCGACAGTCAAGTCGTCCTTTATTCATGAATTATAAAAGTATGTATTGACTGTGTGTTTGGAAATCATGCGGCAGCTCTAATTTTTTTATGATATAAATTTTTGTTTATATCAAGTACAACAGGCAGCAACTGACAATTTAGCATTTGCAAATTTAAGCAAACGAAATAACACAGAGTTCGTACCCATTTTCAGTAGAAAAAAGCTACAAAAGTAAAGTTTGTAGGAAGTAAAAGATTTTCAGCTATTATGAATCCGCAAAGTATAAAATCCTATGTGAGATGTCCTTGAGAAGCGTAGGCAATCATCTCTGCTACTAATCATTCATAACAAAAACTTTGACAACGACATCGAGCATGATAGATGATGGCGCAGAGTGTGCGAGTCCGTGCAAGTGTACTTGACAACTCGTTCTCTTTTCGCTGCCGTTCCACAAAGTTGGGGGACGAAAAGAAATTTTTAGCTGCCTTACTACTTCACTTGAATAATCAGAAGTGATTTGCTTGCGTTGTAGAAATAATCATGACAATAGAAAGTTTTTTTCCCAGTTTTTTTGGCGACCTACTTCACCAATAAGTTCCACAAGAGAATATCTCTCAGTTTTGATTGGTATTTTATCAGCCATTTTTCACTGTCAAAAAGGAACAATTAGTTGCAAGTGAACCTTTTGAACCTGGAAAAGCATCATATACAGAAGCTATAAAAATTCAAGATCAAAGGTCAAATGTATTTATTCCGCAACTTCTTACTGTGAAAAGCACAAAGTAAATACTTCTCACTTGAAATCTCTCCCCCTCTCCTCGCCTTCCCGGGAGCTCGAGAAATTTTAAAATTGACCGGATGAATTATAAAATTGTGGTGATTTATTTTTATTATTTGTAGTGTTTTTTTTTTCTCAAAAAGTTAGCTTGGTTTTTAAATTCTTAGATTTCTAAGCCCACGAAAATTTTATAAACCACTCCCAAATTCTTTTCGACCTTGCTTGACCCGTTCACAAGCAACTTCTGTCGCCTTTTCCCTCACTCCCTCCCCCCTCCCACTTCTCTTCCCTGAAGAATTTGCCGAATCGCCAATGTCTAAACGAAATTAGTAACTCCACTCCTAGTTGGAAAAAATATTTTGCGTGTGTTCATGTTATGTTTTAAGAATCTAATTTTTTCAAGGAATTTTCTTCTAAATGGAGGTAGAAAGCTTTTGAAGCGAACTAAATAATCTGTTTCTTCAGTCTCTATATAAAAATCAATCTGTATGTATCTGACTGGGCAGATTCCACGCTATAATAGGAAGGCATAATCTTTTGATGAATTAGATTTACTGCAGTGCCGCATTTGGAATTCAGTTTGACACTATATTAAAGGCTAATGCGTAAATCATTAGTAAGTAGTTCCGTTTATTCCTCCCCCCCCCCCCCACTCGCAACTCCCCTGCTCTCATTTGAGTCAATACGACACATAGACAAAAGAGCAGATCAAAATAAGTGACGAGTATGTGTTTCCCTTGGTCTCCTAGGCAATATAGTATTGTAATGCTTCATTATGATGACAGGGCAAGCCATAAAATTAAACATGATGTAGAATTCGCTATTTTAATCGAAAATTCTCAATACAGATATCGATCCGAGCTTCCAAAATTTTTAATTTAATAGCAGACATCAAATTTTTGATCGTACCACTTTTATAAAGCATGAAGGCATTGGCCAGGTAAATCCTTGACTCCAGCTTTTTTTCCCATTTCGATAGCTTTTCATGGCCCAGATTTTGGGTGTAACCTTTATAGTGTCACGCAAAAAAAAACCTTTTTAGTGCGTGTCATTTTGAAATGTGAACGATTGCCAGGCGCTATTTTGACAGAATCAAACAAAAACACAGATGCACAGCATAAGTATTGATTTTCCTTGCCATGTCAAAACGCGTTGAGAAGAAATCGCCGACTGGGCGGGATTGAAGTCACGCCAAATATTATAAAAGGGCGCGGTCGCCATGGACCATGAACAGCATGCAATGCTTTCAATGGTATTGTTGAGTTGGTCATTCCTGTTCTGTCATTCAATTCTGTAGATTCGAAGGAATTTTATCAAGTTTCACTTTTTTCTGATTAAAAGCCTTTACTATCCCGTTGACTTTTGAAAATATTTACTATCTTTCTAAAATCCACTTTTGTGACTTTCACACCTAAATTTTTGTCCTCTAGTGGATTGAAGCTTAGTGATTTTTCGCGTAGAAGTTTTGACTTCTTTACTACAAGAAGAGAGACTGTGCCATTCAGTTGGGGAATTTCCGGAATTTCATGAATGCCTTGATATAAAATGTGATCTAGAGCACTCCAGAATTTTGAATTTGATAACTGAAGGATTCGCCAACCATTCAAGATACCATTTGTTTCTCTTCATGCTTGAACACCCATCAGTTGCACATCAAAAACGTTTTAGCGTTCTCGTTTTCTTGATTATTTTCAAAATTTTACTGTTTAACATTTTTATACTATCTCGTCCCATAATGTTTTTCCTCAGAAAAGATCCTCTTCGGTTCAATAACCTTACTCTTTCTGTACTTACTAGACAGTTCCACAGAAACCGAAATTTTAGGCGAAACCGAAACCGAAAAAGTTGATGAAAGTGGTTTTTAGCCAACCTAACAATTTCGACTTTTTGCATTGAACTAGTCAGCACATACGGCAAAATTTCAAAAAAAAAATCAAATATAGGTATAATCACCTAGTGCCATTGATTTCCATAGCGACAGCTGATATGGTCCATTCTTGCCAGAAAATCCCAGATTAAACCTCACACCGTATTTTACAAAGGACCAGTTCCTTGAATGCGGTAGAAATTCCCGTCAGAATGTGAATTTCGAAGTGAATTTCTGGCAATAAAAAAAGTCGTGTAAGATGTCTTGAGCCATGGCTTATTTGAGACCACCATCAGTATCCTCAAAAAAGTTCAGGTATCTAAATCTACCGACACTTTCTTTGATCACCATCATCCAAACTTTTGACATGGTAGAAGGCAACATCGATGTCATTACTGTCCCGCGCAAGGAGGTTTTAGAAGCCAAAAGAAAGCGAACATAAATGGTGCGGGTGTTTCTCGCGAGCACTTCTGCTGCTAGTATCGGTCGCAGTTGCTTTCAAGCCTTATTTCTTTCCTTTATTATAACAATCACAGGAAAAGCTCAGTCTAGAAATTCACCTGAGCTTAACCGTCTCGCTTATTTCGAAAATGCAGCTTCAAGAGCTCAAAGCTAACGAAAATGTATAACGCGCACTGCACCTTTGTATGGGTGGGATCTGGAAATGGAGGTTCGGTACAAAAAAAATCCAAAAGTGAACATCACATTTCGTAGCACATCACACCAGTGGCGTACCCAGGATTTCCGTTCGGCGTGGAGGAGGGGGGGGGGAGCAATAAAAAAATGTTCTGATGAAGGTACGTAGCATGAGCCACGCACGCCGAAAAGTAGTTTGATATGCTTTCTAAAATTTTCGCGGCCTTTAAGCCCAAAGTTAGAAGGGGATGGTCACGTCTTCGAAAAAAAATTTACTGAAGCTAGACTGTTTAGAAAAAATTTCCAGATTTTTCAATCTTCTACAAGTGTGAACCAGTCATTGCACCTTTTTATAACTCATGCAAGTAACTTTCAAAAATCTTGCGACCCATTCTCAAGGAAAGGGGCTCCCTCCACCCCTCCCCTCTTCCCTCGGTACGCCACTGCATCACATCAATAGCAACTTCAACGAAAATATTGAAAGACTGAAACTTCGAAGGTTCTCATTATACAAAAAAATAAGCTTGTAAAATAGCGCGTGAAATCAGTGAAGGCTAGTTCCGGGCGGAGGCGGATGCTACATAAAGGAAGCGCATGCAGCGCGACGCGTTAGAGGTGCCCGCAAGTAAGCTCAAAAGGCTATCTTTAGAATCTGCAACATTTACGCCGTTTGTCAGATTACAAATCAGCCGCGCCTAAAGTGCAACTGCGGGCGTGCGTGGAGTCTTTTTTGGTAGAGGCACTTTCAAGATCTCAGTATCTACGCCTCTAGCAATCGCTAACTCCCTTACTCTGGAAGAACTCTCTCGTTAGAAGCTTGAGCCATCGAGCGCGACATCTTGCTCACAATCGAGACATTTATAACTTATTGTGTGTACTGCACACCACGCATGGCGTCCCATGACTTGCGAATGCATGAAGTTCGAATTTGTAGCAGCTTAGTTCGTTTTTTCATGTAAAGTCGACTGCACGAAATCGCCCGGGTCACTGTAGGTTGAACGCACGCGAACGTGCCTGCAACGCGGCTGCCGAGTAGAGGCTATGATGACGCAAGCGCGCGAATGCCAATGTTAGCGCGCAAGAGACACGCGCGCCGGCGTTCAGTTTGGGCGATCCCCTGCAGGGAACTATATAAGCAGTGCAGACGGTAAGTGTAGGTAGTAAAGTTGAAGGTATGTAGTGTCGTGGTGCCGACATTTGCCGACAACACTTGCGCGTAAACAGATGGCCAAGGACAGAAAGAACACGAAAATGTGCGCTCTAAAGCCATTCTGCACGCGCAAACTGACAAGATTTCGAGCGTAGCGATTTGTTCACGAGCAATTGTTGTCGACAAACACAGGTACACCATATAGCCTACAGAAATTACTTGAAGGTTTCCATAAACACTTCAACAGGAGGCCGACAATGCTTCACTTATAAGTCATCGAGCCGTATGTAATTTAATATGCGTATTGCACAGTGTGCGCACTACTTGACGACTTGTAAGAATAGAATCTGCTCACTTTCACTGATTTTTCCTTGCTTTACTGTCTTTTAAATTGGCTGGAAATGCATGAGTAGCGTACGAACTTCTACACTGCTGCGTTAAAAAAGGTTTTATTTCATAGAGGAGTCGTCGGTTGCCGCGCATAGTGTGCAGACTCGCATATCACGTTACTAATGGATGAAAACACTTCCAAAATTTTCATCATCTTAATATTCTACAGCTTCTTAGATAACGAGAAAATCTTTGTACAAACCAATTTTCTTCCAGCTCTACATACGGACAAGACCGATTCGTACTACATCCAATGCAGCGTCATCTTCGCCAGTCTAACGATCTTTCTTGTCTACAATTGCTGGCAAGCCATCATCTCGTTATCCTATCAAGAACATCTACGACTGACGCGACCCAGCTATTCGCCCAGACCTACCGTATTGATTGTGAATAAGCAACCCCAATATTAAGGATGAGCTTTACTCCATTATTATCTCCCCCCCCCTCTTCGGCTCAATACTAACATATCGTGTCGAGGCCACCGGTTAGCTGTAGCCTCTCTCTTTTGCCCTAACTTATTCACTTGCCTTGCTAGCTTTACTCCACAGTTCTTGTTGAGTGTTGTATGATCCCAAATGCCTTTCCCATTGTGTCTTTAAGAAGATACGATCTCTATTGTAATCATTATGCACTGCCAACGATAACGCGAAGAAAAAAATGATTTCAATCGATTTCTTTGTTCATCATCGACCTCACCAAACTACATATTTAACGACGAAAAAAAAGGAAGGCTCAACAAAACAAATTTGGAGTAAAAAAAGTATCAATCAATTAATCAGTTATCATATCATATAACAAACATCATCACAAATGTACACATAGGGTCAGAGACCTACAAATTCACCGTATGCGAGATAGTAAGATGTGATGTTCACGTTGATGAGGATTGCATCGCAAGGGGCGGGTGGGGGCGTTTCTTATGCTTAATTAAAGGGTTGTGGGAGGGGCGAGAGTGTGGATAAAAAGCAGGGGGCGGGTCGGGAGTGGAGTTGATTGCTTTGGACAGATGGACACACGCACACACGGACGCACATACGAGAGAGAGGTGAATGGGGCGCGAAAATCAGGGGCGGGACGTGGGATCGCAGGGTTAAAGGCTTCTCGATTTCGATTGCAAGCGAAGAGTGATACTGCGCGGATACGAGGAGATCATTGAACCATCAAAACAAGGCACAACAGCCTCTGCTTAATGTCTAGTGGAAATGTGCGATATACGAGTGGGGAGACAAACAGTTAAAAGATCATCAGACGAGTTATTGTGTAACAGACGACATGAAGAGCGCAGATTGGACATACATAAATTAAAATTCCATCCATTCTGCTCATAAAACACCAGCAAATTCCCTCTCTACTGACAAGTTACAAGTGCTTTGAAGAAGTTCGTCGCGTAGTCGCCATAGCGCGCGTACCACATCATCCTCGCGTGCGACAGGCCGACCGCGCGATTCCTGAATAGCATGAAAGAAGTGTGATTATGACATCCAGAAACTGACTAGAAGATACGAGAAACAAACGAAAAAGCAGACTCACCCTGATCCAGTGGGTCGGTGGTGGTCGGGCTGCATTTGGCTGCGCATTGCGCGGATTTGTGTTCAATGATGCGTCCCATTTGGAGACACTGCGCTGACGATTCGACGAAAGTGATTCGATATACCTAAGATGATATCATTTTGGAGACATGCCAGTAACGATGAGTAAGAAAGATAAAAGGAAAGAATTTCAAACATCTTCTAAAAGTAATGTGTGCTATTGAGCTTCAACTAGCTGATAATGTCAAAATATTTTTATAATGAAAAGCAGATCTCAGACACATTTAGCTATAGGCTGCTGCATGACGAAGGCGCAATATCTTCGGGCGCGAACGCGGCTTCATTAGCCGCAGAGCGCATAAGCGAAGGAGCTGAATCAGCAATCGTGAGGATACGCGCGCGTCGTGTTCGCGCCCGCTTAAGTGACACCGCTTCTGCGCCTTCGTCATGCAGTAGCCTTTACTTGAAGCCCAACTTAGCCTACTCTCGGACCACCCACGTTAATGGGCGGCAGACATGTCCGCACTTAACTTCTGGAGTGAGCTTCTCGCTTTAGAGTTCAACTTGGGCAATCAACTTAGGGGCCCGCTATTGTACCAAACTAAGATCTCACCGCCCCTTAACTTGGGTAGAGATGCCTCTAACGACTGAACCGTCGCTGATCGAAAGAGTTTCAAAATGATGTAAAGTATGTCATCCCCCACCTTTCCCCTACCCCCCCTTTCACATAGCTATGTTCCAGGACCGCAATATTCTTCCCTGCATACTTTTTTTGACATGACCGAGGTGATCAACAAATATATTACGACATTATCTCCCAACACAACCAGTAAGATAAATCAACCTAAAGTCACAGCTGCTCGCTACTTCCAAATAAAAACTTTGGCAAAATTTAGGCAAGAATGTTCGCAGGTCACTGTTGCCCTACAGATCTTGTAGTCGACTTACCTAAGATATGTCTCCGAATGTAAGACTCGCCGCGCATGTACGGATGATGGTGGCGCTACAAATACAGGCTCTGCGACCTGTGCTTTGACGATCGTGCGCCCTGGATCAGTGATTGGTGGTTGCACCGACGATGATGGCTGAGAAAGACAAAATTCATTCCGTTAGGATGTCACAACTATGCTATCACTCACGAAATGGCTCCTTACCATAGGTGCTTGTGAACACGAAGGCGTAGCTTGATGAGCGACTTGGGGAGTCATTTGAGCAGTAGGAGGTTGCTGATGTTGTATTGGTGACTGAAATTACTTCTATTAACCATGGCGATTTGATAAAATTGCTAGGTAACTTACGGGGTAGTGATGTTCGCCATTGAGGTGAGGAGGAATTGCATTTACATGTCCATTGACGTGGGGAGTTTGGGAGGCAGTCGCTGCTTGGGGTGTTTGGAGTCCGATACCTCGCCCATATGGGATGTGAACAAGGCTGCTTGCCTGGAAACCAATTGATTTAACTAAACTCAAATCATTTAACTTAAATCAATTACACTTCTGTCATAAAAGGTTATGCATAAAATTTCTCAACATGCGGTTTAAACTGCCAAGATAAAAGAAGGCAAAAATCATACATCACAAGATAGTATAACTGAACTCACCGCTTCGCCACCAGTATTTGGCTGAGTTGAAAGCTTGAAGAAATTCCTTCCTATCTGATTCGGATAAACATTTTTCATCGACGAAGCGAGATGCTTTTCCTGTAAAAGCATCGAAATACCATAAACATAGAAGCACTTTCACATTTTATTACAGATCAATCGATATTAGTGTACTAATGAGATACAGAATAAACAATTTCTCCAACCTTCATGTGCCGATGAAGACGAGGTAGTGATGGGAAAGGCTTGCCTTCTTTTCTGTTACGTACACAAGTAACCCACATGCATACATATTGCTGGTCACTATCCACTAAAATAATTCATATTTTATTTCCCAATACGGTTGAAACGTGATCAAAAGTGCGATAAAACCTACTAATAATTTGACTTGTATGATGTTGGACTATATGTTCATATAGGCCATTTTCGCTGTCGAATTGTGAGTCACAATTGATCCACTTGCATTGATAGATGCGAATTTGGCCGGGCTAAAATCAACAAATGCAGGCACAAAATGTTTCCCTAACAAATTCCACACAAGACTTCACACTAGTCTATGAAAAATCTTTCACCCCATCCAATGAAAAAAAAGACAACGAGAACATACTTGAAGCGATTTCTCGGTCGCAGCTCGCGCCGCTTCTTGTTTTGCACGTTCACTTGCGATGTATTCTGCTCTGACTTCATATTGCCTCTTTTGGTCATCGGACAACTTCTTCCACTAAATTGAACAAATCAATAATCGATAACCTTGATTCACTGTTAATATGAACTTCAAAAAGCACCAATCACATCTAAAGATTACTGAAGCAAATAAATTCGACGCTACTCCCGTATCCGGGCCAAAAAGTCGCTCGTGAATTTTGCTCGAACTAAATCTAGGTACTCGACCGCTGATGAAAATCACACCAATTTCGCGCGGTAGCGGCATTTTCTGTGATTACTGTAGGTATGCGGTAAAGAGACAAAATCACGGATTGGCTGGAATTCGTCCCAAAGGGGTTTTCTGACATGTTGATGGCGGATACCATGACCTTTTCACATGGTGAAACCTTTTCATGGAACGGCTGCACGTCAGGAAGTCCATTCGCGCAAAATTCGCGCCGATCGTACCTCCTGACCGTACCCTCATGGGACTACTTAGATATACGGTATGGGGTCAAAACCATGGAATTTGCTCCAAACTTAATCCGAGGAGAGAGGGAGTATTTGCCTCGCTGATTGTGAACTGATTTCGTAGGATATTGCCATTTTCTCGGGTTACGGTAGGCATACAGTGAATAAGTCGAAGTCCCAAAACTCAGCCTTTGTCCGAAGGGGTTTTTGAATATGCTGACTGCGAATATCACGCTTGCTCGCTGCAATAATGCCTTACAATGGAATTGTGGTGATTGGCAGCATATAATTAGACACTTTTCTGCTTCTCGGGCCAGTTTAGTTTCCAAAAACTTTGATAAGCACGATAATCGTGCTAAGCACGGCCTGATACCCCCTGCAAAGTTTCAGGCAGGGTTATGGCTTTGACCCCCTACCATATATCTACCGTAACTCCGCGAAAAGTTCCCAAAACGCGGGGAGATAAGATATTCGTGATCAAGATATCGAATAATCTCTCTAGACCAAACTCAAGGAAGTTTGTGATTTTGATCCCCTACCGTAGGCCTACCGTGACCTCAGAAAATGGCGGGCCGAAACACTCTAGAATGAGTCTGAGTGAATCACGACTTTGAAATTCTGAAGCCCGCCCCTATTTTCAAGGTGCTATTTGCACGCACTACAATGCTCAAGAGTAGTGAGAAACCAATCCATCTTAGCACACTTCACAAGGACACGCCCACAAGGCTAGCAACTTCAAGACGTCCATTTCAAAAGACAGCCTTCGCCTCGCTAACATAAGAAGTTTCGAGAGAAATTCTATGCTCTAGCGAGTTCTACTTAGGTGACTAAATAATGCACTTCTCTGCCTGTGAAATGACAATTGATTCGCCAATCAGCCCATTTATCAAATTTTCCAATCAACAAATTACCTCGATTCCTACGATCTTTGATACTTCGCCAAAACCAGAGTCTGGATTCTCGTGCATAATGCGTTTCCTTATTTCGGCTGAGAAGAGGATGTAACCAGATTTGCTTTTTGCTGTTAATTTCGGTTGTGCAGCAAGCCAAGTCGACATTACACCGGACTGAAATTGTAAGCAATTAGTGTGGCCGAACATAGCATTGATAATCCTTTTAAACAATTTTTATGTCTGATATACAGCCAAGCTTTTTAACTGCAAACTCATGTCAGCGGCAAAACTCATAAGTTGCAACGATCGTAGCGCTTTGAAAGTGCTTCTAAGCACGCAATTTAAACCTAAAAAATACTTAAATGACAAGCAGCAAGTAAGAATCTCTTTTCTCTCATGCAGCCCCCATTCTGTTAGTTGCCCTACACACGTCAACACAACTTTTTTTGCTATCTAACCAGATAATCTCGAGAATCCCTGTCGATAACAAAGTGTCTATGCAAGCCTAAAGATGATCGCAGCTGCGAAGCAGCGCCCAAGTTCGGCGCACACCGTTCGACGATCACTGCATAACGTACCTTACTGGCAGTTGACTCAGCTCCGTCAGTGTCATTTTCATCCATGTCCATGTCCAATTCTGATGGACCAGTTGATCCGTTACGAGCCAACGGTGACATTTCCTAAAAGCAAAACACATTGCAGTCAACATTCTAGGATGATGACACGCCCACCCACGCCCCATTCAGCTGTGCGCCAAGTTCAAAGAACAGATTTTAGTGTCGAATAGGATGGTGAGCGCACTTTGATCAGAATTTCAAACCAAACCACCCTTCAAGAAGCTTAAGCATTACTCGTGTTGGTCCCTACGCATTCACATGAAAAACGTTTTCACTGTCATTTTCGATATGAGTCCGGCTCGAACATATGAATATGAGCTTCGTTTTGATATGAGAATTCGGATCTGCATACGCTCGAACAAAGGACGGCTTTATAGACACATTAGTGATAGCTAATTTAATCAAAAGGCAGACTTGATGTTTCGATCCGTAAAATTTTATTAGCGCGTGGGTGCGTGCGTCGTCGCATTGAAACGCTAGTGCGTCGAAGTCACTGTCAAATGCTACACATAGTTATAAAATGTGAATGTACCTTCTCCATGACTATTGGCGTTCGGAAGATGAACAACTCAGCATCCGGCAGATGTGCGCCCTTGTATTGCTGAAACATACATCGTCAACAATGGGAGTGCAACATGCGCGCACGATAAGTGCGAGGAACTCTCAATAAGGTCAAAGCATGATAACGATACGGAGCAGGCGAGGTGCAGGAGCGCAAGAAAAAGCCCTTGGCGGGTAAAATCAGCCGGAACTGCGCGGAAGGCGCTGCCGACGGCGCCATCGGGCAGAGTGCACCGAGACCGGGAAAAATGACGTTCTCGGTGAAAAGCTGTTGGGGGATCCGCGAGTGCACGGCGGTGGTGGCGGGCGGGCGCCGCCACAGCCGCCGTGGTACCCGCGTCCAGCAGCATCGGCGGTGAGCGAGAATCGCAGGCGCGATGTAGGCGACAAAATCGCAGCAACATGGGGAGTCGCACTCGCATCTCGAGCTCGACGTCGCCACCGCGACCGCCCGCCAGGCCAGCACAGACGACGCGCGCACTGCGCCGTTCGGCCCCGATTCCGTGCCTCTCCCCGCCGCCCGCACTGCCTAGCGCTTGCCCCGTCGGCCCTGTTCTCACACCATCTGCTGCTGCCTCGACAAATCTCTGCGACTCCACGTCTGGCCCCGCTATTTTCCCCCGCCATCGTTTGCTGGAGCCTCTTTGCGATCGTTGTGTCTGCCCCGTGCAAAATCGATGGCCTATCGTGCAAGCAGCCCCGGCCCCCATTATTTGCGCCACGACTGCGATGGATCTGCGTCTCTTCGCTACGCGCACTCTCTCCGCATACTTCAATGAAAGTTGCGAGATGTTATAAACTCCTCGAAAGAGGCTTCTTCTCCTACAAATGCAGCCATAACCTTTGCTCACACCTCTACACGCCATTGATTCGACATCTCTACAACAATCTCATGAAGGATTCCGTGCCGCCGAACATCGCACGGATGCGGAAAGTCTCTCGCGGCATATCATGGCCGCGCCTACCGCACCCACAGCACGGAAGAGAAGTTCTACAGCAGGCAGACGAGGCGCCCGCCCTCCATCCCTTTCACACGCACTTTCTCACGCTCTATCATGCCTTTCCCACGCTTCTTCATCACTACGATGACACCGCTGCAACTAACAAGGCGCCCTACAACACGAAATCGCACAAACGCAATCGCTTAGGTCACTTAGGTCGCTTAGGTCTCACCTTGAACTTCCGCAGTGGTTTTGCAGAGTCAATATGCATTGGTAAGCCGCCATTTAGAGGATCATAGTTTTCGTCATCGGCAGCGGTCTAGAATAGACACAATCTAGTATGACGTAATAATGCAATCGATTCGAAAACAAGAAGATGACAAACTTTTTCCACTGGCTTAATAAAGAGCGACGACGGTTCGCCTTTCGCAAAAGAATGGCCCGGTATGCGAGAATCGCACACAAAAACGTCACATTCAGGAATCTCCGTCGGACGTTCTGGAAAATAAATCAAGTGTATTATGAAGACAGACTCAAACATAGTGTAAAACATGCCTTTCACAAATTCCTTCGGTGTTAGCACTGCACAATGACTTTGAATGTCCTCAATTCGTCTAGTTTGGTCAGGTTGGTCGACAGCGAATACCTGAGAGCGAAACACACGTCAGTGTATACATTGTCATCGTTCCGTTGCCCTTCTTTTTTCAACTAAGCTGTTAGCAATCGATACTGCAAGCTCTTGGCCTATCATTTTTAGGTTTTCCACCTACGATAAGCGTCCGCAACTTCAACTTTTCGCAGGAGTTCGAGGTGCACAATTTTAACAAGCAAAGGGGCTTACTAAACTTGAGTATAAGACAGCTTGTTAAACCTACTCATTATGAAGTGCATTACATACAAGCTTAGTATCTTGCGCCGCTGCAGAAATCACTTTACTCCCCATTGCAAATACTGAAAAAAAGGTGTCTAGCAATACCACAATAACGAACTTAGCGCAGAAAGTGCGAACTATTCGATGTTAGGGCACGACTGCATGACTCATTCAGACCCATAACAATACTATGGGATCGCCTGACGCAAGTGATTATAGAAAAGCAGATAGGTTGCTCTTACAGATTTGAAAGAATAATGGGGGAAGGAATGAAAGATGCATCATTGATCAATAGTCATTTTCGTAGCTGCAAAAGCAGGGAACATTTTCTTCGAAAATGGCAGAGCTTGTTCAGGAAAACTGCGTTTCTGACTGCCTAGCAGCACTGGAGGTCCCAAGATTTCCATTCCGGGGAGGGGGGAGAGGGGAGGGAACAAAGAACTTCTCTTGATAGCAAGTGTTTCAGAAAATTTGTGGGCCAACAGAAATTCAGAAAGAAGGGGGCGGCAACCATGTTCCCAAAAAAATTACAGGGCTAATCCAAAGTCAACAATATTATTTTATTCATGTACAAGTAAAAACAGGTCATTTGCATATTTTTATGACTTAATAAGCAGTAATATTAGTGTAAGCAATTTTCGAAAAATCCGCGGCCCATTTTCGGAAGCTTCACTTTTTTTCAAAAATACCGAGGTGTATAAGAGACATGGCGTTTGAAAGTCCAGAATTAGTGAACAATTTTCTTCACATTGTACTCATAACCCCTCACTATAACTCCTTTCATTCCTGACCTCTCCCAGTCATCAACATCAGATAAGTGTTCACAGTGTAGCATAATCTGTGCAATGCGGATTACGCACATCAATGTCTAGCCCATATAAATTTAGATCAGAAGACAAAGAAGGGTAGGGCAAAACCTCACTACAGGTACAATAACCTTATTGAAGCGAACGGTGAAAGCCCCTACCTCTCGTATATAAAACATCCTTCCAGCATCATGCTGTATGTCGGCTGGTCTTGCTAAATAACCTCCGCTGAACCATTCGCTTCCACTAAAGACATCACAATCTCAAACTAAACGACGAACGCCACTACAAAAACTCACTCCTTCTCTCTCCAAAGCTTATCTATCCGCATGACATCGCACGTCGGCCTCTGGGGATTGAATACAAGAACAAACTGGCCAACACCATGGTATTTGCCGCTTTGAGTGCGCATCGCATAAAGGTAAGTGCGTCCATCCGCATCAGCTTCTGATCGAGCAGGAAGCTATAAAGAAATATCATAATAAAGTGATAATTATCATATTGCAAAATATGTCATACTTCAGGTCGTTCGATATCCAATACCACCGAGTCTCGAAGACGATCATCTTCTTCCGAACTTGAAGACGAGTGGGTTTGAGATTTCTGAAATACGCTTTGCTATAACACTGCATGAAGATTATAACCATAGAACAAGCGGCAGATTATTCATCCATTAACTTGGAAAGTAACACAATGCATCAAGACAAGAATTATCGACTGCTGCTCTGACACATACTAGTAAGCCTTTTCCCGATTTTGCAATAAAAAATCTTATAACAGACTGGCTAGCAGCCAAGAATTTGAGAAAGTACTTCTATGCAAAGTCCGCAAATGACAATTAAGAACGTGCACTGAAAGTAGCCGCTGCTGCTTGCGCACATTGTATCGCTGAGGACATGCAGACGCCGCACAAATACTGGGCGTGGCAAGTGATAGTGCGTTTTCAGACTTTTTTGGCTTTCGTTTGAGAAATATCTTGTTTCTTGCACAGTTTCTGCTGGAAAATCAACCCAGACTGAAAGTACCAAAGCTAGTTACCTCATCGTCTTCTCGTTTCGCGACACCATCCGCATTCACAAAATCACTCGTTACACGTACAGGAGAGATTGGGCGAGATCTGGGAGTAAGTTTGAGCTTCTCTTCTTCTTCGGGGAAAGGCCATGTCTGAAAACATCCAGCATCCTTTACGGTTTCCTTTACATGGGGATGATAACCTACCTTTATTTTGGCAAAATAGCGGGGTTTTCCTAAGTATCGGCACTCACAAACGTAGAGATCACTTGGTTTTACTCCTTCAACTATATTATGTAATGAGGTCTTCACAGACACAACCATACAAAGGCCGCTGAGTCGTTCGGCAAGTACGGTATCGATGAATGGAGTGATGAAAACCTAAGGAAGTAGTTTTGCCATCAAAACTGATGTATATTAGTACAAGTCCAAAAATACCTCATTCTCAATGAACTTCCGATTGGCCAGGTGCAGAGTTTCGTGTGGTCTATAAACCCATTTTCCTCTCACCATCATTTCTCCGGTGTCAGTTCTAAATGTAAGTCGATATCTCTCATAAACTCTTCGGATATGATAAATGTACTTGAAAATCCGCTCCACTCGAATAATATGGGGAGGTGCGCGATGATTGTCATCCGTTCGAGATATGTAGGCGTACGATGGTATAGTATACTCAACGCCATCAAAATTCAGTGAGTCCAAATCAACCTCTCCTTCCTTTAACAATACGTGATAAAAAAAACACCAAGTGAATCATGAGAGATTAGCTGCAAACCATTCTTGCACAATTTCTTGCACAAAAAGCTAACGATAAGAAGATTAGATTTGCAACGAGGATTTGTAAGTATGGATAAAAATAAACCTGTTTTTCTATCTCTTGATCGTTGCTTTCCCGACGCTGAATCTCCGCCTCTTGATGCATCTTAGATTTCCGCAGCTTTTCTACGGCCTCCAGAACATCCTAAAATGAAGATGTGAACATTTCCACAACGCTATAGCTACTATGACATACATTCTCTATGGCAGTGAATGCTGTTGAAACAAGAACTCCTTTACATTGAGCATCCCTTTCTTTGATGAAAGCCAGCTGTAGCTCAGTGGCATCTTCGAATAGCTGCAAAAGATTTGAATCTGGGTAGATATCAAAACCACAAATAACACCCACTGGTGGCGTGGATTGAAATAGTAAAAAAAAAAAGAAATAATATACCTTTGAATCACTCCTGCTAAGTTCACGTGCACGATCGAAAAGGTCAAAGAAATCTTTTTGAAAACGATCTAAGCGCCGATAGCGTCCCTAAACAACAATCTATATAGAAAAAAATGTTAAAAAATATAGGAAAATTGTTGAGGACCCCATATAAAGGAAAACAGGAGGCAAATCCACTGAATGTCATATACCTTGTCGATGTTTCGTTTGATCTGATCCAAGGAGAATGGCCATTCATCGCGAGGTAGACCACGAGCTTTGAGTAGTTCTGGAAGCTCTGCAAACGAGTCACATCGACAACGTCCATCGGAGTCCTGAAGTAAGCGCGATTTGGATCTCCATCCATTCAAACAATGAATGTATGATTACCTTCTTTGTGAATACAGAAACAAAGATGTTCGTGAACATGCTTCGAATCTCCATTTGTACCCTTGGTATACAATCCTCAGCAGCGCCTAGTTCACGTTTCTTTTCTAGTACCAACCGCTGCAGGGCAACAGCATCCTACAAATATATGAGAATAAGCAACAAAAGCTGCAGCCGAGCAAAGTCTTACCTTGTAAATATCGCTCTCAGGTTCGTTGTATTTGCAAGCATTTTCCAGCATGAGAGACATATCTGCAATGATGTCCACCCATCTCGCATAACCACGAGACTGCAGCCGTTGTTGGATTCGTTGCAAATCCATCGGCTTCTTGATCACTTCATAGTAATCAGGGTACTCCTCAAAGATGATGAGAGTAGAATTGGAACAGCATTTTTTTTTTCAGAATGACTACCTCTTTGGTTGGCAGTCTCACGAAAGCACTCGCAAGCTTTCTTCCATCCGAATCCGTTGCATCACGGACCAAGGTGTATAATCTCCACATTTGCTGTTCATGCGCAGGAAGCCTGGAAGAGGAGATGGACTGAAAACCAATCTTCGCCACGATTTGGGTATTCTACATTGCAATATTTGGGAGAGTGCGGCTAAGCGCCAAATCGACAGTGATGGTCAGCATGCAATATTTGGGAGAGTGCGGCTACAGCGCAAAATCGTCAGTGATGGTCAGCAGGATTTGCTATTCTGCTTAGCAAGCTCATCACGATGTTTTCTTTATACAGGTTACAGACTGTATGCTTTGCTCGCAAATCCCGAAGCCTACAGCATTTTGGGGTAGGCATTAGCCCTAGGCCTAGAAAGCAGTGTCAGATGAAACGTCTGCTAGGTGTGAAAAGCAGGGAGAGCGACTTCATCAGTACATAACTGCCATGCCATAAACTAAGCGGACGCAAACGTTGCAACATAAGCGATCAAGCCGCCCTCAAGTGTTTTTGCTTACAGGCAGCGGCTCGGCAAAATGACATCTTCGGCATATTCATAGTTCTCAGTCCACTTGTATAAGCTAAGTCCAGGACTGTACTTCGCAGCTTCAAAAAAATCAATAACCCACTTTTCTAGACGTGAAAAGTGCTATTTGAGCGGGCCTGCCCTCTGAAGCGCGATTGGCTCGTGAGTGGAGATACCGTACCCATGAGCCAATCGCGCTCTAGCAGGCATACACGATCCGCCCAAATAGCATTTTTCATTTTTCTGAAAAAGCGGGTTATTGATATCTTCTGAAGCTGCAAAGCACAGTCTTGGACTTCGCGCATCTGTATCGCGCAACCCGAGAACGATGAATATCCCAAATGTGTCATTCTGCAGAGCCGCTGCCTTTATGGGCCAATGGTCCAGCGATGAGCTCTATTTCAAGTGAATCACACCTTGAAACTCTGACAAAATCAAAATCAAACAGATATGATATTTGGGACGTGGCAATTAAATAGGTGTCACTCAGATACAGCTTTGATCTACCAACTACAACATAGCTTCTCCTTATGCGCGAAGAAAATGCAAATTATAAGCGCGGTGAAGAATTCGTACCTCGCAATCATGTCCTCAAGTTTTCTATCCACTTTGGGCGCCCTGCTTTTCGGAGGATGAGGTGGAGTTGGCACAGAGTTTCTAAAAGTAAGATTACACATTCCCACATGACAGAGAAGAAAACAAGGCAAAGTAAGCACCAAACAACTTTTAGTGAAGAAGGACCATTAAGAGGTGCATCAGTGAAGTAAATGAAGACATAGAGGTAAAGATAAAAACCGCGTACGAAGAAGCAATGTGCTAGATAGACATGCAATACCAACACTACACAACACAGCGCTAATTATAGTTCTTTTCACCTAGCAGAAGAGCCTGAAGAATCATTGTCGGAGACACCGCCGCCGTTAGCGAGCTCGGTGGACGATCTGACCCCTTTCACTGGTTTCGGCAATTTCGTTTTGAGCCAACTGGATGTACACACTAGTTAGGCAATGAAACAAAACGCAAGCCAACACACATGGGTTATAACAAATCTATACTATCTAATTTCTAATCTATACATAAATACATGTACATGAGCAAAAATGTGTTCCGTAAGTGTTCCATCAATTGATGGATTGTAAAAAGAAGTCTCAAAAAAAAAGACCGAGGTAAACCATGACCTACCCAAATTTCTGCTTTTGTTGAAGAGGGCTCTCATAAGGAGCATCCTTGTCATGCGTGTGGGCTTTGCTCACCATGTCAAGTAACATGGCAGCATCTCGCGCAATCTGCGACTTTGCCTCATTATATTGCCGAGCGTTATTGAAAAGTATGGTTAACTCCTGCATCAGCTCCACTGAGGAATCATACTATAATCAAAAAATTACGTTGGAAGAAAGCAAAACACTGCGAAGGGAACAAATGAAAAACCAAAACATGGAACCCACTTTATTGTTCTCGATTTTCTCCCTGATCGTCTTTAAGTCAATCGGATTTTTGATCACTTCATAATAGTCAGGGTATTCTCGAGCTGATGGCAGCTCCATAAAGGCACCAGCAGGCCAGTACATTCCATCCTTGAATTCGGAAAATACATTAAGTTAAAAAAGAGAAGGTCGCTACCTTGTAATTGTAAATGAGATCCCAGAAATACACGAGCTTTAGCCGATATCGCAACATTAGCTCGTCCATGCTTTTACGCCCCGGTCGTCCTGGTGAAGCGACATGTTCGGCGGTCATTCCTGTTGATATCGGCCGCATTCTCTTTTGCGATCGAATTTTTTTCTTCTCAGACGGAGGAGGGGTCTCCTTAAAATATCAAAATGAGTCTCCGACAATTATGAAGAGAACTCCAAGTCTTACTTTATCATCAGAGTCGGTCTCAGGATCTACTTTTGGAGTTCTTGGTGTTTTTGGCATTCTTATTTGCGGAGGGGGCGGTGTAGGGTGAGGCTGGTGAGGCTTGAACTTCTTGTCATACAACTGAATACGATAGCGCTTAGAATGCAACGTTTGAGGAGAGACCACAGATCGAATTTTTTGCGAACTGACCGATAAATCAAGACTAGGTTGGAGTTCCCGCGCTCTTCGAATCGTCAAATTTTGCAATTTTTGAGCAGCTATGAATATATCTGAGGACTCCATGTTGTATTCGCATGCATTATCAAACACCTGAATGGATTATCCATGATAAAGACTGATAATCGGCTTAAGGGTAAGCAGATTAGGTAGCGATAAAGCCTAAAAAGGAAACGTACTTGCATGAAATCCTTGAAGAGCTCTTCAAAGGTATGATACCCATTTCTTTTTAACTTTCTGTTGATCATAAACAAAGACATGGGACGGGAGATCTCATCATAATAGTCGGGATAGTAGCTAAACGAATTGTTAGAACAAAATTATCGAAAACAAACATATGAAAAAGAATAAATAGTATCTCAAAAAACTGTTGCATTACCTCCGACTGGGCAGTTCAAGGAATGGATCGGAAAGATTTGTTTCACGATCTTTCTCATTTGGAGCATTACGAATCGTCCAATAAAGCTTCCAAAGAGGATCCTAAAAGCAGCAATTATTTATACAAGAGTCTGTTATTGGTTTTGAAAAATAAGAATGAATCAGTACGCACATCACTTTCTTCCGTATCCTCATCCTCTTCAGAATCTTCAGAAAGCTCAGCGTTTGTCGGAAGGGCGACCTGCTGGAGAAGTTGGTCGACAGCGCGATGTATCTTGTCCCGGCTACAAACGATAGTTTACATAGGAAATCAACTGAACTGTTCTCAAAAACAAAACGATTGTATTAACAACAGACCGTTTAGGATGCACGCCCTTCTCAAGCACTTGCTCCTTTTTTTCTTTGAAGTAATTCATCAAAGCCACGGCATCCTTGTAAATCTCACTGCCTTTCCCACTGAACTGCTGCAAAGTTCACAAAATAAGTGATGAACAATTTGCGCGAGTATAAACCTAACGCGAATAAGGATACCTGAGCATTCCGACACAACAACCGAACGTCGGCCTCCACTTGAGACATTCGTTTATATGCCCCACTTCTCGCTTTCTCAGCGATCGTTTTTAGATCCATCGGATGACGAATCTTTTCATAATAGACAGGAAATTCCTTGAAAAATAAGACAGTAAATGTGACAAATTTAAAAGATATGAAATTAAGCCTACCTCTTTGCTCTGCAGCACCCTAAACGGTGGACAGATAAGGCGTCCAGTAGGGTCAGTCAGCTCGAGCAGGCCGCAAAGAATGTCTTCGACCATATCAGAATCTACTTCGTCCCCGACACCATTTGATGAGGTCCGAGAGGGAGCTGGTGAGATTGATCTTAAACATGTTTTATGAGCTACTAACACTAAACGACAGGAAAAGGAGAATAGAACTTATACTTGAAGTGGCTGTAAAAAGCAAAGGCAACACCCATACCTTATCGAAGTTGAAGGTGTAGGACTCCCAGAGCTTGAGGGATGATCGTCGGTCTTGGGATCTTCAATTGGTTCACCTTTGACAACCTTATCCTTGACTACTTTGTAGAGCTCAAAGAGTTCTGTGGCAGCCTTGTGTTCCTCAGTTTCTTCCTAAAAGGACAGAGATTATGAAATACATAAGAAAAATGCGATTAAAACCATTAATACCTTATAATATGTCCGCGTGTTTTCTATCAACAGCTCCACATCTCCACAGAATTCCTCAAATGAGCGATACTCCTCAGTCTTGACTTTTTGCTGGATTCTCGTCAGATCAATCGGAGATTTCACTTGTTTATAATAGTCGGGCTCCGTTCTAAACTTTGGCGACTTTTTTGGTGTTTTTGATTGTGCGATTATCAACATAAAACAGCATTAGTGGACCTAAATCTACCATTAGCACTATTCGGTATTCGATTCCAACTTAATTTGATCAGCACCCGCAATAAAACGAACGAGAAATAAACGACTAATGAAACACTCGGTGGTGAGACCGTTACAGTACCCAAGCACAGGGCGGCATGCAGTCCTACTCAGTGCGATTGAATTACTTACAATTAAATTAATTAATTCAAAACAAGTTAACTTGCCTTCTGGATGGCGTCCGTATGAATTTTTCAGATGGTTGGCGATTTTCACTGTCAGTGTGTTGTCTAAGCACATCAAAAACTCCTTGCGCTTTACGATTCTGAAAAAACAAGGAAGATGATTCATGAGAGCATTTGCCAAATCAAACTCAAAAAAGCGCTGCAATCATGTTGTTACACCCGAAATGACATACTTCTTGCTGTATTCGTTCACGTTCTTTGGCCGATATTCTTCCTTTCCTACGCTTTGGAGTGGGTGTGCCTTCCGGAGGAGAGTTCTCCGCAGTATCTTCTAAGCGCTTCCGTTTGGCGCTCATGGTGGAGAACGTCCTATTTTCAGTCAACATTAGCTAACTGAACAGGTTCCCGTCTAATTATCAAAAATTACGAAGATTAGAAGTGAGACAATAAAGAAAACTAGTGAAAATTGAGCTTCTTTGATGGTTCATTTGCGAAAAAGAAGGAGGAGTAATCTCGTATTTAAGGATGTATAAATAGGTACTTTTATAGAAATTTGGCAATTTTGGCGCGAACACAAAGCTGCACTCAGAACACAATGAACAAGGAAGCGCTATGGATCTTTGAACAAGGTGCAGAGCTGAGTGCAAAAAGAACAGGAAATCAAAACATAGCTTTTTCTAACTTGCTTTGCATGATCATAAATCTTATCTGAATAGTCTAAAAGCATCACAAATGTTGGACACTCTGAATTATGAAAGTATTCACAAAATATAGAGTTTGGAAGATTCAACATACGAATGATGAGATAGCACAAGATACGAAAAAATTCAAAAGATACTTGATACTGAACAAAGTAAGTACGATCAGCTTATGCTATTTTATCAGTTCAAATGCTCTTTAGAGAGATTGTGACCGTAATCGAAATGCGGAAGAGTAGCAGCATAAACAGCAAACAAGAATACATAATCAAAGGAGCATATCTAAAAGATGAAGAATGACAAAGAAGCAGAACATAAAGTTTATATGCTGATGAAGAAGTCACAACTAAGGAGAAAGAAAGTGAAAAGCGAGTGAGAAAAGAGAAAACACGATCCAAGATCATATAAAAGAGAAAACAAGGCTTTCGAAGTAAACTTGATAAAGCCGAGGAGCTCTACCCCAATCTAAAGATAATTCTTCATATCAGTTTGCTTCAAATGTGTCTCTTTACCTATTCCAGCCTTAGATTAGTAGAAAAAAGCTGCAAGTCTGCGCGAAATTGGCGTTGCAAGATTACCGGGCGCGAAGTGGCACTTTTTCAAATAACTTTGGAGCGCTGCATATTTCAAATAGAGCTGATTTGTTGCAGAAATCCACACATAGAGAGAAGAAACGATGCAAAATATAACACGAAATAGCACAAGCGACGACGACCGACGAAAACTCCGCGAACGTGGATCGATCCCCGGGGAATTGATCGCGATACTTCGAGCGGTGGTGTGGAAACCCCGTCGGACAAGGGAGCCGACATCGACCGCGAGGGGGGCAGCAGGGTTTGAGGTCAGTTTTTCTATGTGTGTTCTCTGCTAGAAACAACGTATACGCACACGAATTTGAATACAACATCGATGCGACGGCAAAACGCACGCCGTCGTGCCGGCGCGACGAGTCTGAATAAGCGCGCGCGGAGAGAGCACGCCGAACGCGGATGGCGCAGAGAACGCTGGCCGACGCGCGCCAACGTTGACCCAGCCGCACGCTTACCGGTCAATAAATCGATTCACGGCCTGGTTTGCTGACAAATGAAAGGTGAGATTTTTACATTCAGTTTATCCTGACTGTCTTGTCTAACTATCTATCCACTCTAGAACCAGTCAAGTTGCGTAAAATCACGGTTTTTGCCGGGTTCTTCTCGTCGAACTCATTTTTGCTTCCAGCTCATCATTCACTTCTTCCTGTCAAATCCATTATGCTCTTCTCTCTTTATTTCACCTCACAAATCCTCCATATACCCCATAAATGCTAATCCGAGTTCGTAAGCACCTGCGCAGCTCCGACGTGGCGCAATTGCTGCGCCGTTTCGCGTTTGAAATTGCCGGTGTTCGATTAGAGCGCACCAACTGCGTGACATTGATGCAATGAGCGAAAACTCGCAAATAATGGGGCTTGATTTGCAATGGCGTAGTCCCGTTTATTGCAATTGGCGCTCGCTACTTTTCTAACTTTGTGCCTATCGCATTCGATCAAAGCTAATCAGAGCTAATAAACGAAATGATTCGTGTTATGTATTACATCCATTTTAGTTTCATGAAGAGTCATGTAGCCTTTTTCTTCGGTCTAAACCCGCTAATAACTATTCAACATTTATAAGGAAAACTGGCGTCGGGATGCCGGCTCCTTTATGGTGCATATTCTGGCCTTTTGTGGATGTTCTCAGTGCTTGTAGAAGTACAACGGCTACACAGTTTAATCACTTTATGTCGGAATGTGTGGTTTTACACACACTGCACAAATTGCGCGTCCCATCCTAAATCGGCCGCTTTGCATACACTGGGCAATTTTTGTCTGTGTTCTTGCTTGGGGAAGAAATTATTGCAGAAGCGCCAAAATTACCCGTAAGAAATGTGTACTCCTGATAATGTGTCCTCGAGCATCAGTTCAATATATGTGAGACTGCACACAGTGCGCGGCAAGCGACGACACCTTTACTGGTAACTCAGTGATCAAATGTGTACAACTACTAATACATATTCAAATGAGACTAGGAAACAGCAGATACTCAGCACTGACACGTACTGAGATGTGTATTTGTTGCACATGTCCGGCGAGACCTCGACGTATAGTCCCCTACCCCAAATGACTTGACGATATATGCTTAGATCACAGTGTGTGCAGCGGGCGCAATTGCCTACACTTTGATTCAACTGGGTTGACAGCTGGAAGGCGGGGCTTCGTGACCAAATAAGGCTAGAGAAAGGTTGGAGAGCGCGCAGGCTAGAGAGACGCGGGCACGAGCGGGCACGAGCGGTCGTCTTAGATGCCAATCTCGTCGGATCAAGGGGTATATCAGGAGATAACCTAACTGGACTGTATGATCCTTTGATCCGCATAGGGATCGCCGTCCAAATAAAATGTAAGGGCAATGGATGCTGGCGAGGAATGCAGTGTTTGAAGTTCACGCTGGGATAATTTTTCCTCGAAAAGCAAAGCAGGGACTGCACGCTCACATTTTCTTGTGAGAGCGCTCTGCTAGTTGCCTCAGAGTGAATCTGATTCGCATCAAAGATGGATTTGATTTAGAATCAGTAGGTCGCAAAGTATGCATAGATGCATCCTGAACTTGGGAATGTGTGCGTGCAGTTGCGATAGAGGCTTTATAGAAGGTTCTGAGCCACTTTGCTCCAAGAAGGAAACCAAATAAGCGGAAACACACTGACAAGAAAAGTCGGTACTGATACAACCCAAAAATTGAAGAACACTTTGCTGAAAATTCGCCCAGAGGGGTTATTCGCCTTCCTGATCACGAAAATGATATCTCTTTTGCATGGTGAAGCTTTTTTGAGGGGTTACGGTAGGCATACGGTGTGGGGTCAAAACCTCAGAACTTGCTAAAACTTTGCGTAGGGGGATTATTCGACATGCTGACCACCAATATCATATTCATTCCTCTCGAAAACGCCTGATGGTGGGGTTACGGTAGGATTATAGTATAGGGTCACGATCTCAGAATTCGCTGAAACTTTGCGTAGAGGGGTTATTCGACATGCACATTGCAAGTACCACACTTTTCCCGCACGAGAACCTCTCCTTGTACGGTAGGTATATGGTAAAGGGTCAGAACCTTAGATCTGGCTGAAACTTTGTGTAGGGTGTTATCTGATGTGCTCTTCACGAATACCGCGCTCATTTCGCTTGTAAGGCCTTCTCGTGGACTTTTGGAATCTTAATTGGTTGAAAAGGGAGGATGGCTTTCCTAATTGCTGCAAATTGCCATAACTCCACAACAAAGCGTTGTTATAGCGAGCAAACCCGATATTCGTTATCAGCATGCTTGGAAATCCCTCTAGGCAACGTTTTAAGCAATTTTGAATCACCCATATACCTTGTACCTACCGTAATTCGAGAAAATGGCGCTACCGTACAAAGCCAATATGATATCCATGTTCAGCGTGCTAAATTACCCCTTCAGACCGAATTCCAGCCAAATCCAGGTTTTGATCCCCTACCGTACACCTACCGTAACCATACAGGGGGAGGTTTTCGAGCGGAAAAAGTGTGATATTCGTGATCACCATGTCGAGTAACTCCCCTACGCAAAGTTTTAGCGAATTCTGAGTGACATACCGTATGCCTACCGTAACCCCTTAAAATTCCCCACCACGCGAAAAGGACATCATTTTCGTAATCATGAGGTCGAATAACCTCCCTGGGCGTGTTTTCAGCGAAATCCGTGGTTTCTAATTTTTGGGTTGTATTAAGTGGAATAGCGCCGAAAAGTCTTTAGTCAAAGTAGTCTTTCCATTTGAAACCTATATCACTGGATGCCTCTTTGATTCCACTCTTTAATTCTCTGATTCTAAATCTGCTTTCCTTGTCAGCGGAACTACTCCCCGAAAGAAATTATGACTGTTTGAAAGGGCAAATTTGTCATGCTATAAGTGGCACAAAAAGCTTGAAAGTAGGTCATTTGCATCAAGTATATTGATTACAAAGAAGGAACATAATGTGTGGAAATTCACATAGGTGTTTTTGCAGAGCTTTTCGCTATTTTTATGCCATTTGAGGCTCGACAAATTTAGATTTTCAAACCATTAACTTTTTTGGAGAGTTGTTTTGCGAAAAAGGAGGGTGGATTTGGAATCATCATATAATGCTCTACAAATTTATATATCTACCATGTGGAAAGGCCACTTTGACTGAAAAGGCTTTCTTTGTAAGCTAATAGAGTTGCTGATTTTGAATGAAACGAACACTTTACCGTAAGGCCTCTAGAGTTCACGCGATTTGACCGTCGCGATTGATCGCGACAAGACAACTATAACAATATCATTGCATGCCTATCTTCTTGCAGCTCCGTTATGATGGTTTTCCAACACGACTAATCGTGACTAACTATCACAACCGATATACAAGAAGATCGACATGCAGTGAACTCGTAACACTTGTCTTGTAGCGATTGAATCGCGACGATCAAATCGCGTGAACTCATTGTCAGTCCGAGGCCTAATGCTTCCTTCTTAACTTATGCCACCTATACCACAACTTTTTTCGATGTTACTCAAAATTTTATTACACCATTTAAGAGACTTGAAAACCGTCAAAGGTTTGGTGAAATCTGCCACGGGAATCCTGTTCCATTGCCTTTCAGGGGTTTCTTTTGAGTTTCAACAGTTTAACATCTAATGGAATGCCGGATGTTGGAAGTTATTACCATAAACCAGTAATGAAGAGGGTCGATGACGAGCTCCTTAGTTGAATGTAAGTCGAGCCAGCTCCACAGTTCAAAGTACGCTGAAGACAAATTACTCAACCAGTGTGCACATTTTTTGAACTCCCTGTTTTTACTGGAAGCTATGAGGGGAAGAACCTTATCGTATCCTAGAGCGTTTGGATCCTGGATCAATCTAAAAGTTGTTGGTAATGATCGTTCTTGGCGTTCAATAAACTGGCACTCGTGCACTCAGATCGACTTTCTCCACATTTTGAAGGCGGTTCGATCGTTAGGATTTACCTATGGCCCAAGGACTCGCTCCCATAAATAATTTTTGAGGGTCTGCATATCATTTATTATCACGCCTCCTACATGCAGATGTGACTTACAGTGCTCTAGTTCTTTCTCATGACTACTCCGCAGATTAGAAACGAATTTCTTTTTAATCTATCTCGAATTTCTTCATAATCTTGGCCAGAAGAAAAAGGTCGCACATTTGAAAGGATCAAACTGTTGGGGATGCAAATATTGTGGTAGTTAAGGAAAATGATTCTAACAATAAATAGGGTTTCTAAAGTCCAGAAAGTGAAGATAACCCTGGTTCCAAACTCGAAGGAAGAAGATTTTCTGTCGATTTTTGTCTAACTGCTACCTAATTTGTCAACATACTTTTCTCTGTCTACTAAGTCACTACAAAAGTTTTCGACCATCTTGTCTCTTTCCAAATGTAAAACTTATATGAAAAAAAGGTTTGCTTCAGTTCTTTTCTATGAATCTCAGTAAAACCTCTGCTCAGAACTGTATCATTCATGAGACTTTGCTTTCGATGCATAAGGTGAAAATCATAAATATGTTGTTGGAAGCAACATTTTCAAACTCAGTTCATGATTGCGTTGATCTTTGAACCATTGTCAAAAGCTTTAGCGTGAGGCTGAAAGTTTTTGTTTTATAGATTGCTCTAATCAGAATCCTGTATCTATAAAATTCTATTCGAAACAAAAAAGGCAAACATTGACCTTGAAAGAGTTAAATATTAGTGAAGCTATTGTTCCGAACATGAATAACAGCAGAGGCAGTGCCTCAAATGCCTGTATCCTTTTCGCAGTTGCTATTTTGATTGTCAAGATTTGATGTCATAAGCCTACAGAAACTATGAAGAAAGCGCAAAATCAAAATGAATAACTGTTCAGCTCAAATGTTTGAGCTAGATTTTTCCAATTTGTGTACAACGCTGCCGTTAAGAACTTATTTCATTTTTTCTACTGTATTTGGATGTGCAAAAATTACCAAGCCAAATTTTTTTGTTGTTGAAGTAAACGAGAATGTGCTGCAATTGTTGCGGCGGTATTATCTTTTGCCAAATTATATTTCAAGCAGTGATTCTAAGCAGTTGTAGTTTTATACCAAAACTCAATATTGTGGACTTGTCGATGTCGTATGTTGCTTTTTCTCAACAGAGAACCATGCAAATCACAAAATCTTTCGGAATCTGAAAATGAGGCCAGCGACTTATATCACTCGTGTCAGTGCGATGACATATGCATTTACTTTTGCAAAAATCTTACGACTTAACTTGGGCTGAATGTTGCTCCGTGCATTTCGGTGAATAAAAAACCACCGAAGACCAGCAGAGGCATGAGCTTTTTATTTTGACTTCGAGCTTATATCAAGACTGTATTCACGACTCTAACAGGGGATGGATACTTGGTCGAAGTGGCGTTTCCATACAAATTGTACACTGTTTTATAGAGCATGAAATGTTGTGTTTAAATCTACTTTCGGTAACTGCAAAGCGCTTCTGGGAGGGGAGTTATGGAAATTTGATGCAAAAATTTGGAAGCGCCGCTACATTAAAATCATTCGGGAACTTAGTCCATGAGTTCAAATGGGGCCATGATTAGTAGCAGGGCATTTTGTGGAATAAGGCCTTCAATCTAATGAACTCATTCATGTCAGTCATTTTCCAAGCGCCGAAAAGACTTCAACACCTATTTTTATCTTAGCCAAATCAATGAATTTCTACCTCAAAAAATTTTCATAACTCCCCCACCAGAAGCGCTTTGCAGATATTAAAAGCAGATTTGGAATCAGCGTTAAATGCTCTATAAGATGATATACATCTCCTATAGAAACGCCACTTCGACGAAGTATCCTTTCCTTGTAAGTCTCCAAGCTGCTGATGGGATTTTAAGAAGCTGCGTATCGCTTCAGTTCATAGCTCCGAAATCGGTATGAAAGCGAGACTGAGAAGGAACATCTAAGGCCCCGGTCAGACTTCACGCGACTTAATCGTCGCGATCTAATCGCCAAGATTTCCATTCATTTTCATTTCACATTCAAAAATTTCGGGCTGGAAAAGTATCACAACCGAATGCAAGTTGATCGGCATGGAATGATGTTGTAGCAGTTGTCTCGTCGCGAATCAGTCGCGACGATCAAATCGCGTGAAGTCTGCCCGGGGCCTAACTGGAAAAAATGGAACACTTTGATTTTCTGCTTTTATATGTCGAATACTCACATAACCCCGTATTATTTCTCGATCACAAACTGCAGAGGTGTTTTCAGGTGTTTTAGCTGCTCATATAGAAAGCACTCCTTTATTTGTTTCTAATTCGCAGCCGTGATCATCTCAATGTTGTTCTATGCAAATATTTCAGATGGATGCCAAACGGATCAAACTGGATGCGGACGACGAAAATTCACGTGATTCGCAAATTTCCGTCAGTTCTTCAGAATCTGCACCCTCTTCTTCCAAAGTGACGCTCGACCAACTGAACTCTTCGAATACTCCGATCAGCTCTTCGGCATCTGCACCTTCGACGTCCAAAGTGACGCTTGATCAGCTGAAGTCCACAAATCCAAGAATCGTCAACACTACTCTGCTGAAGCTGAAATCAATGCTAAGAAGCAGACAATCAATAGAAAGATTTATGGATCCTCAGTCACAGAAGTTCTCCGCTGTCGTGGACATTTTCCTTCAGGCTGCTACCGAACTTGCGAACAAAACGTTAGTGTTTTTGAGTTTTTGTCCAGTATCTATCGTATGGATTAGTATGACAAATGAATTTGTAGACGGAAGAAGAGAGGTAGGAAGGCTAAAGAGTAGGGATGAGACACTTGGTAGAATATTGGTCTCTTCACAGTTTTCACTGATAGATGAGTAATCCGCAATGTTTGTACACCCAGTGGGGCGGAGGACTATATGTCGCCGGAAGTGATCGCACGCGGATATCTGTAACAGACCACGCAGCCATGCTCACAGACATTACTTTGTATCAGCTGTCCGTGCGAGGTGGAGCCTATCGGCCATGTAATTCCCTGCCCTTTCAATGAGGCAGGCGCAGCTTTGCGGTTAGGGTAGAGGAACGAAGTCCCGCTAAGCGCCGCGCTCAGCTCAATGCTTTTTTATTTGTTCCAACATGTCTTGCCCTCGTTGCATAGTTGAAACCGGGGCAGCAGTTCCGCCAAACTGAAATTGATTTGAATTGTAAGCGACATTTTGTGAATATCCGAGTATGGCCTCGGGCATACTTCAGCGATTTCAGTTGCGCCGCGATTTGGCAATCCGCCAGAAGTCTTCAGATTCAACACTAGCAAAATGCACATGCATAGTGTGTATAACCGTGGCCTGACGAAATGCTTATCTTCTGTACATTTGAAATGTGCTTACTATGAGTTACGCACAGCTGGAATATTGCCAAATCGCGTTGCGACTGAAATCGCATGAAGTATGCCCGGCCCTAAACAGTTACGACTCTATTGCAAGCCGATCATCTAGTATTTCGGTTGTGGTAGCTCTTCAACACGACCAATCGTGACCAACTATCACAACCGAAATGCGATGATCGGAGTGCAATGGACTCGGAACTGTTTGTCTTGTTGGGAAAATCGCGGCGATGAAATCGCGTAAACTCTTCCCGAGGCCTATCGCTACCCCTCATTGCAATTCTTCTTTTTCGTGAGCAATGACGAAACAAACTCAAAGTTACTCATTGAGTGATCCTTGGCTATCATTCCCGCCATTTGCATTAGGCGAGAATCGGTAGCGGCCTTCACTCTCAATCTATAAGCGCGGTCGCTCGCGTAAGGCCTTAGTCATACCTAGCGCGATTGCCAAAATCCGCTTTCGTTAGCGATTTGATAGATGTTACTAATCACTGCGGACAGAGCCCAATGCACAGGCGCTATTTGCAACCTGAAACAAGCCTGTCGATTCTGCTATAGAAGTGCGCTTATTATGAACCGTCGTAGCACTGCCGAAACGCGCGAGATCTGAACGATGCTTGAGGCAAGAGCACGACCCGGTAAGTCTGCTGTTGTCGGATAAAAATTTATCTATTCGTTTAGCAAGATTTCATGGAACTGCGCAGTTGCACATAAGACGCCGAGTGGTAACAAGACCAATGTCAGATTGCTCAGGGCGCCATCTGGATTAGACTAAACGACACTTCTGGGACGACGCCTTGGGACTTTCTCATGCTCTGCATCTATAGTGCCAGGACACTCCTCAAACGCTGACCTCTACGTTCTAATCAACCTCAAGAGCACATTAACTACTACGTCATCGTTGCAGGAAACTTCGACCAGGGAGGAATCAAGTGCCGCACAAGTGTTGATGGGATCTTCATCACTCGTTCTGAGGAAGCTCCATCACGAAATGTTGTAGATGTTGGCTTTGTCCTCCATCCATCTAAAGTCCATTTTGTCGAGGCATGAGACTTTCACCTTGGGTCTTGCGACTCTGTTCTCCACAGAAAACAACCAGCATCATCAACTTCTACTACCAACACCAGCGGATGCATTCTGTGAAGATGCCAGGAAAGTTGTCCGCATTTTCGCGCGAAAATCGGGATGCCACACTGGAATAGATACCTTTTGATCTATCGGGAGTGGCGGCTGGTTGGTGGGACTGTTGGAGCTCTGCACCTCTTTCTGTGCATGCTGTCTGGTCATTTTCCAACCACGAGCATAAAAGGCAAAGCTTCAATCGTTAAGGACCACAGTCGCGAAAGGGGTCCAAAGCAGGCGAGGCGACCGCGTGGACGTGAGCCCCGCCCACCAGCCGCCACTCCCAATGAAATAAAGTGTAAAGAGAATTATGAAGTTTGGATATGTGCTCCGGAACGAAAACGATAACAGTTTCGTTGATGTTCTCTCCACCGCACAACTTCATGAAAACTTCATCTTTCTGAAGAGAAAACAACCTCGGTGGACATGGAAGTCGCCCAAAGGAACGACTAACGCGGGGATCGCTCACATTCTCACAACCGACGGTGCACCTTGCTCAATGCTTTAGTAATGCTATCCTTCTGCAGGGGCTCCTATCACTGCCGGGTTGGAAAGAGGATGTGTCAAGCACACAAGAGGGAAAGGGTCGATTATGACGGTCACAGGCTGTGGGAGCTCAATCAAGTAGTGACCACCGTCCACTCGAGATTACCGCGTCTCACCTAACATCTTACCTTTAAAGGGAAGGGATTCCCGACCTATGGAGAGCCTCCGCAACAATTCTTCTCTCCAAAAGGGCCAACGGAGGACTTCGGAAGTGTGCCTACGACTCTTGAGAAGAGCACGTAAAGGAGCTCGAAGACTGCGAAGGGATTATTTGAAAAACAAACAGCATTGAGGCAGGATTCAAATTGGAATCCATCTCGAGAGACTGGTAGCAAACGCCGGCGCAGAACATCTTTGCAGGAAGATCTTCGGGAGCACAGCAAGATGCTGGAAGCAAGCGAAGGAAGAAGAAGCCTCAGAAAGTGCCAAAGGGACCTTTGCAAATATCAGGTGTCGCTGACAACTGCTCAACGTAGACGGGATCCGGACTTCTTCCCGACATGAGATGGGATCTATCGCGAAAAACATCTACACATCTTCCGCTCTTCAATACCGAGCTCCGTTGTTTTCATTGGAGAAGATACACCACGGATTCCACCTGCTGAAATGCGCACTGCGACTCCAATGAACTCGATGGCTCCAGGACCTGGTCACTTCTCTCCCATACTTCTTCGAGCCGCGTCTACAAGAGATTCTCGCGTTACCTCTAACGTATTGTCTTCAGAAGGAGAGGATTCCCAACCAGTGGAGAACGTCAAAAACCGTCTTCTCTTTAAGAAGGTAACGGAGGATTTTTGGAAGTACCGTCCAGTATGCCTAGTCTGCTATCCAGGAAGGAATATTCTACCTCGCACTAGGACACTGGATGAAACCCAGCCTTGGAACTGGCTGGATTTCCCAAGAAAGTAGCTGTGTGAACCACATGCAGACAGTTTCGATGGTCCGATTACCTCTCGTCATGACCTTCGTCGACTGCGAGAGTCCCGACAGCGTTGAACTCAACGCAACCTGCCAACGCTGGTCGATCAAGGAGCAATCCAGTTTTTGTGAGGACATTGGCCGCCTGTTAAAAGGACTGTGTGCAGCATTCTATCGCCCCCTGACCGTCCCATTGAGAAGGGGGTACGACAAGGCGACACAACCTCTCGACGCTTCACAGCGGTCTTGTAGTGGATAATGAAATCTCTGGACTGGGCAATGCCAGAGCAGTGCTCGTATGCGCGCAAAGCCTGGCATTTGCTTTTTGAAGGAAGTGAGTAGGAGATAGGGGTGGTTGCCGCCATGTCATAGCAGGCATGGGGCGGTATCTATTAACCTTCCACTCGCTGTTCGGGCCATCATGAACGAGTGTCCGGACAGGCGAGAGCGCAATCCCATAATTTATGAAAGGTTCGGGCGCGTGGCCCAAATGGGCAGCAGGGTCTGATCTGTTGAGATCGGGTGGGTTCAGGCACCTGCCATGCCCGATGTGGCCAAACTTGCCAGATTGGATCACATATTCAAACAGGCTGGAGCCCGATCATCAGTTTGGATTCGTGTATCGTGGGCGCCAGTGCTCGCTATACGGGCTGTGGTCTGTACAGGAACCCTTTTCCATATGGGAGATTGATAAATACCGCCCATGGCAGGATAGCGCGCGCCACGTTCGCGCCCACTCAACTATTACTGCTTCTACGTCTTTGTCATGCAGTAGCCTTTACGCCCGCGAACGCGGCATGAGGCTCAAGCATTGCGCTTGTGATAGGAAAGGTATGTAGCACATTGTTGAGGGTGTACAGTTTTTTCCAATAAAAATAAGGATTTGGAGTTTGAATAGGCGCATTGTACGAGAGTTGGTGAAGTGCGCAGCCATATCCTCATATCTACCAGTGGCGTACCCAGGATTTCGGCTCGGGGGGGGGGGGGGACAAAATTTCCGATGAAGGTGCGTGGCTAATTTCGCCACTCCAAAAAATTTTCTGGTATGCTCCCTAAAATTTTCGCGGGCTCAGAGCGCCCCCGGAAAAATTTTTTTATAAAAATGATTTTTTAATAATTTAAAAAATTATTTTGATTATTTACAAGTGCAGACAAGTCATTTGCGCAATTTTATAGCCCATGTAAGTAACGTTCAAGAATTTCGCGACCCGTTCTCGGGGGGGGGGGGGCGCCCCCCCCCCCCCCCTTCTCGCCCCCCACCCCTCGGTACGCCACTGCCCCATACGTGGCGCTAGTTTTGCGTTGCAGTTGCGAAAAGAGAATGCACCAATGGCACAGACTGTATCTGTGGTTCTTTTGTTTTTCAAATTCTTGTTTTCCAGTAATTTCAATTTCAGACCGGAGTCCTTGTCTATACTGAAACAATCCATCAGCATCATTGCCAACTGTTGTAATTACTCGATCTCGGCTTGTCTCAAAATGACAGCTCAGCGAATTGCGTTCACCCATATAGCAGGTCAGCGTGCTTCAAGAGACTTGTTTAGAATTACTTTTGACACAAAGTTTCAGTGCGGATCTTCGAAAGTGGAACCCTTGCTCAAGACTGCAAAACTTCTATGGCTCGTCTCGTAGCGAATATGTGCGCGCATAAGGTTAGCATTTACGCTCTCTATTCCTTTTTATTTTATTACTTGTTAATAGGTACAAGGCTTCACTGTTCTGTTTATAATAACTAGTAATGGCATTACCTGGAGCTTCAACTGAAGATTACCATGGGTAGGGCTGGAAAGTCTTCCCATCAAGTCCGCTGCAACACACTTTGACGCGAAAAAACGCGGAATAGCAATCTCAATAGAAAAGCACTTTGAAGGTCGTTTGATGACTGGTAACGCAGTGATTTGGCAGGTTGTACTGGTCGATTCAGCGGTTAACTGAGTGTCCCTGCGGTCGCGGAAAAACAAACGCCCATGCATTCAATCCAACCGCTTGCTTGCGATTTGCTCTTAGTTAGAGACTAGTGAACCAGTAATCTAAAGGTGCTATTTGCAAGAGCGTTCGTTCCGTCACGCGGTTTCCCGCTATTTGCAGATTTTTGAATTGCGCTTACTTTTCTTTATATATTGGATTACCGTAGGGCGCAAATGTCATTGACGCGTAAATGTTGTCGGCAACGCAGGAAGTCCATACCAACCGTCAACTCCATTATATTATACGTATTGTCGTCTCCCCAACTTTGGCGAGGCGGAGTCGTGATCTTCACCAAAGATCGATGGATCAGATATGCCTCAGCACAGGGCAACCGCAACGCAAGGCACGCTAGCGCAGCTCCGCCTCGCCAAAGTTGTGGAGCCGCTCATACATGAAAGTCGCTCTACGTCGATACGTAATTACACAAGTTTTGTGCCTCAAAATCTTATGTTGGCCATCGTGCATGAGTCTTCAAAGGCAGCGTCCAGGCAAGTCTGGACACATGGGGATCACATGGATAGTAATTTTGGGGCCCTAACTAAGCCACTGCTCAAACGGCAGCTCAGGTAGTGCTCTAACGGCTGAGATATTCACCTCGAAACTGGACCCCGCGATCGTATTTCGCACGGATTCATGGCGCAAAGCGTGGATCCTGGCGCGAAACTGCCATGAATCCATGCGAATATCGCGTGGTCCAGTTTCGAAGGGAATATCTCAGCCGTTAGAGCACTACCTGCGCTGGCGCTTGGGCAGTGCTTTAGTTAGGGTCCCAAAAGTACCTTCCACGTGAAATCCCCATAGGTCCAGATCTGCCTGGACGCTGCCTTTAAACGGCATTGGAACTTCTTTCAATATTCTCAAAGAATGAAGGAAGAAGAATAAAGGAAGCCTTACCTCAAAGTTAGCATGTCCGTCAAAAAGACTTTAGTTTTAGCGCATTGCGCGTATCGTGTGCAATCACACATATCAGACGAAATGAATCGACTGTAGGCTGACCATGGAAAATAACGGAGAAATTTCCAAGAATTGATTTCTAAGCACCTAGTCTACCCTCCAACTCAGGGTTGGGTTTTTTGAGCGCGGTCACGCTAAAAAAAACGCGTTATCAGCAAAACGAGTTAACAGTTGCACTCATTAGTCAGCAGGTATTTCAGTCATTTTTCACCGACATTCGTGATGATGTAAACAATACCTCGTAAACAGCCCGGCATATTTGCAGGAATCTGCAATGTGTGTTGCATCGAACCCGTCACTTGTTGACCGGCTGGTGCTCTTGTTGGAGACGGACGATGCTAGTGCTACACAAGCGCTTCGAGCCATACGTGGACTAATCGCTTGTTCATATATAAAGGTAAGCAACCTATCTTGTGTGCCACTCGCGCCATTTTTTAAAAATAAGTTTTTTTGGTTTTGTTTACCTTCTACGGTTGCATTTAAACCCTTTTTTGTGTGAGTCTCCACCATTAACATTCTTACTGGATTCTGCAAAACGAATGTGTCATTTTGCACAAGCTTTTATATGAAACACTTTTTGGAAATTCATTTTCCCACTCGAGCCAGTGAGTACAAATCCTGATCTTACGATTAGCAGCAAAGCTTCCTTGTCTACTCAAAACGATCTTGGTAAGTTTAAGGAGCCCCTAGCAGAGGTAATGGGAGATTTTACAGTGTTGTATTGGCAAATAGCGCGTCTGCAGGGCATAGACCATCGCGAAAGTCGTCTCAACCCCGCCCCCTCGTTCCGGATCAGCCTACCTGCCGTATTTCCCAGCGCATACGAACGTTAGGAGCTTATTTTGCCATTTTCCTGCGATGCAAAGCCCAGACTTAAATTCAGCAAAGGGGAAGGCTGCGGAAGAAAAACTAGAAAGCAAGATTTTGCTAAGACACTGTCTCTCAGTCATTTTATGGTAAACGGAGAGATTAGCCTGCTTGAACACTTACCACCAAATGAACACATATTAGAAAACTTTATCCACGATATATAAACCCATAGAAAAGGAAAATCGGAATGTGCACCGGACAAACTACAAAAGAAAAGCTGAAATGTGCGAAAAGTTAGAATGTTTACAAAAAATATAAACAGTTATAAACCTCATAACATCAATCCAATCAATAAAACATGAAATATACCAAAGTACATTTCGAAGGACGGCATTCGCTGATAGGGGGATCCAATTTTTTTTCCTGGCTAATGGTAACTTCAACGTTTAGCTCTGCCTTTTCGGTTGGAAGAGATTTTGACTGTGATGAGCTGGAGGATTACTATAGTGAGGTTGATGAGCTGGATGTGGTTTCTCGTGCGCCTTCTTCACCGCACCCGTTGGATAACTTTTTTCCATCTAAAACGATATTGGAAGTTGAAATTATTCAGAAAAATTTGTTTTTACCTGTGCTGGCAATGTGCTATCTCGTTCTACCAACTCGTGATTATCGTCAGAATTCTCCGAAGACGGCTGTTCCGTCTCAGATTGACGACGATCCTGAGACAATCAAGATTAAGGCTTTCAAATACTATCAGAATTCCAAAAGAAAAGGCAACCACGAGAAAAATTTTAACAAATAGCAGGCACAAGAAAAACTGGACAAACTCACTTTCTTAGTAACAACTCTGCGTCCACCGACTTTCTCAGCAGGAAGATGTCCAGCCTTAGTTTCTGGTTCCTCAACAGCCATAGCTACTTTGATTCAATCTGAAACACGAAGAAAAACTGGAATAACCAGAAAAATAACCAGTAAGGGTAAAACCGATCGCGAAACGAAGAATGGATCAATGGACAAAAGAGCGAACTATGAAGCGACTTTTGTTTTATCTATGGATGTAACAAGTGACAATCAACTACAGATAATTCTATATGTTCAGTCCACAGTAGATAAGAGCACCGAATAAGAAATGATCTCAAGAAAGATCTGGGGATCTTCGTTAAAAAATATTACGAATCGAGAAACCGAAGTATAACCAACGCCGGTAAAGTTGCTTTACTGACACAACGATTGTCAAAGTCTTGTTTGTGCAAAGTGTTATCCAGGAAAAGTTTTGGGAAGACGGATTGGACGCTAAGGTTGGCTCTATCTGCTCCGGTACTTATGGATCAGCATGAACACAGTAGGGGTCAACCGTCCTCAAAAGCGAAATCTCTATTAATGCCCAGGCGTACATCACGCGATTTCGCCGCTTCGCGATTCTCCCAACAAGACAACTGCTACGTATTCATTGCATGCTGATCATCTTGCATTTCGGTTGTGATAGTTAGTCACAATCAGTCATGAGGGAAAACTATCACAACCGATATGTAAGATGATCTGCATGCAATAAACCGTAGCAGTTGTCTTGTTGGGTGCATAGCGAGAGAAACCATTATCCGTCGGAATCCGGCGCTGACCCTAGCTACAGTATATAGCTAACGCGACCATAAAAGGCGACCCAGCTGCCTCTTATCTTTCCTTTGGCTATGAATCTTACTTATTACATATAAATCTTACTTACCACATCATCAGTTCATCCTGAAACTATCATTTATCTCGTTTACTCTCTGATCTTGCCACACTAAAAATTCTCCTCATCTTGGATACTCTTTCAATATACCATAACGTGCAAATTCTAAGGAACTGACGTTTCTCTAGGATATCTAATGGAATTTATCATTATCGAGATACCCCAGTAACTTTTCGCCAGAATGTAAAAGGGTTTTATTTAATGAAGTTAGAAGAACCTCTGCTTCCCAAAACGTGTACGTTGTTCAGGGAGATGAAGTCATCCTTATCAATGACAGTCTTGTTTTGAAATCTCTAACAACAAAAAGATTTCGTGAATGATACTTCTACGTCATCCATCAACATCAGTTGTTAGCAAACTCAGGTCCCTATTCATTATTTGAGTACGGATAGCGAAATGATTAGTTATATATACGACCTAGAGGATAAACAACACATCATATCAAATGCGGGACTCTTTATGATCTGATAGTAAGATCAATGAAAAAGTAAGAGGCAGTCGGGTCGCCTTTTATGGTCGCGTTAGCTATATACTGTAGCTAAGGTCAGCGCCGTTCCGACGGATAATGGTTTGTCATAGCGAGGCGATGAAAACGCGTGAACTACGCCCGAGGCTGCCTTGGCATGTAACTTTTGGCTCGATCGTACGGACTGACATGAAAACACATATACAATGAACCAGAACTGAACATGTGGTAACTATGAGAAAGCTGCAGTGCACGAAACACATAACCATTTTATTCAACATGATCATGAGGCTTTACACAGGCAGTGGAGAAAAACGGGTTATGCAGAATTGATATCTATTTGCGAAAAATTTCCGAAAATTGTGCAATCGACAAGATATAAGGTCCCGCCTTCCAGTGTGTCCTCTACTCCTCTGCATGGCAGAATAGTACCTTGCCAATCTTATCGTGGCTTTGAACATACCATGGTGGAGTTTAAGGCCAGGATAAGAACGCTCTTAGCGTACCAAGCGCTCCCGCTACTGCAGCATATTACTGCAACGAAAGTACAGTCGAGTAGATTTAGCGGTAAATATAGTGTGCTTGCACAGAAGGTGAAATGCGCTGAAATTTGCGCGTGAACAAACAGCCACGTCAGTACCGCGGGCATCTTGCGCGCGCAATTGGCCGGCGTCACAGTCGAAACTATTTCTTCACGCGCCAATTTTTACCGCATTTCACCTTCTGTGCAAGCACACTATATTTACCGCTAAATCTACTCCACTGTATATCGCAGTGAAAAAAATTATTTCTTCTGTTCTTGCAAAATTAGAATTAGCTTGCCATAAATTCGCCCATTCTTTGCTTTGCACACTTTTCACACATCTGCAAGCAATGCTTAACTAAACATTCTAATGCTCGTCCGTTTTTCCGACTCAGAGGCGCCAAACCGCAACGCGGCAGCTGGCGCAGCTGGTAGAGGGTATGCGCTGTGATATTTGCTATTTACCTTAGCTTTCAATTCAAAAAAATCTCGACTATTACCTCACTAGAAAGGCTTGCATAATTTTACTGAATTTTGTTTCGATAACACTTATTGACTTGCACAACGGACTTCCCCATGCTTTCATTTGAAACCTTAACTCTCCTTTCTCACGAAATATAATTTTATCGCGAGGAACAACGAATCGTGTTTGTAGAAAACGGCAAACTGTAAAAAAAACGTTCGACAATAAAGCGTCATCAAAACGCAGATCGATACGCAAACAGAGCGTGCATTGTGATATTTCAGAGCGCGAAAAACAAATATGAACCACATGTCGGCAGCATCTTTGAGAGTTTACAGCCGTTGTTCCAAAGAATTAAGAACTTACGAAATAAATAAATAAAGCACAAAATCGGATTTTTGGCCAGAATGCAAAAATTTGGACGAGTTTTTGCGACCAGCACCATCAGCAACAATAGCATTGCTTGCAGATGTGAAGAGACAACACAGCAAATCATCGAGGGGGCGGAAAGGGGTGGTAAGAGAGTTGTTTACGAGTTTTGGGACGGGAGCGAAGAGACGAGCAAGGCCATTCAGCCGGCTAGCGCAGAGACGGAGAGCAGTCATGTGCAGGGCGTAGCGATTCGATTCGGTTACCTGAAGTTGGTCCTGTGCAGAAGTAGGTCAAGGATGGGAGTAATGAGAAATTGATGGGTGCAGGATGGGGAAGATCAATGAAAACGGGATGAATGGAAATGTCAATATTAGCTGCTTTTTTGCACTTGCACTTCTGCACACAGCAGAAATAAATCGATGGGAAGAAGGTACGGCAAAATGGCACGGAATGGCACAAAAATAGCTGATATAGTGGAGGAAATATCTTCGATTTTCTTTCCAGGTGGTACTGCTATCGAATGCCGGTTTTTATCTGGGAAAACTGCTTGCCGAAGAGAAAAACACGGCCGCTGTCGTGGGCACATTGACGGCATTGGCGACGAAACGAGTACGAGACACTGGCAGACAACTAGCTGGAAGGTGAGACTGACTTTTACGAAGAGACAGAAAAACGCAAAAAAAGCGGGGAGGGGAGGGGGAGAAAATGACGCGAGCGAGCGGGCGAGGCGCACGTGCGGTGTTTGCTCGTTTATATATACACACGCTCAGCACAACATGGCTTTTTGGTTAGTCACAGATCACGAGAATTCATATCGTTGCCGATTATTTCATTAGCATGTGGCATTTCAAAAACGGGAGATAACGTTCGATTCGTTGTTGTGTCGGGTGGTAGGGGGGGAGGGAGGGGGAGTAGTCCAGCTGTTTGCGAAGCTATTTTATGAATGATCAGTCTATTTTTGGGCACACTATTACGAGGAATACGTCTAAACCCTTCGTTTGAATTTAAAACGGCGTGTTGGCAGATTTATTTTTGGAATGATGATTGCTTGCATGAATAATTCCGAGGATTTACACTTGTATTATATCCAAAAATACACTGAGCATTTGAAAATAGCTTGTTCAAATTTTTGTGCTACTTTTGAGAGGTTTCAGAACAGCGAAGAAATGTAGTAACCAAACAAAAAAAAACATGAAGGGTCTCTAGGCAGCTACCTCGCATTGCAGCTTTTTTAGGTTGAATTTCGATTTTTTCGTTGAGGTCGCTAAAATCAAAAATCTGGTCTACGAGCTACCTATTCATGCAAGCAGTTTGTTCATGGTTGTGACTAATAGAAGGAAATCTAGAATTCTCAAAAAATTTAGGAAGTTAATCCAGAAACGAAAAGTTACGTAAATTTTTCGCTGCTTAAGAATTCATTTCAAAAGAGAATATTTCCCTGCTCACAGCGTGGGAAGAGGAGAATTCAAATTTTTTTTTGAATGGAGTGACGTTAGCCTTCACCGCTATTCCCCCCCCCCCCCTCGAGAAATATCTTTGGGACCGCCACGGTCGAATAATGGTGCAGGCAGAATGCGAGCTAGAAAGAATGTGACTCTCTGATAAAATGAAACTGCTAATCGTGTGCATAAAATCTCTAATAGGTGATTCATAGCTAATCATTCATGGAGATTTAGATTGTCAGTCATGGCTGTCATAAGCTGCTATAACTATTCTTTGGTCAACGCAAACTAATTATTCGTTGAGATGTCGAATCTTTTTGACTGAATTCTAATTCACTTCCTCAAAAGTTTCGAAGCTCTGGGAGCGTTAGTAAAATAACATTGCAAAAATACAAAGTCGCTGACACTTTGGACAAGAGGAAGAAACCGTAACGCATGCAATTTTGTCGCTTAGAGTGAGACTTTCTATGTCAGCACATCAATTTAATTGACGCTTACCTGATGAAGAGTTAGAGAATGAATGTAATCTCAGAAGCCTCATTGTCGTTGTGATAGTTGACCAGAACCAGTCTTAGACACGCCAGATCCTGAGCTACTGGTATAGCTTGGTTTATGCAATTTTCTATCAAGCTTACAGATCGTAAAGATAGGGATACGAAGTTTCGAGAACTCAGGCTACTGACCGGAACTTCCGCAGAACGTTTGCGAAAGTTCCGCCTGTCGCCTGCGGAAGTTCCGTAAACGTGCTGCGGAAGTTCCCAAATTGGGTGCTGCGGGACTTCTATAAAATACGAACCACAACAGCAAAGGAGAACATTTAAACGAGAATGAATCTTGCTCTATTGACTGCGAGACTCACTCACTATCCTCTAAACTACGGATGACATCTTCGGCAATAAACTCTGATTTGGCGAAACAACGTCGTAGGAGACAACTTCAAAAACCTGTGGAAGTACTGGCCGGTTAAAGTGCTGCGGGACTGCTGGCATGTTCCGGTGTTTTCGCAGCGTTTTATGAAAAGTCCTGTGGAAGTTTCTGCTTACAACCAATCAAATGTGAAGATCCTGCGGAAGTTCTCTTTTTCAACGTTTCCAGTTTTGTAATAGTAAACAAAATCCTGCAGAACCGCTGCAAATCTTGCTTGTCTTGCGGAAGTTTGATGAAATGTCTGAGAAAATATTCTGAAAGTCCGGTGTTATGACTTGCATGTGTGAGTTGGTTCCCAATGATAAAAGCCCCGTTGTCGACGTCTGAGATGTGTGCAGTATGACGTTTGCTGACTTTTGATCGTCTAGACCAGTTTTTGTCGGTCACGCATCGCTCTTGTTCATTGTTCTCAAATAATTCCGGGAAACGAGATCTTTGTTCAAGTCTGTTTGGGGCCTCTGAAATGCTACTAGTCATGCTTGTACAATCACAGTAACTGAGTTTGCGATTACACTATATCAGATAAGTAAAATTGTCGTGAAAATTGGTCTAGAGAGTGCTTCTTGGAGGTCATAAGAGCTTTTGATGCACTTGTGGAGCTGCAGTGTGCAGGGCACGATAGCACAAAGGGCAATTTTCCTGCAAACAATAGATAAGGAGTGCTCGGACATACGTGAAAGCAAAGCGTCTGTAGTGTTAAGGGAGAGTCGACATTTATTGAAAGTAGCATATGAAAGTAATTTGGGAGCCGCTCTTATATTTCCAAAAAAGTCATGGAAATTATTGGCTCATTCTCACCGTTTATTATCTCGGATAGCGTTAGAGTATCCCGTAATTTTCCGATTTTATAAGAATTCTCAGTCTTTCTGTTTTTTTCCTTCACTGAGACAAGCTTGCTTACCATAGGTAGAGCAACGCAAGATCTACGACACCAAGAATCCGCCTGAATCATATCTTATGTAAAATTTTTAGGCAGATATTCTGATAATACTCAGAAACGAATTTGCCCTAAAACAACGTAAATCTTTTCCAGAACATTTTATTTATATCCAATACAACCAAACAATCACACAAATCGCGTATTCTTCCTTTTCTAGAAATGAAAAAATTGATTGTGGTAAATGGCAAACTCTGTCCCTAATGGTTTTGTTCCTCCCATACACTTGATTAATACTCTGTTCATTTAGAGGTACGGTGTATTTCCCCTACTAAACGCTGTCAAGATATATTGTTTTTGATCTTGAAAACGGAAAAAAATTATGGGACAGCCTATTATTACACTTTTACTTTAGCATTTCCTCTCTGGCAACGGAGATCCGAGCCTTTTTTGGGAGAGGAGGGCGATAGAAGTTTTAGTACTACAATTCTTTAGCATCTCCTTTCTGGCAGAGGCTCGGGAAAATTTTTTGAGGGGGGCTATAGCAATTTCGCCAGTGGGAAGGCATTTATTGGAATTAGCCAATCGAAAATGTTTGAGAAGCTTCAAAATGAAAAGGAGTAGAGGAAGGGGGGGGGGGGTGTCGGAACGTCCTGGAAATTTTTGACAGAACTAATTTGTTATGTAGAAATTTCAGACTTTTTTCCAATTTTCTCAAGTAAGAACAAGTCACTTGCACAATCCTTTTAACACTGGACACAGGAAAAAATGTGCTTCATTCATTTATTTGAGCAACTTCTTCTCAACCTTTCCCAGATCTTGAATTTGATAGTGAGCAAGTTGCTCATTATCAAGTTCGAGGTCTGGGAAAATGTGTTGGTCCACAGTTGCACCTGCAAAAATTTATTTTTCATAGAAATTTGCATAAAAAAGAGAATTATAATGTTGTCTTCCAGCGAATGCGCCGAGCGTCTTCTCAATCTCTTCTTCTCTGATGAAGTGAAAGGAGCTAAAGAGTTACTCGTGATGCTTTGCGAAGGATCTACCGACATGAGAGACAGGTAGAACAACTAGTTCACGTGCTGTATCTTGAAATGTGTTTTTCAGGATGGGAGAGGCTCAGATTATTCAGAAAATTGTTGAGACTAAAGATGAGGGCGCTCTAAACTGCAGACTATTGGCTGCTTTTGCGCAGGTATGGTTACCTATTTCTTTTGTGAAGATATATTATAAGATAGGGAATTAGACATAATAATTTTTTTTTCTCATAGTGTAGTTACTAAAAGCAAAAAGCTTTGAAAATTTTGATTTTTTCCGAATGCTTGAGAGCGATATTTCGGCTTGCTTGACTGAATAAAAAAGTTTCATTGTAAAAAATCTTTTCCAGGAAGCTTGGGGTCGTGCAGCTTTGAGAGAGTTTGGTGCCCTTGATTTTCTCATTTCACGTTTGTCATCCACAAACGCAAGTTCCGCTGAACGTCTAGCTATTGTACAGCCACTACGACATTTCGTCCATGATACTAACGGTAAGCTGAACTTATGGTAGTTCTGCAAATTTTATCTATTTGACAAGTTTGTCAGGTGATAGAGAACTCTTTCATGAGAGATGGGGGTGTTCCGTTTGCAAGGAATTCTAATCATTCCAGGTATGGCTTTTCTCGCTCGGAATCGGCTTTTCGTGGATACCGTGGTGAAGGATGTGACGGAGTTCATAGCCAGTAATAAAATTGTTTGTGAGGTTTGTTGACCGTTTGCTGTTATCATTTGTGCTTTTCTAGAATTAAATTTACAATTTTCGTTCTCTGTGCCTCTTGCTTCCATGACCGCTTCCTAAAGATATCTTATTCTGCCGTTTGTGAGGTTATGATTACTATCTCCTGAACCCAAATACCTAGAAAATTTATCAAAATCATTTGTTTTCTGTAGTTCTCCGGAGTTCAGTTTTATTTCCTTGTTGTGACATTTTTTGCGATTAGATAGGAAGCGACGGCTTTGATGAATTTTCTGCCATTGAAATCTCATTTTCGGAAGAGACTTTTCACTATTTTGCTAAACTTTACCCTCAGCAAACTTCAGAATTTATGTGCTGAACAATTTTATTTTCTTATTGTATCATAAGGAGCAGTCTTTCAGCCTGAGATTGTTTCTGGTGAAGACGATTTGCGACCGGACAGTCCTTTACTAATGGAAATAGAATCCTACATACAGAAGAAAGGCGATAACGATGAGGTGCGTTTTGATTTTTATTGAAAGAATGCCATAACAAAAATTGTTTTTGAAGGATTCCCGTGACTCGCGTCTTCACAAGGACTACTCGTCTCTTTGGGCTTACTCGACGCCCTCTCCGAACAGGTCATCGTTCAGCTCTCCTATGTATAGTCCCCCTTCTAGCGGAGCTGGTAGTCCAGTGTCTGGTTACAGTACCAGTCCATTGGCAAGGTAATCCATATATAGCTTTGAATATACAACAGTGCATTTTAAATGCTTAGCAACCTTTCAGTCGAAATTTTTTGCTGAGTGTCTATCAGTATACAATTATAAAAAATAGGAGAGGCAACTCCGCCATCCAATGGCAAGCCCCGCCCACCTGATTAGAGCTGTTGAACATGCTGGGAATTGTGGTTGCCTGGGCGGAGTCTGCCAAGAGGGGCGGAGCTACGCGGAGGAGGTTAAAATTGGTCATAGCGCGATGCTGTCGTCTATGTTTTAAAGGCTTTAGAAAAATTAAAAGAATTGAATTGGGTTTATTGCATGATTTTGCCAATTACAGGCTTTTCTGGTTGTCAGCTAAAAAAATAACAAAGATTGATACTACTGTTGTTCTAGCCCCTTCTCCCAACAAAGGACAGCTAGCGAATCGACATCAGAAGTACCGGATTTGGAATCATCCGTAGGAAATCTAGAGTTACGACAGGAGCGAACGGTTTGTGTACTTCTTTGTTAGATGACCGTAGCTTAGAGCATAAGCCTGAGATCTGTTGCATTTTGAAGACGCTGTGTGCTAATGGACTTGCGGAGAAATGGTGGATGCACGTAAGATCTCAGGGTGCTAATAGTAACAAGTCGAGGATCGAGGAATAAATCAGCTTGATTTATTTCAGATTATAGAAAGTGAACTTTGGTTGCTTACATGGCAAGCGCAGGAAGATGCAAATTTGCCGTTTCTATGTCGAGACGATGTGGTGGTTAGTATGGTATAAGGGTACCGTCCACCAACTTGGAGATTTTGATGGTATATGGTAGCGAAGCTCCTGACTAAGTAATTGCCAAAGTCCTGCTGCAAAAGATGAATTCCGGAACGAGAAAAGTTCTCTAGAAGTTAAACGCGGCCAAGATGGCTCCGCCCAACAACTTGGGTGGTCTAAAGATAATGAGTTCAAAAGTGGCGTCAGGGTAGATATTAGGTTGGTGCAAAAGTAATGCGCGTTTTTCTAGCCCTTATTTCAAGACAGCTTTTCATCGAAGTTGCTCCTATGAAATCTACACAGCATACTTTAAAGAAGCTTTTTTCATGCTCTATTCAATAGTGGTTGAAAGCTTCTAGCCTTAGTCGTTAAAATTTTATAGAGCTTCATACAACCGCACTCGAAACCAGAATTTCATTGCACTTACATTTTTGGCCAGAATTTGAGCGCGAGTAATCGCATTCTTTTGAAATTTTAATTGCTGTATGTAGTAGAAATTTTCTACGTTATGCACGCTTTGATGTTTTCTCAAAAATTATTTAAACTGAGATTTCGGTGCCCCAACATGAGTGATGGTTTTGAACATTCTATGGCCCATAGATTCCCTTTGAAGAAAGCAATCGCCAAAGTTTTGCTCGCTCCTGCAAGCGTAACGGTGGACTTCCTGTTGACAGTTTTTGCAGAAATTTGGAAGCTGTTCAGTACACAGAAAATCAAAAATCTCCATATTTTGGGATTTTGAGGGCTACGAAAAAATGTCGAAAAAGCGGACAATTTTAAATATTAGTTTTCCCTTTTCTCAAATCTTCCTTGTTTGAGCCCCTTTCAACTTTTTTTGTACTAATGGCTTGCGGCTACAGGACAGTCTACTTTTCATTTATATCAACAAATCTTAAAGGAAGTTAGTTAAAAACGAGGTTTCCGAAAAAAATTTTTTTTGCTTATCAATCCATATTTTTTCACCGTTTTGCGCTGTTAGCACAAATTAATGTGCGCTGTATAGAGGGAGGTTTGTTGCCTCTGATGGAATTTGCCGCGCTGAAAAATATGGATTTTTTAGAAAGTTATAGCACGTCAAAGTGAGAACTCGCAAAACGCGCATTACTTTTGCACCAACCTAATATAAATATCGAAAATTTGGTAATCATAGCAGAGGACGGTTTTTTGACTGTTCTAGATGCACCAAAGCCCAACTTTGGGACGTGGTATTTTCGGACTACCTATGTTGATAGGCGGAGCTACCTTGGCCGCTTCTGTCTTCTGGAGCGAGTTTCTCGTTTCGGAAACTATCTTTTGCAGCAAAATTGGGCGATTGCTCGAATGCGAGCTCCGCTATAATGCAGCATCAAAATCGTACCATGCACAGTTTGGCTGGACGATGCCTTATGTAACCAAGAATTTTTTAGAATGCCGTACTTTCCTATCTGGCTTTTGCTCCATCTCCTGACTATCGTATTGGACGAGTTTTGCGAAGAATGGCCTGTTCCAGACCTTCAATAGATGCTTTACTAACAATGCAGTTCCATACGCGTGTGCTCCATACTCTTTGCATGGTACCCTGTCGGGTGGTTCGGTTAGTTCATGAAATTTCGCGAAAAGTTGAGAGTTTCAATTTGCTGTGTTTCAGATATGCAAAACGTTGCGCGCGATGTGAGAGAGCTGCTGAGTTTGGAAGGGAAATACTTAGGTAATCTGTCTGAAAATTAAATTCTGTGTCATCACATCAATTTTCGTCGCACTAAACGCATGCACTTTGAAGCAATAAGAGATTCGCTAAAATTATAAGTAGTAATGAAGCTGCTCGAGAACTAGCGGTTCATGCAATGCATCTGCAGTCAGCATCATGTTTCAGCTGCGTCGCGTTCTGTGACTCGCTTGTAGCCGCGCCGCCGTAGTCTGTGCATTGCCTGCGTCCATAACTCAGTTACGCATTATTTGAATTTACTGCGATTTGTGCTTAATGAAAGAGTGGTATACGTTTTAGACTCCCAGAATGAATAATTTTATCATTTAGGATATTAAATAGTGTTATGATCAGAAATCAGTGCTAAGTTGTCGAAAAATGTTTCCTCCTGCGGGCTGAGGTTGTTTTTTCTTGTTGAGATTTTTCGATAAAAATTCCAGAGAATTCGCAAGCCATGTGGATAGCGATTTTGGCAATTCGTTTTTGGTCAAACGCCTTTCTAATAATGATTTTACTACTCGTGTTGTAGCTGCTATCGCTAAAGTAGCTTTGATTAGGTAAGTGAACTTCAACCCTGACTACCATGATTATTTTATTATTTTCTCCTACTCTCCCAAAAAGGCAATTTTCAAACTTTATAGGGATCGTTTCCGTCTTGGCCAGATGTCCTTGGGCTGTTTACCAGCTCTTGATTTGCTTTTTGATTCACTTCATTCTCTTCTGCTCACTGAAGACTTTCCAGAAATAGCTGATGAATCCACTTATGTAGACGGAGTAAGTTTGTTGAGACTTTTCCAGGAAAGTTAATCTATAAACGAATTTATAGCCTCCACTAGGCGCTCAAATGATCGGTGCTATATCTACACTGGTTTCTCCGCAACGACTACGGTACTTGCTATATTTTTTGATTATGAAAAGTCAAAAACTCTGTGAAATTCTAGAGAGATTTTGGATGCAGACTCGGCTGTTCGACCACAGGAGCGAGGCGAATGCATGATTGAGAAGAACAGGTTGTTATTCTATTATAAATCTGCTTCACCCTTCTCGTTTCCCATTCGGAAAGTTTTATTAATGTCTAATTTAGTACGCTGGACATGGAAAGGCTGATTTTCGAGACAAAATCAGGCGAAGTCTTGGCCCGCGTGCCTATGAATGCTATTTGTGAAGCTAGTGAATATTTCCAGGTAATTCAAAGTCCTATGAAGTGCAACTCAGTTAAGGTGCCGTCCAAGACTGAGGATAATGGGATTCTGTTAGCTAGCGATAGCTGCGCCCGTAACTAAGTAATCGCACAAGTTCCGCCGCGAAAGGTGAAGTCGAACGCAGGAGAGTCGCTTTAGGCCCCGGACAGACTTCACGCGACTTATCCTAATTTCACGCGTACAAGGCGCGGGGTGGTCCTAGCTTTCATCGAGCTGCTCAGCCGCCCCAATGTGTTTTGAGAAGCGATCCTTATGCCGCACGATTCGTCAGGCAAAACGCAGCACGGTATGGGGTTCCTTTGGTTGCGAAGTCCTTTGCCGTGTTCGGGCTGGTCGATGAAAGCTAGGACCACCCCGCGCCTTGTACGCGCGCGTGAAATTAGGGTAATCGTCGCGATCTAATCGCCAAGATTTCCATTTATTCTCATTTCACATTCAAAAATTTCGGGCTGGAAAAGTATCACAACCGAATGCAAGTTGATCGGCATGGAATGATGTTAGAACAGTTGTCTCGTCGCGACTCAGCGCGTGAAATCTGCCCGGGGCCTTAGGAGGTAAAAGCTGCGGTGGTCGCTCCGCCCCTCAACGTGCGTGGTCCACAGACACAAGTATAAAGTTGGGCTGGAATGTGTTCAGAATTGTTCGAAGATTTGCCCATGATTATCACTATCGGACTTTCGGCAGCTTTGGACACTTAAGCTCAACTTTGGACTTGTATCTCTAGAGCGCCCACGTTGATGGGCGGAGCGACCTCCTCCTCTACCTTCTGGTGCAGCTTTCTCGCTTCGGGACTCATCTATTGCAGTGGGGTTTGGGCATTTACTACATAAAGGCCCCCGCGATTGTGCCATACCGAAATCTATTCGCCCTCTGGGACGATGCCTTCAACGCTATCGGTTGTTTAGGGGATGTTTACATCTGATCTGCGAGAAAAAGCAACTAAACTGAGAAGTTTTGTGTTTTCTCCTGAGGAGGAAGAATGCTCAGCCGAGGACTTCACTCGTTTCCTACATCATCTATCTGGTTGTCGATCACAGTGTTCTGCAATTCATTCAGCCAAGACATGTGTAGCAATGATCAGGGTAAGTTTTTCTTTCTCAAAATGAAATTGGGTCGTTTCTATTGCCTGCGGAATGGAAAGGTGTTATTGGAAAAGATCATGTTTCTTGAGCCAAATGTGATTATATAATAGAAAGAAGTCAAAATTGCCATTTGAGTGTGGCTTACTGATTTGTTTTGTGCATTTTGGCTTTACATTAGACAATGGAAAATTTTTTTCAAATTATTGGTTTTTGCATTGCTGCGGTTTAAAAAACACTCGAAAGCTTAAAAGAGAAGTCTAACAACAGCGAAGGGGAGGGGGGCTACAAGGGTTGTGAAAATGAGAAGCACTAGCAATAATTTTCAGAATGTTTGAAAAATGCAAGTCAGATCTTGAAAAAATATTCTTAGGGCTAAAATTTGAAAATTTTCGAAATTTGTTTCAAAAGCACCTTTGAATTTTGTTTCGGAAGGCGTGGCTGACGTGACGCCTTCGAGAAAATTCTGTTCACTCCTTCCCCCCTCCTTGAAAAAGGACCTTTTGGACCGGTACTGCTATAAAAATCCGCTTTTCTCGGAATTAGAGTTCGATAATGCATAGTCCCTCTATGAATTTCGTTGTCTCAATTTGTGTATCTTCATATATACACAAAAAACCAATTTTTTCAGCTTTCCGATCGATATCTGTGCTCAGCATTAGCGAACTATGTATGTAGTCCTCATGGTCCTGCGAGTCGTATATTAAACGGGGATACATTACCGGTGTTTCTACCTGGTGTGCTCACTGCTCAAACTCATGAGAGGTAAGTTAGCCAAGCCTATCGAAAAATTCTCAAGCAGAGGTTTTCAATTGTTTTTTTACATTTTTTACAGGCTTATTGCCATGTGTCTTCTCACGCTCATACGCTACTGCACAAGTTCACAGATCGTGTCCGCTCTACGATCCGTAGCTCAAAACCGTCTCCTTGTGGACTCATTCATCGAACAATTGAAGGCATTGACTACATCGTAAAAACGACTTTCCCTCCTGTCCTTATCTCAGACAACTGACCGGAACTTCCGCAGAACATTGGAAACCTTCGCCGGGTGCCTGCGAACCTGCGAAAGTTCACGAATGAGCTGCTGCGGAAGTTCCAAAGTGCATACTACAACAGCAAAAAAAAACCTAAGCGAGACGAACCTTTATCTATTGAGTCGGGGACTCACTATCCACTGTACTGGGGATGACAGTTCCACCATGCCTTTGCCTTCTAGTTGTTGGCGAGGAACATCGTAAGAGACAACACATTCAAAAACCTGCGGAAGTACCGGTGTCGAAGTGCTGCGGAACCGTTGGCGTTTTTCGGAATTCCGCAGCGCTTTGTAAAAAGTCCTGCGTAAGTGCCCGTTTTCAACCAGTCTGAATTTGAATCCTGCGGAAGCTCCCATTCATCAAGGTTTCCATTTTTGCAATAGTAAACAAAATTCTGTGGAACCGCTGCAAATTGCTTGTCCTGTGGAAATTCCGGTGAATTGTCTAACAAGGAAAGGATACTTGGTGACCGTGGCCTTTTGTAATGAGACGTACACCATTGAATGCGTTTTAAAGCGCTAACTCAAAATCTGTTTTCATTATCTGCTGTGCGCTCTTCCAAAAGAAGTTATGAACATTTCTTGCCACCAAAATTTGCACTGTTTTTGATGCAAGATTCACCAATATCGTTAGAATGTTCGCTTACGCACTACAAAAGAGCGTACAGATAAAGTAAAGCTTCACCTCAAGCTCAGCAAAATTGTTGTCGATACATCAGAGTCTAAAAAGGCTGGATACTGACGATTTTGATGGCCTAAATCTCGCAAAACCGATACGGAAAAAGTCCATAACTTCGTTCAGGGGGTCGCACAGCAGATAGTAAACATAGATTCAGAATCAGCGTTCCAAGACGCATCTACTGGTGTACAAGTTTTTGCAAAAGGCCATGGTCACCAAGTATCCTTCCCTCGTAAGATGTGAAGCTTTTATTTCTGCTGTGGTACGGGACTTGATCATGCATTGGGTCTTATTAGTATGGGTCGTTGTAGTTGTGAGTCTGGCTCACCTCGCTGTAAACTTCAAAGAAAGTCATTTCTAGTGAATAAAGTATTTATGTTGCTTGTTCGACTTTTTTTTTGCAGATAGGTCATTAAAGTGCTCGAAACAAAATATCAGTGCTAGAAAGAGGAAAAAAGTTGTGCGTCGTGCACTGTGAGCGTTTGTTTATCATTATCAGTAATTTGAGAATGGGTCTAGAAAACTACATGAACTTTCGGACGACCCACTGTGAGGCGATGCCATAGCACCAGGACTAAATCAACTTTTTACTGTTTCTAGAAGCTGGAAAACATCGTCACTAGAATATCGCGTCGCATCTGTGCTCCTATCTCCAAAAAAGGACTCCCTATCTTTAAGAGCCGTCCCTTTATCCGAAAACGGCTAAAGGGGAGATTTGAAACTAACAATAAGAACCTTTAATGTGCGTGTATCTGCTTTCCTAATTCGCTGATTACGGAAACGAGTAGCGTAGTAGTATGAGGCGCCCCTATGCAGCTGGATCCAGATTTGATCCCGCCTTTGTGCCATCAGGCCCTCTACCCTTGGGCCGGTAAATTGGTACCAGAGTAACCTGGGAAGTCAAAAGCACTGACTTGGTAATCGGCTAGCCTCCGCAAGTAACTGTAATAGGCTCGCACGCATTCATTGGCCTTTTTGACTATGAAGTAGAGTGCGTTCGGCGCATGCCCTTCGAGGGTGTTGAAGACACTGAATTTTTTATCCTTTTTAATAATTTGTTAAAATCCATTGCTTTCATTGTTTGATGGGAAATCCTCAAAATGGCGACTAATTTGCAATGACGCCATTATGTCAGAAGCTCCTTCTATGATCTAACAAAGGGCGAAGTGGCTCAGCGATCTGAAGTATGAGCGAGATGGCTAGCTCATACTATAGATCTTGAAGCTACAGTGCTGGACAAAATTATAAAGCCACTCTACAAATCTTCGTAATTTTCGTTCTTGCCAGTGAATCTGTCTGAAACTTTGCTGTACTGTGCGCATGTCAACCTACCATGACTCCTCAAAACGGCTTCCAGTCTTGTTGAGTTTGAACGGAGAAAAGCGAAAAAATTCGAAAAAGCCCTCTTTGAAAGCTGGACAGAATTATAAAGCCACCTGGTTTTTCTAATCGCTATCGCATTCGTTGACTCTCAAATTTTTTTGTACAATTACATTCCAAAATATGAAACATTTGCAACACCTACGGCCTGTCATCCTACTCAAATAGAAGCGATCACTTCATTTTTTGCTTTCAAAGGCGCCAAAAGTCAATCTGCTTCAACAAACAACTGGTTTGAAGAGTTTTCAAGCCCTTGTTCATTTCAAATGATAATCATGGGATCTACTGACCCTTCTGGATAGATGAGGTGAAGAGCGCTTTCGTAAACTCTGCGTAATCGCTGATTTTGACGGACAGACTCCAACCTCACCATAGGGTTGACGCACTTTTGCACCACAAAACTCGATTTTCAAGCGACAGAAAATACTGTAATGTAGTCATTATGACAGCCATACAACAGTGAACTCGTTGCATGACTGCGAAAAAATTTCGGGATTGAGCACTCTGGTTCAGCCGCAGTTGACATCCACTGAATGTTGAGTGGAGCTCCCTGCACAACCACAACCAATTCAGATCACGAAATAAAACCGGAGACGCTTGAAACTTCAAAATCTCGGCTAATCTCATTCACCGGGTGAAATATTACATGAAACACAGAGGGAAATAAGGAGATTTAGGTCATATCGAATCTTCTGCTCGCAGGGAATTTTCGTGGAAAGTATTTCAGGTCTAAATCGCTAACGCATCATTAGGGAAAATCTGAAAGTTGTTAGAAAGCTACATTCCCATGTAGGCAATGTAATAAATCAAGTTCAGCACTTTGTGGACATTGCAAATTGAGATTTGTGGTGCAAAAGGTCAACCCTATGGTGAAATTGAAGTCTTTCCGTCAAAAACAGCAATTACGCAGAGTTTACGAAAGCGCTCTTCACCCCATCTATCCAGAAGGGTCAATAGATTCCATGATTATCATTTGGAATGAACAAGAGCTTGAAAACTCTTCAAAGCAGTTGTTTGTTGAAGGAGATTGACTTTTAATGCTTTTAAAAGCAAGAAATGCAGCGATTGCTTCTATTTGAGTAGGAAGACAGGCCGTAAGTGTCGCAAATGTTTCATATTTTGGGATGTAATTGTACAAAAAAATTTGAGAGTCAACGAATGCGATAGCGATTAGAAAAACCAGGTGGCTTTATAATTCTGTTTAGCTTTCAAAGAGGGCTTTTTCGAATTTTTTCGCTTTTCTCCGTTCAGACTCAACAAGACTGGAAGCCGTGTTGAGGATTCATGGTAGGTTGTCATGCGCACAATACAGCAAAGTTTCAGACAGATTCACTGACAAGAACGAAAATTACAACGATTTCTAGAATGGCTTTATAATTATGTCCAGCACTGTGGTTCTACGGGTTGACACCTACAAGTCGGCGAAGGACATAAGGGCGAAAAAATCTCAACGATCAACAGCATAGTTCCTTAAATTTCATGATAGCAGGCATTTGCTTAGGTTTTCCACTTGCCAATTGTGGCCGGCAACAAACAGCGAAGAAATGCATTGGAGTTGACAGATTTATGAATCAGCCCCCTCCCTCTCGGTTGTCTGCATTGAACTTTAACGTTTCTTGCGCTCCGCACATTTCCCTAGGAGATTTGTGTATATATTCATAAAACTGTTGAAGTTCAGCTTGTTTTGGGATCTGAATGTGTATGCAACTCAAAGAAATATTAAAGACGTTTACTGGTTAAAAGAGCAATCTCTAACTCGATCTCAAAGTAGCCAAATGAGAAGTGCCATTTTTGTGTATAGAGTATTGCTCGTAAAGTGTATATATGGTATGACTAGAATTTTTGGAAAAATCACAAATGACATAGGGTTTGGCTACGGCAAGATGTACATGAAGACAAAAAGAACAATAGCTGCATATAATGAATATGAAGAAGCATCTTTTCTACTGGGATCTCCAACCCATCTACTAGTAAAATCGTCTGGAGCACAAAACTCTTTTCCGCATAGTTCCGTGCATGAAGGACAGATAATCTTCATTTTCACTGTGCCAACGCCATATACTCTCTGAAAAAGCTGGTTTAGACTTCTGAATGTCTACTACAGTATAGAAAAAAGGAGGTGGAGTGCTTGGTCTTGGCATACATTGAGCAGGCTGCTAATGCTTGCACCGGCACAGTGAAAAATGGTTCTGTACGTTTCGAAAAGAATTAGATCTGTAATGTGTAGGTGTTCATAGTGGTCCCGAAGTTCCGGACCATTTCTAGCACAGTTCTCGCACTGTGCTGGAACTGTACCGGAAGTGCTGCATGCGCTGCAGCCGCTCGCATGCGACTTTGAGCGGCGGGAGTTGGGGATTTTGGGCCGTTTTTGACGGTTTTTCTTTCGAATTTCTCTCAATTTGCCTTGTTCCTTTATCCCGCTTCCCCTTTTAATAAGCACTCCGAACTTAAAGCGGGGTTGGAGAATGAGCGCTGTTCTGCTCTGCGTATCCGACAAGATGTGTGTTCTTGCGTCGTCTATTTCGCCTTATTTTTGCTCAACCTAAACCATCTATTCCCAGGAAAGCGCTGCGCTGCTTTCACATCCGTTCGCTTTGAACTAGGGCAAAAAACATATCAGTTTGCTGGACGGGATTTCCCTGCAGTTTTTTGATGTGTTCCCCTATTGGCGTTCTCAGCCCCTCTTCCTTTTTCGAGTTTCTTGCTCTTTCATCCTTCCTCCCCGCTCCTCCTTTTGGCGAATTCAGCTTCGAACTTGAAGCATGATCGGAGAATATGCCCCTTTCAATAAAGATGCGGAACTACGTAGCGGGAACATGAAGTAGGTCTGAACAAAAACAACGAAGAGAGAAAGGATGAGTGCACGCAGACTTCTTCCCGGATTGGAGCAGAACAGCGTTCAATCCTCAACCCCCTCCAATTTCGGATTTCCGCTCATCGAAAGGAAAAGCGGGGTGGAGGAATAAGGCCAAAATGAGAGAAATCTGGAGTGGTAGTAATTTGGTCGGAACCAACGAATGATGTGATGGTTCAATCATGACTACATCGTGGTTAGCATGATCATCTTCTTACGGCCGTTTAGTTCAGTCGGTCATACAAAATCATGAGACAAATAATTAACTATCAGAGAACCATGCTTGTTTCATGCTTGTTTCATTCTAAACCAAACTATGAATTAATTAGCAGGTTAACATCATTGTTTCCTTATCAGGTAGAGTAGTGAAATTAGCACATCATTTCATGAGACGCAGACGTGAAACCACCATATCATGTTTGAAATAAAAAAGTACCCCCGATCATTTTTTCGTTGAAAACAATGGAGTGTTGGTTTCATTGTGTTAACGCGTAAAGCACCAAAGTAAGGTCAAATAATCATTCTATTGTGCTAGGACGCCAGATGAACATAACACGCAGTGGGTTATGCGTTTTCTAGTTACAATTTATCAAGGGGCGTATTTATCAACCTCCGACTCGCTGTTGGGCCTTATAAACAATTGCCTGGACAGGCAAGAGCTTCAATCCCGTGATTCATAAGATTTTAGAACGTGCTCTGATGGCGATTTTGGCCATGTCGGGCACGGCAGTCGAGCAGCGGCCCGACCTGTCGAGATCTGGCTCTGCTGCCCGAAGGCGGTGCCCGACATGGCCAAACTTGCCATCGACCATATTCCCCAGTCAGTGGCGTACCCAGGATTTCGGCTCGGGGGGGCGCGACAAAAATTTTTTTCCTAAAGAAGGTGCGTGGCGTTAGCCACGCACTCCGAAAAAATTTTTGGGGTGGTTCTCAAGACTTTTGCGGGTCTCCGGCCCCTAAAATCTGGAAAAAGGGGGCGTGGCGTCAGCCACGCCCCCGAAAAAAATTTTTTTACAAAGCTAATTTGAATTTTTAAAAATTTTTAAAAATCATTTTAATTATTTACAAAAATAAACAAGTCACTTGCACATTTTTATAACCCATATAAGTAACTTTCCAAAATTTCGCGACCCATTCTCGGGGGGGGGGGCGCCCCCCCCCCCGCCCCCCCCCTCGGTACGCCACTGTCCCCAGTAGACAGAACCCCAATCACCAGCTTGACTTCGAGTATCGCGGGCTCCAGTGCCCGCACCTGTACGGGCTATTACTTGTACAGGAATCCCTTCCTATATAAGAAAATGATATACAGGGTGCGGCAAAAGTCTGGGAGCCTAACTTTGCAGCATTGCAATTATAAAGGTACTGGTGGTTCTGACTTCAATTTTATGCCACACTAGCTGGCTTACCCGGCTCCGCCGTATATTCCGAATAGAAAATTCCATTTCTTAACCGATCCGGACCAAACTTGGCACACATACCCTTCGGGCCCCGGCGGGTGTCACAGTCCACTTTTCGTTATCGATCGATGTCGATTTTATCGATTTTTTGCAAAATTTGAGCTAGGGGGCTGGAATTTGGCAGGGGGGGGGGGTGTAATCGAGCATGCTGATCACCCCCACGGGGGTGATCAGCATGCTCGATTACCCCCCTGTGCCAAATCCCAGCCCCGTAGCTCAAACTTTGCAAAAAAATCGATAAAATCGATAAAAGTTATGCACGATTTTAAAAACTAATATTGTATTCGGAATCCCCATGCTCACTTACCCCCCTGTGCCAACTCCCAGCCCCGTAGCTCACATTTTGCAAAAAATCGATAAAATCGATATCGATCGATGACGAAAAGTAGCCTATGACACGCGCCGGGGCCCGAAGTGTATGTGTGCCAAGTTTGGTCCGGATCGGTTCAGAAATGGAATTTTCTATTCGGAACATACGTACAGACAGACATACAGACAGACAGACAGACATACAGACAGACAAACAGACAAACAGACATTCAGCTTTATATATAAGATAAATTTTATCGATTTTTGGAAAATCTCGAGCTACGAGCTTGGGAGTTGGTACAGGGGGTGAATGAGGATGCTGATTAGAACCGAAATCTATTTTATCGATTTCAGCAATTTTTGGAAAATTTTGAGCTAGGAGTTGGTATAGGGGATACAGGGGGCTGATCATGATTGGATCGGCTCTAGCCAGATATGTCGGCAAATTTGAGATGTGATTGCTTTAGTTATTCGATAAATCATTCGAATATTTATTCGAAATTCGACTTCCAATGTTCGAATATATTCGATATTCATTCATTCGATATTTTTTGATTTTCCGAATTAATACGAAATTCATTCATTCGATATTTTTGATTTTCCGAATTTATTCGAAATTCATCCATTCGATATTTTTGATTTTCCGAATTTATTCGATATTCGTTTATTCGAAATTTTTCCTTTTCGAATTTATTCGATATTCATTCATTCGATGAAAAATCTCGAATTACCCAAGTATAAAAACCACCCTGTGCACCACATTTTAAATTGTGTTTTTGGCAGCATCTCAAAGTGTCACCAAGAACGATTTGGTGCAAGTTCGTCGCAAGATATCTCAGACCTATTGCCACCTAAAAGCTTTTCTCAGTGAAGTGCAGCAAAAAGTTGCCAATCGTGGAGGCCATAGCAGACTCTACCTGCCGTTTTTTTTTGACATAGCCCAAGATCTGCTACTGTCATACGCTAGTTTCGATGACAAAAGCGTCGTAAGCCATGATAGCTCCCTTTCAGTGAAGCGAATAAAGCGTATAAACGCTCTGTTACTTGAAACGACCTCGCACAGCTCACTACGATATATTCAATATTTCTGTGGCGTCTACGAAGCACAGCATCCGCGCTGACATCTGCAGTATGTCTCCAGCAATACTTCCTAACAACGCATCCTAAATTTGATAGCGCACCACCACTTCCTGACGACATAGTGCGGTAGGCTTTCGAATGAGAAGCTCTTAGTTACCGCCAACAAGTTCATTCGATAGTCCACTATTAAAAAGTGTAGTGTATAGCCGCTTGATAAATAGTAACCATAATGAAAGAATGAAAGCTGCACACCGAGTAGCAAGTTTGGTAAAGGGCAATGATTGCGGACAAGCATGAGAATGGTTGGAGTTTCGATCTCCTCCAATGACTTTTCAAGATTTCTTATTGTTAGTTCGTGGTTTCGTTGGGAATATAATCTGAAGCTGTTAGTTAGCTAGTGTCATGAAAGCTCGAGTAACATGATGGGTTCGACCAAATTACTACCACTCCTGAAAGAAAAGCCATCAAAAAGGGTAAAAAACAACTCCTAACTTCCGCCACTCAAAACCGCATGCGCTGCAGCCGTCCGTAAGCTTTTGGACGGAGGAATTCAGAGATTTTTGACAGTTTCAACGTTTTTTTTCTTCAAATTTCACTCATTTCGATATCATTCTTCTATCCCTCTTCTTCTTGTGACGAGAACAGCAGCGAGCTTGAAGGCGGGTTAAAAAATGAGCGCAGTTCTACTTCTATGTATCCGGAAAGATGTGTCTTCCCGGATCGTCCATTCTCCTTTCTTTATTTTTGTTCAGACCTACTTCATGCGTTTCAGGAAGCCGTCGTTTAGTTTCACGAGCATCTGCTTAAGCCAGGGCATTCCAACAATTCTCAAAATGCGGAAAATGGGGACTTTTCTCTAATTTTCTAATACGTTTAATTTTTAGGCGTTCTCAGCCTTTTTCCTTTTTCCATATTCATTCATCTTAACCGTTCTTTCTTCCAGCCCGCTCATCTTTCTCCTCTTAATGAGAAAAGCTGCGAGCTTGAAGTTGAAGAGAAAACGGTGTTCTGTGTTCCATGCAGCCGGAAAGATGAGTCTTCGTCTGCTGGTAATTTTCTCTTCGCTATTTTTGTCCAGACCTACTTCATGTGTTCTACAAAGCTGTTTATACCCCTTTCAGTGCAGATGTGGGACTACGCAACGGCTTCTGGGACAAAAGTGGGTTTACAAAAATAACGAAAGGAGAATGGATAGATGCACTGCTGCGCTCATTCTCCGACCCCGCTTTGAGCTCGCAGCTTTATTGGTTGTAGGCACATTAGTTTATCAAAGGTTTCTTTCTTTGTTGTTACGCTTTCTTAGCCCTTAAGTACACTACCTCATCGTTGCGCGAGAGTGACATTGGTCAAACTGTTATGAACAACTGTCTTTAGGGAACGTCCATCAGGCTGTGGAAGAGTTTGACGTTTTCTTCGACTTCGCCGGATGTCTAGCGTAAATCACATCGCGTCAGGGTCTGCCGTTTCTTGTCTCACAAGTAATTTCGACTTGCGAATCATGTTCGATAGGCCTAGGGCATAGTGGTCACGATTCTGTTGCGCTGCAATTTCTGTGAAACGACAATTGTCACGCACTCATCGCGAGCCCATGTTTCCGCCACGGCGGTTGTGGTAGCCATCCGCCGCGACGGATTGCAGACCGTTTTTAGCTAGGGCATAGTTTTTCGGCGACAATCGCTGCGATTTTGGCAGAACTCAGCGATGTCGCGTCGCGCGTGCCGCACCGGCGACCGGGCGATATCGCTGAGGCTCGAAAGAGATTTTGAGAGTTTTTTATAGACATGCATTGGTGTTTTAACTCGTTCCTGTTTAAGAAAATCTTCACGAAAGTAGTTGTGCAATTGCTGGGTGTCCCGGTTCCTAAGCGGATCTAAACTGTTTTTTGGTGCTTCGTATGAGTAACTGCCTTTTGCAAACTAAACCTGTAATTTGCCATTTCATTTCGCATGGATAATCTCACGTTTTGCTGTTCGCGTAATTGCAGTTGTTTTTGATACTGGTGCATCATCACGAAATGGTTATGTTTGTGTGTTTCCGCTGTCTTCAAGTGCTGTGCTCAAATTTTTTTCTCATAAAACTCCATGTAAATCTTTGCTAAGCGCTACAAATGCCCACGTCATCTTTCCAATTGGTTCCTTCTGATTGTTTCTACTAAAAACTAGCGAGGAGTGTCCTAATTATGTTAGCTTTCAAAGGGCAACATTCGTAGGCAAGAGTTGCAAGAAAGTGGTAAGCTTGTGAGGAATTGACTTGATGAAAGACAGACAAATTGCGAAAATTTTTGTACTCGAGTATCATCAGGCTGGGCACAAGCAATGGTGGATGCTGTGAGTGAGTAAGCTGAATATCCCAACATGAGAACAAATTCCAATCAGCTTTTTAAAGACATGGAATCGCGAGCACTATGCCCATGTACTCGCAAAGAGCGATTTCGTCGTCGCGTTTTCATCGTCCAAACCATCGAATTCTTCGGCGATGATATCGCGACGACGAAATCGCGAAAACTATGCTCGTTGCCATACTCGAATATTCGAAATTTTCGATTTTAGCGTATTACTCGATATTCGAAAAAATCTCGAATTTCCCTAAGTATAACATGTTTTGGCAAGTGATTCGGAAGGATATGTATTCACACCCGCTAAAAAAATGATGCATTCTATACATTCGTGAAATACATCCATTCTCCAGGGGGATATATAGATACAGAGAATCATACCTTTTCCACGTGTATTGTCTGGCCTCCGTGATAACATGGATAGAATTTCGAGTTTTGAGTCTTTATGTATAATAAATTATTATCGCATTTCGTCTGAAATTAACAGCACAAGTGCTCAATACGTTTTGAAGTCGCGACAACGCGATATATCATCACATGGCCACCTAGATACTAATGTTTTTACGTCATTTCAAGTTTGAAAACAACAAGCTCGCACATTATTTAAAATCTATAATTAGACGAATTATAGTTCCGTTCATGCTTTTATCGTTCTTTCTCAAATTTATGTATAGTTGATTCGTTGGCCGCACGGACAGGACATCACTGCGGAGCACGCGTCGCGAGATAAAACGCTTGCCCAATACAAATCCGCCATTGTACAAGTCGCGCTCTCGCAACAATTCAGCAGCGCACGCGTAGTCCACAGCGTTTGAGCAGTCCGTGCGGTAGACGAATCGACAATATATCGAAAAGCAGTTTTGTTGCTCCTACCGAAGCCCGCATATTTCCTAGTATTGCTGACCTCAAAACATCCAACAGTGTTCAGCCATTGGTCACCTCCATGTTCGTGAATAACAGTGATTGGTCCGCGCAGTTGGAAACAGCGAGCTGTTGGGGAAAAAATCTGTAAATGGTACCGAGTATCATTATGAGGTATGCTGATTACTCTACCTCAAGTGAGTAATTACTATAATACATATTTCCTGGAAATGTACATCGAGTATCAAAACCGTTGTCCATTACGGAGAATTCGCCGTAAACCTTAAATTGGGATTTTTGCATGGAAAAGCTTGAGTTGAATATTACCAAAGAAATGTGAAAGGTTTAACAAAGCATGACCCCCCAAGTTTCTGGGGGTATAGCTCTGCAAAAATTCTGGAAAGCATCCTAAAAATTTTCGAAAGGCGTGACTAAGCCGTAACGTTCGTTCAAAATAAATTTTCTGTCTCCCTCTCCTCTTTCCTCCCCCCCCCCCCTCCCCTCCCGAGAAGTTGTTTGAACCTTCTCTGACACATAGGGGCGCATGCATTAACATCCCTTCCGGAATGGGGATCGCAGCTAAAAGAAAGCTTCATATTCTAAGGTTCCAGGTACCTGGATTTCACGCGGTATAAGCTATCCGTAGGTATTCTCACCATCTTTCACGAACATATTGAACAGGGGCAAGAAGCTGTAAAGCGGCATTTTCCATATTTTATATGATCCCCTAATGATCCGCGGTGCCCGACCGTCTTTCCTTCAAAGTCATTTTTCTTTCTTCGAAGTCAACAAGAACCTTCTAAAGTTGTACTGTTCGTCTAATCCAACAGTAGTAAGCGTGTTGCTAACAAGAACAAATGGGTTTTTGAAATATTGAAGTTTTCGATAAAACCCAGCTATCGACTTGTGGTTCATCGCAAATTCCAGGGGATCATGCAAAAAGCTGGAATATGCTGCATGTACAGCTTCTCGCTCCTGTTCAATATGTTCATAGTGAACATTGGTGAGAATACTTACGGATAGGTAGACAGCGTGAAATCAAGATATCTGGAGCTTCAGGATATGAAACTTTCATTTGAGCTGCGACCTTTCCCCGGCAAAGATTGACGCCTGCGGCCCCTAGAGACCGGTAAAGGGGTTGAGGATGGTATAGAAGAGACATGTGAAAAAGATCAGTAAAAATGAGATGACTAGTAAAAAAGCTTTCAAAGGTACCTGACAGATCAGTGAAAAAGTTTTAAATGTACAATTTTATATGGTGTTGTTGTATCAGCATGCTAACTTTCAGATATGCAATGATGATGTAGATAGTTAGAGAAAAAAGTACTCTTGAAGCCTTTTCTTTAAACATCTTCATCATCAATACACGTCTGAAAATTAGCAAGCCACACTAGCACCATGGGGAGAAATTTTTCGTAAATCGTCCCCATCATCACTGCATATCCGAGTGCTTGACGAATTGTGCGTACTTTGAACACAGCTGAAACTTTCAATACATATGTTAGATTGATGCAAAACTTCCGGCTTAATTTAAAGAATTCATCAACTTTCCAAGCACTAAGCTTGAACTTGCCAATGTCTTTTGTGAAGATAACGAAAGCTCGGCTCTCTATGATAAACTAGTTGGCAAACCCGGCTCCGCCCAGGCCTGCCAATAATATATTTGTAATCAGCATGCCCGATTACCCCCCTGTGTCAACTCCCAGCCCTGTAGCTCAAATTTTGCAAAGAATCGATAAAATCGATATCGATCGATGACCAAAAGTAGCCTATGACACCCGCCCTGCCTCGAAGTGTATGTGTGCCAAGTTTGGTCCGGATCCGTTGAGAAATGGAATTTTCTATTCGGAACACACACACACACACACACACACACACACACACACACACACACACACACACACACACACACACACACACACACACACACACACACACACACACACACACACACACACACACACACACACACACACACACACACACACACACACACACACACACACACACACACACACACACACACACACACACACACACACACACACACACACACACACACACACACACACACACACACACACACACACACACACACACACACACACACACACACACACACACACACACACACACACACACACACACACACACACACACACACACACACACACACACACACACACACACACACACACACACACACACACACACACACACACACACACACACACACACACACACACACACACACACACACACACACACACACACACACACACACACACACACACACACACACACACACACACACACACACACACACACACACACACACACACACACACACACACACACACACACACACACACACACACACACACACACACACACACACACACACACACACACACACACACACACACACACACACACACACACACACACACACACACACACACACACACACACACACACACACACACACACACACACACACACACACACACACACACACACACACACACACACAGAGAGAGAGAGAGAGATTAAAGGGCAACATTCTATGCTCCGAGAAGGAATTTTCAATCACGGCGCTTCAAAATTTGCGATTTGAGTTTGATAGAAAACGGAGAGCCTCCAGCTAAAAAAATCTGTAAAAATACTCTATAGCAGTAGTCCATACGTTACTGTTGCAGGCTTCATTGAAACATAAAAACAAAAACTCGGCCAAAACTCCATTTCGCAGGAGAAATCTCTTCATTGTTGCATTTTCAGCAAAACACTGAGCCCCAAAAATCTTCTATCAGCCAATTTCTGGGTGTATTTCTGTGAAGAATTTGCAGCAATGAGGGGGTTTTTCTTCCAAAATGGCTTTTTGATTAACTTTTGTTTTTGTATTTCTATGCGAGATTGAAACCTACCATAGTAAGGGTGCTATCATACCGCGCTGGCAGCTCCCGCTAGCAGTTCGTAACTTCCAGCAGCAGTCGTCAGCTCCCTCTCAGACAAATCACGGGAACTTCTCGAGGACAAGCTAATTTGCGAAACTTCCCGAGGGCTTGATTTAGTACTGAGCTGAAAGAAGGCGAAAAAATGGGAACCTCCCGAGAACAATGACGTCAACACCAATAAAGTTGGGAACTTCCCGAGGGAATCCTCGGCAACTTCCCTTAAATGCAGTGCTTCCCGAGCACTTAGATATGAGGGAACCCCAAAGCTTTTTTAATAAGACTTTTTATGTTTTGGTGAGTATAATGTCAGCACAAGCTGTTAACGATGAACATCTTCTTTATCAAAAAGCTTCTTGACGAAAATTACTCAAAAGGGGTCTTCTAATTCCATGCTACAGTGTAGAATGGGACTCATACATCAAGCTCACTATCAACGCTCAATCGTTGCTTCCATGGATTCTCACTGATCTGATCTCTGGAGCACATTTTTGGCAGGTTCTTTTCTATTACCATCGCACTGTTTCTACGCGATTGTATTGCCATAAAAAACGGATAAATATTAGGTCGTTTCAAAAGTAATTTCGCTTTTTTCAAACGGGCACCACATTTGATGGAACAAAGCTTTCTAAGAGATCTTGGAGGTCTAGATGCAGAATTTTATTCTCTTTCTCACGGTTATGAAATTGTTGCAAAACAGTCGATGAGCTTTCAGAAAATAACCAAAATTTGCGACCCATGCTTTTTGAGATGGTCAAGTTTCACGATTTTTTAAAACTTTCATATCAATCCTCAGAAGGAGTTCAAGTAACGCCTTTATAAGAGCAAACCTTACAGAATGCAAAACAACTTTTTTCTCCTTTCCGTAGCTCCTACATTTTTAACAGAATTTTAACTGATGCTACCGATTTTCATACTTGAGCAGCTAAATCCTCGTAGAACATCGAAAGAAGAGCAGTTCGCGCACTATTCGATGCAGCTTCTTCTCCTCTTTCTAACAGGTATTTTTCGTTTCCGATTCGTTTAGTTTCCGGGAAGAATCATCATAACTCATTTCTTTAGCGAGCCCCAGGCTCTACCCGAAAAATTCGAAATTTGATATTTCGAACCCGTAAACTCTCATTTGCTTTATAAGATCAATATTAAGTCATATATCATCTTGAAAGCTTGAAATTCCGAGTAACTACTGATGTTTGATGCCATTGTGGCTGAGGTGGGACTGCCAAAATCCGATGGCTTTGTTAAAAAATCTTTTAAAAAATTACGGCGAGCTACGAGAAAGAGAAAAAGTAGTACTGTATTCTGTAAGGCTTACTTTATTAAATCTTTACTTGAGCTCCTTCTGAGGACTGATACAAAAGTTTTAAAAAATCGTGAAACTTGACCATCTCAAAAAGCATGGGTCGCAGATTTTGATTATTTTCTGAAAGCACATTGACTGTTTTGCAACAATTTCATAAGCTTTAGAAAGAGAATGAAATTCTGCATCAATGCCCCAAGTGCTCTTAGAAACTTTTGTTCCATCAAATGTGACGCCCGTTTGAAAAAAGCGAAATTACTTTTGAAACGACCTAATAGATAGTATTTCTTTTCTACTTTCATGAATGTGATATGAGGTAGCGTCCGAAGAAAGGAGCAGGACATATTTTTACGATGGTGCATAGGCAAGAAAAAAGAGTCCTGCTAAAGCTCCCGAAAGCCTCAAGAGAACTTCCCGAAGACGATAGCGGTACTTCCGCAGGTGATCCTCCGTAGATTCCGCTAAAGCCCTCGAGAGGTTCCTGTGAGTTGTCTGAGCTGTAAGCCGCTGGCCGTTTTTATTGTTAGAGGAGCGCAAAATCATCATTCTTAACACATTGACGACAACGTGACCCACATGGTGGGTCACGGCATAAATTTTTTTGAAATAATAACATTTACTGGGTACATCCGTTTCCTGAGGTCTTTTACGCTCTAAACCTAGAAAATACCTCGACGTTTCTTGGCCGCATTCAAGAATTTGTGTAGGTATAGTTAAGATGACGATCTGCTTGATTTTAGCTAGAAATTTTCAACTCGTTCGCGGAAGACATTGTCCCACAAGGCAGACAACTAAAAATGCGCGTTGTCGTCAGCGTGTTAATACGCTGCTTGCATCTTTTTCTTCCATGCAGGTGTGCAGTTCGACTCACACATCATATTTGTGTTTATTGTTGTCGTTATCTTGTTGCCATAGTTTGAATATGGTATCATTGTGCTATTGCTATCGTATGCTATGCTATTATAATCATTTTCTTTCAGTCTGAACTTTTCTGCAAAAGTTTTTTTGTTAACTCCCACGCGTCGTTCTTGCGAACATTGATATGATATTCTCCTGTCCTAGTACCAGAGGCAAGGTCCCAGTCCTACAAGTTCAGATATCGCTTAGTCCCAGAGTCTCGCCAAGTTTTCCATCAGGTCCTCATCAGCGATGTCAAGTCGGCAATCGTCCATCACGAGTGATGGTTTCGATCTAGGCCCAACTATGCTCCAGATGGGATGGGATAGCATGAATCTAGGAATAGACTACTGTTTTTCTTTTTCAGGTATCTTTATCATTTTCAGGAAGATACCAAGTCGTTTGTCATAAACATTCCAATCAGAACATTATCCATGCGGAAGGGAACATATTGCAGGAAAAGGAGTCCCTGCCAGGTTTATTCGCAAAATCTAGGTGAAAACTCGGAGTCCCAAGCTAGTTCATTATTTACGAGCTTTCTGCTCAACCTCTTGTTGGTTTCCTTCGGAAAATTTCGGTTTGAAAACCAGTCTAGCTTTTCAAATCCCATCTGTCGTCCATCTTACTACGAATTTGGCTTGCTGTTAGGGAACCTTTTAGGGAACGAGTGGCGTAGTAGTATGAGGCGCCGCTATGCTCAGGTTGGACCAAAGTCCAATCCCGCCCCTGGGCCAACCAAACTCTCTACCTCCCCCCCCCCCCCCCCCCCGGAATGGTAAATTGGTATTAGGGTAATCTGAGAGGACAGAACGATAGAACCACTGACTTGTAACCGGCTGGCCCCCGCAAGTCGCTGTAGAAGGCTTGCACATATACAGTAGTCTCTTCGATCATGAAATAAGATGCGTTTGGTGCATGCCCTAACAAGGAAGGGTCACGAAGTCGAAGTGGCCGATATTACAAACTAGTGAGAGCTTGAAACGCTGGTTCCAAAGCTGCTTACCCTATTTGCACGCTTTTGGGAAAGAAGTTATGAAAGCATTTTTTAAAGGTCGAAAATGAACTAACGATAGGAAAAAAAAGGACACGCACCCTCTCTAGCCCTAAATGAAGCAGCGGCAAATATCAGAATACTTTATACAAAAAACTCCACTGCTTCCTATACTCGTATATTGGTACTTCCTACTTTTTTATTTTACTAGAAAGGCTAGAAAGGCTGTAACGAATGATTTTATCTCGGCCAGTAGTTCATTTTTTTACCTCACAAAAAAATGCTTACTTTTTTTACAAAGGCGCTCTGCATATATGGAATACTGATTTGGAATCAGCGTTCCAACCTATCACTAATGATAGCAGTGTATAATAATCGGCCACTTCGGCTTCGTGAACCTCCCATGTAAGAAGGATACTAAGAAATCTATGTCTTATCTATGATTCAATAATAACGCGCTAAGGCTTGTTTGGGTCTGTTTGTCTGTGTGTCTGTGTGTACGTCTGTCTGTCACGAAATTCGTAGAACGAGCTCCAGCAAAGGTCTTGAGCTAGAATTTTGGTCATAGCACCCTATCAGCTTGTAGACAGATTGTGCGAAAGCACAAGCCGATCCGATAAGTGGAACCTGTGAGAACTGTGTGCCAAACGAATCCAGGCGACTTTTGGCGCACCAAGGTGGGCCTGTGATTATACTTCTTCCCAAAGTCGTGGGGTTGTTTAACAAGTAAATTCGCAAACCATGCCTCAGCCGAAAAGTGAGCAAAAAGTCTACTTTTACGCAAGATTGGCAAAAAAGAATGTTTGCGTAGATAATCGATTTATCAAGGTTTTATCAAAGAATTAGAGAAGATCTTTGCATAGGGATGTAATTCATGGTTGTCATCATTCTTATGGCGACTATCAAGAAATTATAACTCCAGCAACTATTTTCAAACCTGCATTGAATCTTTTGGAGGAAACTTACGTCCCTCTAAAGTCACCAATTTTACATGAAAATGCTTTGGAATGAGCAGTCACTTAGAATTCATTCGCGATGATCGGCATTGCGCGGTAAGTCTCAAAGCCATCATTTTGCGACTACGAGGAAGGCATGTGGGTAGTAGAACCAGTGCGAGCCTCTGCGAAGCCGAGGTGACGCACTGGTAAGCAAATATAAATTTTATAATCTTAATCTTATAAGCAAGCTGAACATTGTTTTTGGGACGAAAGACAAAGGATATCGGCTCTGTGGGTCCGAAATTAGTTTGTAGCCGATTTGGATATTTCGGATAAGGGTCAAAGAAGACTTCGTAAAATTTTGCGAAAGTCAGGGGTGGGAGGGGGCTTTGTTTTTGCATTTTCCAAGAGCCACTTTATACCGAGCTCTGCTTTGTTTATTGAGGACGTTGTTCAGAGAAACCTTTTAAATCATACAAAGCGAAAAAAACTTAGGTTTTACTTACTCTGTAATAAGGACAGTAGTCAGCCAGGCTAGGACCAAAACCATAAACTGAACGATTTTTCTTGTCCTTATATAAGTTCATAATGTTATAATTGTAGTCTTTTTCTACATCGTGAATGTTATTGGCTATATCTTGTTCTCTCTCCACTAGACTGCATCGCACCTTTGCCTTGCGATCGGTGCTACATCTGTACATGGTTGCTGGCGGTAATAGTATGTATTGGGCAAAGAATACCTTGTGTCTTGGAGTTCAATACAAAATGGATACGGGTTATTTCGATTTCTTTTCATCCAAGACAAGCAACTACGCTTGGCAAATTCGCACCCCATTCTATATCCCCATTCCATCTTGTCAGCTTTGCTGCAAATCGAATTCTCATCTACCATTTGTTAAAATTTATGTTTGAGAGCTGGGGTATATGTCAAGAATAACGATAGCTGGCAATAAAGGCGCCCTGGGTGCGGTCAATAAAGGGCATACAGGTAGCACTGCCCCAGCAGCGGATGAGTTCGCGCAGATACTACATTTTGTGCAACAAATGCCTAAAGCGTTCTTCTTCTTCTTCTTCTTCTTTATTTATGCTTTATGTTCAGGTTTCTGCTGATTTCTAAGGATGGAAATAATTAGCAATCACATCGCCATAAACACGCGATAGAAAGGTTTAAGCTCGATTCAGCATGGGGATATGTAAGCTTCTATGTATGATGTAGAAAAGAAACTTCAATGAAAATAGCTGGATTTTGAATTATTTTTCTCAAGTGCAGGAAGTGTCTGTTCTGCGCGCGCAAGCAGCTGGCAGCTAGCGGCTGGCAGAGCTATCGTTATTCTTGACCGCCACTCTGACAAGGGAACGATCCCAACTTAAGGTGGCGAATTGGAATGAACCGCACATCATTAGATGCGTCTTGATGAGCAGATTGCAAATCTACCCTCCATATCTGCGACAACGTTATCTGGAAGAAGTTATGAAAGGTTAAAAACGTGAAGTAACGGGGGTTTCACTGCATAATTCGCTTCAAAATCCAACTTGGGAGTGTATGACTAGCATCATATTGAGTGTACTGATTTCAAGGAATGCTCACACTTTAAAGAAACACAAATAAGTGTTTTTGAGCAACTAATTTTTGAGGTATTGCGCTGTATAATTAACAAATTTGGACTTTTCATTGCTCATAGCTTTTACCAAAGAACTTTAGTTGCCTTTTAGTTGTTCAAAAACATTTATTTGCGTTTCGTTTGAATGTGAGCATTTCGTGAAATCAGTGCACTCAATATGATGCTAGTCGTGCACTTCCAAGTTGGATTTTAAAGCAAATTATGCATAAAAACCCCCGTTACTTCACATTTTTAATCTTTCATAACTTCTTCCAGATAACGTTGTCGCAGATAAGGAAGGTAGATTTGGAATCAGCTCATCAAAACGCATCTAATGGTATGCGGATTATTCCAATTCGCCACCTTAAGTTGGGATCGTTCCCTTGTGAGAGCTGAGACTCACCTATAGTTGACTGTGTACCATCCGGAGTCTTCAAATAATGCAAGCGTTAGACGACTTACTGCATACACTTGTGTCGCAACTCCGCTCATTGCTTCATTCTAAACAAATACTAAGAATTTATTTAAAGTACATACTAGCTGGCAAACACGGCTCCGCAAGGTCCTGTCAATAACACTAGGTGGGTTCGAAAGTTCGTGCCTTTTAGACCTATTCAAATCGTTCAGAATAAAGATAGGCAAACATTCTAAGCAATAATCTATGCAGAATTTCTTTATCCTTCCAGCAGTAGCGTTTTTGTTTGGATTCGTATGGTGTTTGCTTGAGAAATCGCCAAATTCTTCAACCCATGGTTTTTACTTACCCTAACTTCTGCTATTTTTTTAAATTTTGGCTTTTGACTTTTGAAAATGCTTTAATTACAGCTGGATAGAGTAAAGAAAATGCTACATGATACATTTTTTTGGCATCGATAAGCTAGCTTTTCAAATTGTTATAATTATCATTTTGATGCTAGCTTTGATTCGTAGAACATCAGACGGCAAAGAACTAGGATGTCATTCGTGCAGCTTCTTCTCCTCTTTTTGATAGATCTTTCTTCTCTCTGATTCGTAAAGGCCTCGACGAAAAAACTGCCATTATTCTAGTTTATTGATGCGTCCCAGGCAGCACCCGAAGCTTCAAAAATCAAACTTATGAGGAATTAGAAACTCATTTATTTGTTGAAAAGTGTCTAATCATAATCGATTTCTGGAAGTTCCAATTCGCGAAGATTTCACAGTGTTTGAAGCGTTTTATATGTTTTACGACTTCTCAAATGTAAAGACTTTCTTAAGACTGGTTTTCAAAAATACTAGAAAGCTAGCTATCGATGTTTTTTCAGCATTTTGTTTACTCTGTCCAACTGTTATCAAAGCTTTTCGGAACGAAAGAAACTCCAAAAATAGCTAGAGTTAGGAGTAGTAAAACGCATGGGTTGGACATTGTGGCGATTATTCGGAAGAATATTGAAGGAATCTGGACAAAGGTATCACTACTGAAAAGAGAGAAAATTCGCGTAGAACAAGGGTTGGAGTATTTGTCTATCATTATCCTGAATGATTTGAGGATAGGTTTGAAAAACCGCACAAGCTTTCGGACCCACCTAATATATTCGTAAACAGCATGCTCGCTTACCACCTCCTCTGCCAACTTTCAACCCCATGGCTCAAACTTTGCAAAAAATCGATAAGATCGATATTGATCGACAAAGAAAAGTCTACGATACCCGCCTCGAGGTGTATGTAGACAGGTGGCCTCAGTTCCACCAATTCATCACTGTCAAAGGGCGCGGATCACCGACCTACCGATCTTCAGTGGCGGGAAGAAAAGTCGTTGACCCCTTTGGCAGGGTATAAATACCGGGAGTTAGGGGGGGGGGTGTCTCAGACTGCACTGAGGAAGCGCTAGCGGGAGCCAAAGCCGTTAAAGAGAGGCGGATCTCCCCCCTAGATAGAGTTCATCCAGTAAGCCTGCCTGAAGAAGTCAAAGAGGGTAAAGCCTGTCGTTTCGTTGTTAAGCTTGTTCAAGTTACACGTTTTTCTTGTTGTTCGTTGCCGTTTTCTGAGATAAATTATTAGTCGTTCGATCCGTGTAGTCTATTGATCCGGTTAGAACCGTTATACCACTAGACTACCCCGGTTACATGGGGGCCGAGCATACTAGGATTGATTGGAATACATATGGGGCGAATGATATCGACTGTCTCACAAGGGAACGATCCCAACTTAAGGTGGCGAATTGGAATGAAGCGCATATCATCAGATGCGTCTTGATGAGCTGATTGCAAATCTACCTTCCGTATCTGCGACAACGTTATCTGGAAAAAGTTATGAAGGTTAAAAACGTGAAGTAACGGGGGTTTTAGTGCATAATTCGCTTCAAAATCCAACTTGGGAGTATATGACTAGCATGATTTTGAGTGTAATGATTTCAAGGAATGCTCACACTCTAAAGAAACACAAATAAGTGTTTTTAATAACTAATTCGAGGTATTGCGCTGTATAATTGCCAAATTTGGACTTTTCATTGCTTATAGCTTTTACCAAAGAACTTGAGTTGCTTCTTAGCTGTTCAAAAACATTTATTTGCGTTTCTTTTGAATGTGAGCATTCCGTGAAATCAGTGCACTCAATATGATGCTAATCGTGCACTTCCAAGTTGGATTTTAAAGCAAACTATGCATCAAAACCGCCGTTACTTCACATTTTAACCTTTCATAACTTCTTCCAGATAACGTTGTCGCAGATATGGAAGGTAGATTTGGAATCAGCTCATCAAGACGCATCTAATGGTTTGCGGTTTATTCCAATTCGCCACTTTGAGTTGGGATCGTTCCCTTGTCAGAGGCAAAACAGCATAGAACGCGTAGAACAGGCCACCTTAAGTTGGGATCGTTCCCTTGTCAGAGGCAAGACAGCATAGAACGCGTAGAACAGGCCACCCTAAGTTGGGATCGTTCCCTTGTCAGAGGCAAGACAGCATAGAACGCGTAGAACAGGCCAAGAAGGCGAAACCAAAAAACCAAAGAGGTGGAAAACTTATGCGCCATCGAGCAGGCGACATACGTAACAGGCCAAGAAGGCCAGATCTAAGATCAACTGGAAAGAAATCTCTATTATATCATACAGAGCAATTCCCACACAATTTATTGATTGTTTTGGCTTCATAATCCCATTATCGAGCGATTTCACGCGCGGCGTTGATTACCGATGAATGTAAAGGCAAGGCGAAGCATTTCGCTGCCGAGTACATTCATGTTCATGGATAAGGATCAGGAGCAAAGATGTGCAGATTATATCCATGAGAGAAGGGCACAGTTGATGATGGAGGAGATAAGCCTCATCAGAAAAGAAACGGAAATGCTACCTGGGATGTTAAGCAAGGTCCTTAGACGATGTAGGATATCGGTTGATGGATTGCCACTTGAAGTAGAGTTGGAGGTTAAGGTAGCCACAGTCTTGGGTAGGCTGGAGAACCTAACTGCCGAGTTAAACCAAATACTCGGTCCCAGAGCAACGACAGTCGCAGTGAGGGAAGCTGCACCTTCTGAGTCACGGCAGGTTAATGCATGCGGAGGAAAAAACCCGAGGGTTTGCATGCAGATACCGACAGTATTGAGAATACTGAAGTGATAAAGAGGGAGCAATGCCGCTCATGTGTCGCAGGGAAGTCAAACCTTCTGCATTCAGGCAGTGTGTTGGGTCGGATGACGGACCACTCGACAATCATCGAGGTGTGGAAGATCAGTTGCTCAGCAATTTTCAAAGCATGACTTTCCTGATCCTGGAGTCTTCAAAGGTTGTGAGGATGAAGACTTTGACAGGTTCACTCGAAAGTTCAAAAGGAAGTACAATCGTCCAGGATGAACAGTTGCTGATTGAAGTCCTAGGTGACGGGTGCTTGCAAGGACGGGCAAAGTCCTTATTTCTGAGTATACACATGGGGGTAAAACAGCAAGGCCTCGACAGAGTAGAGAGGGAGATGGCCTCACTACTGGCCTGTGACTCCACAGCAGCTAGGTTAAAGGCGCTGACAGCGTTAAGGAACATGCGCTTAAGGCCAGGCCAAGAGGTTGCAGACTTCTGTGTCGCCCTCGAGAACCTAGCAAGAAAGGCCAATTTTCAATGTAGTATTGAAGATAGATCGATGGAGTACGCACAGATTCTGCTGGAGAATCTGACGTCATGGCCGGAATACGTGCAGCTGGTGCTCAGATAATCACCGGGGGCAGCGGTCCGCAAACTCGCGCTTTTCTGCAAGCGATCACCAGATTTTTGGGGCGTGGCCAAATCTTCAGCGAGCGGTACTTCCTTAACTGTCTAATCTACCAGCGGGCAGCAACACAGAGTTTTCTGCAGGCGCTCGTCAAATAATCTCTTTCAGCAAACGCTGGCCGAACTTTCAGCAGGCGCTCGGACTCTTCTTATGCAGTTTCGGGCTTACGTCGAGCACAGGCAAGACTCTGTGTGGCAGAGGTATCAGCGTTGGTTCAATTACTCAAGTTTGAGGTACTTTCTCTCAGCGGAAAGTACCTGTACTTTCTCTCAGCGGAAAGTACCTGGGGGTTGCGCGGTCCTCCACAAAGGACCGTGCGGCCCTCGAAATTTTTGCATATTCTCGCGGGAAGTCCGCGAGAATGCGGCCAATGAGCCGCAGCTAATTAAGGAAACCGCGACTGTTCTCCAAGCATTCGTCTAAAATTTCGCTAAAATTATTCCAAATTTCTGCAAGCGGACCGCAAGAAATCAGCGAACTATTTTTCCGGTGCGCGCTTGCTCAAAATTCGCATGGCCGCCTGCCCCCGGCGATTATCTGAGTGGGAATCCTACACCAAGTGGACCCAGCCGATGCATATAATAAGATTAAAGAAGTCGCGATTGAGATCGAACAGTCGCGAAGATTCTGCGAATTTCGAGAGGAGGAGTGAACAGCAAGCTCCGTCCTGCAAGAAAGAAAGTGAAAAGGAGGGGTATCCAGCATTGACGCAAAGTCGAAGCAGCTCAGCGGAGAAAGGCGAAAGGGAAGTTGGCATGAGAAGGCAGGAGCCAACGAGTAGCTCTAGTGCCTATGATGAGGATCAGGATGACAAAAGATGCTTCAAATGTGGTCATTTCGGACATGCGATGAGAGATTGTAAGCATAGGAAAACGGAGAAGGAAGGCGTCATCAAGACTTAGGATGGAGTGAGAACAATGATAAGTAGGAGCAGGAACATGATCCTAAAGCCCAACCCGACGCATACGGACTTGTTGGCAGGATCACATGGACTCAAGCGGGAATGTTGGGAAGAAGGGTTTCGACATTCTAGACACGGGCTCAAAGATAAGTATACTATCCGTGAGCGTGCTTATGGAAGCGAGGAAGAATGGGTACGATGTCGAGTCACTTCAGATTTTCGACATTGTAGAAGGAAGCATATACGATGCATCCAACCATGTGATGAGCTTTCTGGGAGGTGTAAAAGTAGAAGTTGAATTAGAAGGTGGATGCAAGAAGGAAGTGGCTTTTCATGTTTCGGACGATACTAATGAGGAAATACTCATTGGCACAAATGCATTGATGAGTCTAGGGGTGGAAGCAGTGATACACAAGAAGCCTGAAGTCAAAGTAAAACCAAAGGATAGTATGGTGCCTCCACACAAGACAAACACCGCCTCAATAAGAGCGAAGATCCAACAAGGTATCATAACTGTAACAGACCTATCTCAGTGAAAGACAGATCTGTCACTGTCAACAAGAAAACTTTCATTGAGGAAAAAAATGATGTCAAAGCAGACAAAGGAATCTGGTCAGAGGAAGCTTGTAAGCGCAAGTGGAAGAAGTCGACATGTAGGAAGGGCGGCAAAAAGCACACTCCTTCCAGAAGTGATCAGAATGCGCGGAGAGGCACAGAAAGGAGTCAGAGTAAGAAAGGCACGAAGTGAGGAAGGACACAGTTTTGAAAAGGAACGTGTTGCGTTTGTTGCGCCGAGATGTGCAGGACTTGAGGAAGTTGGGCTGAAGAAGTGTGAAGTATTGACCAAGGTAGCAGTATCATTCAGTCAACTCAAAGAAGCGTTGAAATACTTGAAGAACTGTCGTATTGGATCATAGTATGGCCCATGAGCAAGGAAGGGAGGATGAGGCTATCATTGAGACATTGCGGATATGCAAGAAGTACCTCGAAGAAAGAGGAAAAATTGCATCCGTGTGGCCGCCACCATTACTCAAGAAGATTGATATGTGGAAAACGAAGTCAAAAGTGTGGACGGTGATTGAGTCAATACTGAAAAAATGGACAAACCCAAATCGGTTATTTACGTTGGCTCCTTCAAGAAGAGAAAGTGGGAACGTGAACAGAGAAGCAGATGGACCCCAAAATTCTTTTCAGGTATACGACACGTACTTCAGGGATGCATATGCGCGCTACCTCTACAAGGACATTCGCAGGAGAGTTCCCGGTGCAAAGCTCAGCAAGTTTCAGCAGCCGCCGAGGACGTCGGCTCCCCGGAGGAGAGGGATGTCAGAGGGCGCGGATCACCGACCTACTGATCTTCAGTGGCGGGAAGAAAAGCCCGCGTTGACCCCTTTGGCAGGTAATAAATACCGGGAGTCAGGGAGAGGTGTCAGACTGCGCTGAGGAAGCGCTAGCGGGTGCTAAAGCCGTCGAAGAGAGGCGGATCTCCCCCTTAGATAGAGTTCATTCAATAAGCCTGCCGAAGAGGTCAAAGAGGGTAAAGCCCGTCGTTTTCTTGTTAAGCTTGTTCAAGTTACACGTTCTTGTTTCTTGTTGTTCGATGTCGTTTTCTGAGATAAATTATCAGTCGTTCGATCAGTGTAGTCTATCGCTCCGGTTGAAACCGTTATACCACTAGACCACCCCCGGTTACATCACTACTCTTAACTCATGATTGCTCATCTCTGAACGGCGACCACTCAAAAGTGTTATATGATTTAAGTCTAGTAGAACTGGATTACTCCTTGTTTGCCTGCCTAAAGTGTAATCTCCTCACTTATCGGCATTCAAGTTTTGAACTTGAGCAATATCTACAGTAAGTGTCGATTACACTCCCTTTCGCATGAGATTTACGCATGCGCAACGCAAGGACCCTGCGTGCGGACTCAATCGATTAGGCCAATTTGAATCAAGCTACACGCGCGCGAACGTGACGCGAAGCATTGCGCTTACAGAAAAGAGCACGTGATTTTTACATGGACTGTACATGATTTTATCCTGAAACTTACTTCAAACACTCTCTTCTCCCAATGTGAACCCGCAGTCCCAGGGCCACCTTGACTTTCAACCTCAGCTCCCTCCAAATCTTCGCATTTGAAATGCATTTGTGCTTCTTCCTTTACCTTCGGTGTGACCATCATATAGACATCGTGGGAGATCTGGAATTATCTTCCTTATGTAAATGATGCAAAGAATGAAAATTCCAGTTTACTGCTATAATTGAACTCTGAATACAACAACACTGAATGAGCCCTTACAAGGGATCCACGGGAGTTCTTGTAAGTTATAGTTCCTGATGATCATATTTTCTTGCTATAATAAACCTCAATTACCAAAAGAGAGCCCTCTAATTTAATTAGACGTACGTGCAACAAGAGGGGCTCAAGTTGAACAAATTAGAAAAATACAGCTTATCAAGAGAACAAGTAAACATTTTAGAACTAGAAAAAGATGAACTGAAGTCTTACATCACTCCTAATACAGTGCTGGCCAAAATTATAGGTCCACTCTAAGAAATGCCATGACTCACTCTGTTGTGAATGAAATTTTCCAAAATTTGGTAGAAACGTGTGTTTACCAGCCTACTATCAGCCTTCAAACGGTTCTCGTTTTCGTTTGATCATTCAAGAAAAAATTAGAAATTTTGAATAAAGCATGCTTGAAGGCTGGCCAAAATTATAGGTCCACCTGGAGTTTTTACTGATTAAAGCACTTCTTAGCTCCCGAATTTTTTTAGATAGGCACACATCCAAAAACGTTAAACAGCTGCATTGGTCAAGCTGTGTCATACCTTCAAAAAGAACTGATTATCTGCTTTTTTGCCTTGAAGATTCACTCACATGTATTTCGCTCCATAAACCTGCGTTGAGTAAGAAATTCTGCAATTTCTCAGCTGGATCGGAAGGGACGGGGTTTCATCTATCTACTGGATGCTTTTTGACGTGAGCATTGAGGAAAAAATCCGACTTTTTGCTGCTGAAGCAAATCTGACATATGCTTAATCGGCAGGGTAAGCCTCAGTTTCTGCCCTAAAATCCTTTATGCATTGTCATTATAACCTCAAGATATTGTAAAAGCGTTATTTACACAAGAATAAAGCTGTTCGCCATACTCGCAAATGTCCACAAAGCTGCCTTGCTTCTTTTTCGAAACATGAGTTGTGTGTGCAACGTAATAATGGTGTTACGGATCCAAAATAGCTTTCCAAGTGCTACCTCACTTAGATTTTTGACAGTAATTATTTACGGATACAGCTTGTAGTGTATGCTAGCGCATGATTCTTTTGAAAATTTTGGTCGGAGCCACAAGTAGCTTTGGTGCTTGTCGTAATCAGTTTCTGCAGAGTGATTTCAGTAGTTATACTCGAATGCTAGGATCTCTAGAAAGTTGTAACTATGGTATACGGACTCCCCTTCATAGAAACAATGCCTTTACTTCACTCAATGCCCCTGAGAACATTGTAAGAGAAGTTTAAAGGCAGAAATTTGAGCTCAGGATTGCAGTACTGTCAATGTCAGATTTGCTTCAGCAGCAAAAATTCGGATTTTTTCCTCAATGCTCACGTCAAAAAGCATCCAGAAGATAGATGCAACTCCGTCTCTTCCGATCCAGCTGAGAAACTGCAGAATTTCTTACTCAACTCAGGTTTATGGAGCGAAATACATGTGAGTGCGTCTTCAAGGCAAAGAAGCAGATAATCAGTTCTTTTTGGAGGTATGACACAGCCTGACCAATGCAGCTGTTTAACGTTTTTGGATGTGTGCCTACTTAAAAAAATTCGGGGGCTAAGAAGTGCTTTAATCAGTAAAAACTCCAGGTGGACCTATAATTTTGGCCAGCCTTCAAGCCAGCTTTTTTCAAAATTTCTAATTTTTTTCTTGAATAATCGGACGAAAACGAGAACCGTTTTGAAGGCTGATAGTAGGCTGGTAAACACACGTCTCTACCAAATGTTGGAAAATTTCATTCACAACAGAGTGAGTTATGGCATTTTTTAAAGCGGACCTATAATTTTGGCCAGCACTGTATCTCTAAACGATCTCCAGCAGTGGTGTAAAGAGCGATATTTATCAGACCTTTCTTAGTTCTATTCTAAGGCAGTGTCTCAGCAATATTTCTTTTCCATATTTTCGCCCCGGGGCCTTCTCGCCATAACTCATATCTGGGCTTCCCAGCGAATGAAAATAGCGAAAATGAGCTTCTTCCGAAGCTTTCCGGATCCGCATTCACTGAAGAATACATGCAAGTGAGTGGGGCCCGGAACAAGAGAGGTGGGGCGCGCAAGATACCAGGCATATCTTCATCGAACGCGGACCTGGAAAGCTGCGGAAAAAGCTCATCTTCGCCATTTTCATGCCTGAAAGCCAAACATGGATTACTCATTTCGAAAAGGTTCCGGAAAGGTGAAAACTGAAAAACGAAATTTTGCCGTGACACTTGCCTTTAACACATTGACGACAAGGCCGATTTTTCGATTACTGCCATTTCGGACAGGAGCCTTTTTTGCTCTGCCAAACTTACGACCCACCCGTGGGTCGTATTGTCCGAAATGGTAGTCTTTTTGTGAGAAATTCGAAACATGTCTCTGAGAATATCCCCACAAGGGTTACCGTAGGTGCCGATTATCAAAATATGATTTGTTTCAGTTTTTGGCAGTATACGGTAAGATTACGGTAGTCACTCTGTACGAACCCAACATCAAGGATATTCGTGAAAAATTGTGTTTTGGGGGTTATTTCACATGCTGATCATGATTATAATAGTGTCCACTTTGTTCACTACTTTCCCACAGTGGGACTACGGTAGCAGTACGGCAGAATTTTTTTAGGGATCAAAAAACTGGTGTAAGAAGGCGGTATTAGAACTTGAGACTATCATTTTCGTAATCAGCATGCTAAAAAACCTATATATGCAAGGTTTAAGCTTCTTGGGACGAACAATGCGAAAAATCAATAAAATCAATAAAATCGATATTTTTGATGGGCTAACATCAGTCTCATGCTCTCCCTGTATTTCTTGTACATGTAAACTTGAATTGTCAAAAACAGCACCACTCTGCGAGAAATTCGAGCTAAAATCTGTGCCTTACTTTTATCTACGGTATGCCTACCGTAACATTACATTACAGTATCCCGGACCCGGACCACTCCGGCTAGAGCTTCGCCAAGGTGTCCCCAGTCATGTGCCAGAATACCGTAGAATTCCATCACATGCTGGCAAAGTTAGAGCTTTCCAAAACTTACGATCCACCGGTGGGTCGTATTATCCGAAATGGCAGTACACGTACGACCCACCGGTGGGTCGTATTGTCGTCAATGTGTTAAAGGCTCAAAGGACAGGAGAGGCAATCGTATGGTTTGGTCTCTCCACAAGGATAGATTTTTAAACGTTCAAATAGTCCAAGCCCAAGATTAAAAACTTATGTAAACTACCCAGTATTTATGCTCCGAACCAACCACTTGGGATTATGATCCATCAAGTCCGAAAAATGTATTACGATACAAATTAGATGGGGTAACTTCGCACAAATGTAATCAAATCTGGTATTATATAAGCAATTGTATGATGTGAAGAGGCCGCTTATTCCATCTTTTTGATTGGCGCGCTTATAAGAAAGGATACGCTGGAGCATGTCATGTACCAACTCAATGCCGAGCATGTTGGAGGTCAGTGTTTGTTTGTATTTTTAACATATTTTTTGCTGTTTTTCTTGTTATTTGTCTTATAATAGGTCTAGTCTGACTTCACTACGTGCTGGGCGCCGAGTAGAGGTGACGCAGTGGTTAGTACTAGGCTGCTGCATAAGTTCTGCCCGATTTTTTGCTTTAAAGGCAGTGGATCGGCAAAACTTGATAACCCAGGATCTCAACGCAGTAGGTTCCTTATCGTCCAAATATGAAAACAGTGCAAGCCCTGTTGCACAGCATGCCTTCCCTGTCGAGAAAATCGCTCTCAAATTTACACGCGCAAGCCATTACACGCACCCGGACGAGTTGGCAACTTCCTTCTCACCATTGGAGGCTGCCCGCCGCAATGCTATAATCATTGGGTCCCGCAACGATCCAGCGTCATCAGCCTTGGTCCACTCGTCCAACTTTGAAGGGAAGGGCGTTGAAAAACGCTCGTTTTCGCCATTTTCGAGCTCTCCAAAGTGGATTTTCGTGATCAGCGTATTGAATAACCCCAGGTAAGAGAAAATTTGACTAGGTTGAATTTGCCGAGCCACTGCCTTTGAGTTTGAAGCAGTTGCTCTAAGAGAATTTCACCTCTAATGCGACACTTTTCTATCATTAGAAAGTGCTTTTTCTGCTGTTACTAACGCATAGCAAATTTCTATAACTTCCTCAGTTGAGATTGCAGGCCTAAGACCCTCAGGGAGCAGAGATACGCTTTCACCTAAGAACAGGGCCCGGCACGCATTGGTTTGGAGCTTTTATGGAAACGAAGTCCCCCATGACTTCGCGAGAATTTACGAAGTCCCTCTCGACGTAAAAATCAATAGGGAAACCCTTATTCAACCAAAATAACAATAAAAACAGCGAAAAACGCGCATTTTGAATCATCTAGTATAATAAAAAATGAAAAGAAAACATTTCGAGTCCATTAAAGGCAGTGGCTCGGCAAATCTCAACCTAGTCAAATTTGCGTTTACTTGGGCTATCCAATACGCTGATCCCGGAAATTCACTTTTGAAAGCTTGAAACCAGCGAAAATAAGCGTTTTTTAATGCCCTTCCCTTTGAAATTGGACGAGTGGAGCAAGGCCGATGACGCTAAATCGTTGCAGGACCCAATGGTTATAGCGTTGCCGCGGGCAGCCTCCAATGGTGAGAAGGAAATTGCCACGTCCAGATGCGTGTAAGATTGGCCTGCGCATAAGTTTGAGAGCAATTTTCTCGGCACAGAAAGCATGCTGTGCAACCGGGATTGCACTGTTTTCATACTTGGACGATAAGGAACCTAATACGTTAAAATCCCGAGTTGTTGGATTTGCCTATCCACTGCCTTTGAAGGCTCTGCCATTAGGTATAGTACCATTTTAGTGCACGGAATGTCGAAAATCTCTTAAGCCAACCAAATATGTGGCCTCAACAGTCCGGCGATGCATTTTTCGGCATATAGTTCAAAGGACACCGCATGTGATTGGGGCGCGATATCTATCAACGCGCAGATTTACATTACTTTTGGCTCAAAAGAAGAGGAGGGACAATGGTTTGATTCGCTCTCTTCACTATATAATAGATTTTTGAGCGTTTTAATCGTCCAAATCAAAAAGGTCGAAAACTTATGTGAACTCTCCGATATTTATGCTCCAAACCAACCCAGTTGGTTTGGTGTTGGTCTAGAAACCAACAAATTCGAAGACGGATATTAGGACACATAAGTTTCTGGAACTTTTCACATAACATAGTTTGGAGTAATATTGTATACACATAGCCCAAATTCGACTTCATGTGATTGTTTGTGCGCTGTAAACAAGCCATTTATTTGTTCGAGTCCTGCGTTTGAAATTCGCGCTCTTGCGAAAGAGCACGTTCAACCCGTAAAACTGACATGTTCATGTTTTTGTTGCGCTTCCTCCAGGAACTTATAAAAACGATATCCCCTTCGCTTCTAGCTTCAAAAACGAAGTCCAGTTTGACCCCAACCCATCTGTGCCGGGCCCTGCCTAAGAAATATGTTCTTGCAAGAAAATCTCCATAGTGCGTCCCTCAAGTCAAGTCCCTTTATTGGTTGCGGAATAGAGGCGTAACAGGCTATCATAGACAGAAGCTCAAATTTGAAAAACATCTTGCTTGTAAGATTTATGGTCGAACATAAAATTTCTTTGTAAATGTTCTACAAGCAATAACTTTCTGCGGATGGAAGCAATCGATGAGTATAAGGTTGGAGGGGCTAGAGTAAAGAAATTAGCAGGGCCCACCCGTCTATTCCTTTTCACCGCTCGCGTCAAGTGTAAAATTTTCATAATTTGTAAATAGGTATGGACACATGTGCTGAAGCGTGGTCAAAAAGCGGCTTCTTTTTTGTTCGGTCAGAAAAATCTCTCGGCTGCAAAGACTCTATGGGCTCTTTCATGTTGCAAAATAATCTACAAAAGTTTCTCTATCTATCTAATTTAAATAATATACCTACCAGTTCTCATAAGCGAGCATAGCCATGTCAAAAAGACAAATTATAGAAAATCGCTGTGGAGTTTTTGAGTTCTTGTTTCTTTATCAAAAGGATTTTTTGCAATTAGTATTTCTCTGATAGTCAAAGAACTGCTCAACAAATAGAAACTAAGATTATAAAAAAGTTGATTCGAAAGAAGCTACGATACCTTGAATTTGCAAATTCAAATCGGACAGAACTTAGCCTGATATGACAATTAGCTCCAACTCATAGCCGAGTAAAAATGAATCAAGCGCGAGATGAGACAAACTAACTGTTCCTGTGGAGCATTCCCAATTGTTTCTTGTAAAACGTTCAATGACTCCGGGGACGTGATGTTCATACTTCCTGGAACTCATTTTGCTACCAATTACAAAGACTACCCAAATGTGAATAAAACCTCACCTTGTCTCGTTAGTAGCATGAATATACTTCCCATAAAGGCCTTTAGAAAATACGAATGCATGTATGAGTTCATGTTTTACAACTGCCTGCCACTGGTAAAGATCAGCGTAACCCATTTCTTTAAATTTGCCTGGACAAATGTTTACGTAGCCAGCGATCGGTCTGGAAATCTCATTTTCGATATTAAGCCAGATAGATAGCCGACACACTTCATTCAGATTAACGTGCAACAAGGCACGATTCATCTTCTAGAATGTTCCTATACTATGTTAACTCGCCTTTCAATCGCCTTGAACGTTCTGAGAAAATGCATTGAATCAAAAGCGATAGGCAGCGAGCTGACGTGGTAAAGGCTACTGCATGACGAACCGCAGAAGCAGTACTGGTTGAGCGGGCGCGAAGGCGACGCGCGCGTATCTTCACCACTGTGAATTCTGCGCTGTGTGCGCTCTGAGATAATAAAACCATCGCGCCCAAAGACGTTGCGCCTTTGTCCTTCAGCAGCCTATACGGAAATAACTCAGGTAAACAGACGATATGTTGCTGCGAAATCTTAAAAAATCTGTTGAGTTATTTTGAAAGTTCCTTCATTATTTTCACGATGTTGCTTGTGTCCAAATCTCGCAAAAGGACAACTACATCTTGATCCAAAAGCGTTCTTTAAATCCTCTTTCTGGAGAACTAGTTCGAAAACAAAAACTACAAAGAGCACTTTATCGCGGGACTTTGCACATTGCAAGCTCAATCTTTTCTCAAAATTTTTTCAAAACGGCTCTGAAGATAAGACGGTCGGTCGCTAGGGATCATCAAAAATCGTACAAAAGCCGAAAGATGTGGGTTTTACAGCTTCTCGCGCCTGTTCAATGTGTTTGCAGTGGAGGATAGTAGGAATGCTTAAAGGCAGTTGGATCGGCAAAATCCAACAACTCAGGATTTTAACGCGATAGGTTCCTTACCGCCCAAATATGAAAACAGTGCAATCCCGGTTGCACAGCATGCTTTCCCTGCCGAGAGAATCGCTCTTAACCCTACACGCGCTGGCCAATCCTACACGCATCTGGACGAGTTGGCAATTTCCTTCTCACCATTGGAGGCTGCCCGCCGCAACGCTATAACCATTGGGTCCTGCAACGATTTAGCGTCATCGGCGTTGCTCCACTCGTCTAATTTCAAAGGGTAGGGCATTGAAAAACGTTCATTCAACGTTCGGAAATTGAGCTGACGCATAACCAGAGGTATTGGACAGTAGAGTTGTACCTTTACAATGGCATTTTTTTGATTGGAAAAGGACCGATTACAAGAACAGGGCGTTGCAACCTCGATGATGCACCATGTGCAGCACCAATTCGAAACCTTTGAGAGCTCTCGACAACATTATTTAGTGGGAGAGTGATTCAGATGCCACTTTACACGGCTTTTGCAAGTGTGTTCCTCCTAGGTCCCTAATCTGATTGCTTATGTTTTCATTTTCACATGTAGCTAGAAAGTTGATGTGGCAAAAAATGTATATTCCTTGTAGATTTTTGTGCATAACCCAATCAAGCTTTGAAATTGTGCATACATATGTCCTCAAAAATGTGAAATGGAATGTAGAGTATAGTACTTCATTTCTAGCGAACTCGCTGGGCCTTATGTTAACACGTTGACGACGAGCCATTTTTTAAAGTTCTGTCCCTGTGGACGAGACGTTTCCATGCATCCCTACGCGTGGCCCATGTATGTATGCATGCATCCATGCACGAAGTACAAAATGTGCAAGCCCCGCCTCCTCTGAAAAGCTCCGCCCACTCGACCAAAAATGTCGGAAATTGCCCAAATCTCAAGTATCTATGCGATTTCCGCCACTTTTGAAAAGTGGGCGGAGCTCACTTAGGGGGCGGGGTTTGCCTGACGGTGGGCGGGGCCTGGCTAAAAGTTGCTTGAGGTCTTTGCGTTCACCCACAGCCTCATTCATGCTTTTTATGGACAAAAAAGGGTCCTTGTGAGAGACATAGGAGTGGGCGGAGTTTGCCAAAAGGGGCGGTGCTAATACATGAAGTACATCTGAGCCCATGTTGATTATATGAACAAAAACTGAGAGGATTGGACAGATAGTATTGAATTTAAGGCCGCCGCGCACCATTGCGCGGCGTCGTCCACAGGGACAGACTGCCTGCCGCGCACCATTGCACGGCACTGTCGTCAACGTGTTAACTTACAACAGGAGAAAGGGGAGGGGGGTCAATCGCTAAATCACAGTCATGTAAAAAGTCTCGGTAAAGCTTTGAATTTCCTGTTGAGAAGGATGCGGTATCATAAAGCGAGGTAATCAGGAAGAAAGACATCCAAATGGAGCGATGCAGCAGATTCGAAGCAGGAGCAGGGAAGCGGGAAGAGAAAGGCAATGCAAGGCTGCAGTGAAACAAGAAAAAGTGGGGAAAGATCAAGCCTTTAGACGCTTTAGGACCAGATAGATGTATTCTTTGCCGGGCTGAAGAACGCTCGAGCAGGACCAGGGACGACACACAGTTGTTTGATCTATACCATACGCAAGATGAATAGTGGACACAACGTATTCATGTGGTGTGTAGATTAGAACTGCCCCTCTACACTCCCATCCCCTTTCGGCGATATAATGTCCCATAAAGACAATTACAGGTAGGTGGCTTCAGCATCCTCTTTGTAAAAAAAAGGTTTTTCTTGATCGTATCGTTCTCGGTTCCCTTGGATGAGCTAATTCCAAGACTGTGCTTTGCAGCTTCAAAAGATGTCAATAACCGCTTTTCCAGAAATGATATCCATGAAAGTCCCCGCGAAATGGACTTTTCGTGCGAATAAAATGGACTTAATACATGCGTTGCGATAAGATATCGCATTCGCGAATCCATTCATTCCATACAAAACTTCTTCAGCAAATCTTTCTCCAACTTGCCTCAACCTGTTTACCGACTCTTGCAAACTCATTTCTACCAAGTGGTCGGTATCTAACTAGGGCCGGCCTAACAATATGATGACAGTCACATGAATATCCTATGCTTTCACACTTCATCATACATCAAAAAATGCCATTTGTTATCGATAACTATGCATCGGAAACATCTTCAAGATTAGAATTCACACAATATCCGGGCCTTCGCTTCACTTCTATGGATCTGCTTTGAGTCAAATTCGTATGCAGGGCTTTCTGGGGAAAGCAAACTTTGGCTAGACTTGCACTGCAATCTGTGAAGCACAATGCTTATATTGTAGGAAACCTTGCTACTACCCAAAGAGTTCTCTAAATCGGAAAACTACGAGTCGCAAAGGATGACTTCGCAAATGTTCTACTTCAGCTCGGTCTTTCAGCATTAATGTTTATATCTCTAAGTAGTTGAATGTATGGACTATCGCTAGTAGAAAATTTTTTGCAAAATTTTTCCTGCTAGCTAGCGGCATTTCAGTAATTCTTGCGACCAATCTCAAAATCGCGTTTGAAATGCCGTCTTTGAGGTTCGGTTCTACGAGAATAGTCAAAAGATAGCTTCTGAGTAATTGTATTAAAACGCAAATCTTTCTTATTCTCAAATACAAATCATGAATTTAGTTTTGGTTGATAATTTGAAGAGCTAACAAACTTTATTCGATTTACATAGGAATATTCGCATCGATCTGATTTTTGGAACCATTTGAGTTTGTTAGCGAATATTTTGCAATTTGACCTTCTTTCATGATTTTTATAGCGTTTGTATGAGTTTAGAAATAAACACTTATTGCATACTTCATAAAAGACAAGAAACTTTTTCACTCACTTGTTAGCTTAGAATGAGCTGAGGAACACATTCTCAAAAAATCGCCATCAAAAATATGCAAAAAGGTCAAAAATGGGCTTAGTCCTAGCTCACCTTGCTGCTGGGAGTAAAATGGGCTTTCAAGTCCATTTGATATGGAGGTAAATCCCATTTTGCCCCATTTTAAATGGAGTTTTCGCATGGTTCTTTCGCGAGAGCTCAAGTAGGGTTGAATCATTTTCATCACACCGCTTTGCCTCGTGGTTGCAATGAGATAAAAGTTTTTGGATAGCGCTAGCGAAAGTAGATTCCGACCAGTTTCTACCGCGAACTAATAAAATGGGGTTTGGAAGTCCATTTTCCTCCATTATGGACTTTCATGGATATCATTCCAGAAGTGAAAAGTGCTGTTTGGGCGGACTGCGTATGCCTGTCCTCGAGCGCGAGTGGCTCGAGGTTACGGTAGGTATGGTGTCTCCACTCACAAGCCAATCGCGCTCTAGAGCAGCAGGATACGCGATCCGCCCAAATAGCACTTTTCACGTCTGGAAAAGCGGGTTATTGGTACCATTTGAAGCTGCAAAGCACAGTCTTGGACTTAGCTCATCCAGGGGAACCGAGAACAATGAATATCGCAATTTGCCATCACCGCTGCCTCTAAGAATCCTGATTTGAATCAATGACACAGAAAGTCGGAGGTTTCGCGAAGTGCGGAACGCCGCTAACCGTATGCGCACCACTTTCCCTGCCTAAATTCCTAGGCACCTTCCAGTGGCTTACTTAGAATTTAGGGAGGGGGGGGGGGGTGTGGGGAACAAAAATTTCTTTGCGAGTAAGTGATAGAGGTGCAGAGATTTCTTAGATGCTTTCCAAAAGTTTCGCAGTCCCGGAACCCCGAAATTAAAATAAAGAGGGCGGCGGTCACGCCCTCAAAAAGTTTTTTCACAAGGTAAATTTAATTTCTCGAATATAAAATTTCCAAAAAATCATCTTAATTTCACAAGCATAAACAAGCCATTTGCATCTTTATCACGCAAGTAAGTGACTTTCAAAAATTTCATGACTCTCCGGGAGGGAGGGGCTCGGTACGCCCCCTGGCGCCTTCGTATGGGATAGGCTTTACATAATTCGCAGAATTTCTTGAAGACAGCCTCATAAGCACGTCCGCGTAAGACATGTCACATCACAAGTAAATGATACCTATTCGAAGGTGGATCCAGCGAGCAGTGAGATGCAAAGGCAAGAGTATTCTCCCCGCAACCGTCTACCTTCGCCATAACAAACAGGATAAAGTCAGCGTTACGAAGTTTGCCTAAAAACAAATTTTTGGTTTTATTTGTCAATCTCATAATATTAGATACCTCCCCAGTTTCCTTGCTTTGTACGGCAGTCCTTATTTCCACATGTACACTTCTAAAAAGTTCTTACTCACATTTTTGCATTGCCTACCACCGATTGAAAACAATGTTTACCAAACCTGCATGCTAGTGAAAGTGTTGAGGGCCAAACGCATCCCCAACTCAGCCAGAGAAGGAAGCGCAAACTTCCTTGATGCTAGAGATCTCAATTCCCGGTTAACTATCCTACAAGCGTCTACTACCTTTACAATGAGCACGCTGTGCTATCTTGTATATCCTTTGCTTCAATCAGTTCGGCGGCTGAAGGGCGGAGCTCAGTGACCTAATTAAGGCCAGAAAATGATCAGAGAGCATGTGTGCGAGTGGGGCGCAGAGTGCGTCGCGGACGCGAGCAGTCATCTTGTAGGTCATAGGTCCCTTTGCTTCAACCAGATCGCCTTCCAGAAGCCGATGTGGCTGAAGCAAGGGATACAGAGTTGAATGTCTGCTTGTGTATGTGTACTCCGTACTCATGTATTGAGGAAGCCGACCAAGTGGGAGGGCGGCAAGTGGGGAAGGGGGGAGGAGGGGGGGGGGGGGGTGGTGTACTTTTCCTTTTGTATCGCATCTTCGCAAAATTTGTGCTACGGGGCTGGGTGCTGGCGTAGGAGCGTAAGTCGCGTCCCCTCTCAGGTCCCCTCCCCTCCCCCTGTACTTAATTCTCTATCTGACTTATGAGAACCCTCATAAGTCAGATAGAGAATTAAGTACAAAGATGTCTAGAGCAGCGAGATATGACGCGTCCCCTCTCATGCCCCTCTACGCGGGATGTACGTGAAGGCACGTACATCCCGCGTAGAGGGGCATGAGAGGGGACGCGTCATATCTCGCTGCTCTAGACATCTTTGTACTTAATTCTCTATCTGACTTATGAGGGTTCTCATACACAGATAACTACGAATGTGAATGCCAGGTTACTGCCATACAAGATTAGATTTTCACCATTTTGTGTGATCTCCTCAGATTCCCAGGGGATCATCTCTCATTTTCAAAGTTAACTATCTTTCTGAGAACTTAAACGCTGTAAAATTGTACTGAAGCTATAGACGGAACTGCCAATCACGTTTCCGACAGAAGAAATGGAATAGGAATGTTATGGAATTTTCGATCCCTAGCTCGCGAGCAGTGGTTCATCGAAAGTTTCGATATTTTGAGATTCCCCCTCCACTATGAACATGTTTAGCGGTGCCGTAGTATATCCCGTACATCCTATATGAGAACCTTAATAAGATATATATCCAGATAAAGAAGGGAGAACAGGGCCCGGCACGCGTTAGTTTGCAGCATTTTTGGAAACGAAGTCCCCCATGACTTCGCAAAAATTTACGAAGTCCCTCTCGACGTAAAATTTATTAGGGGAACCCTTATTCAATCAAAATAACAATAAAAAAGCGAAAAAAAATGCATTTTGAACTATCTATTATAACAAAAAAGCAAAGAAAAAGCATTTCGAGTCGATTAAAGGCTCTGCCATTGGGTGCATGGGTGGCTACCATTTCAGTGCTCGGAATGTCCAAAACCTCCCGGGCCAACCAAATCTGTGGCAACAACAATCCGGCGATGCATTTTTCGCCACATAGTTTAAAGGACAGCGCATGTGATTGGAGCGCGATATTCTACCAATGCTTTGGTTTATACTATTTCTGGCTTAAAAAAAGGGGAGAAGCAGTGGTTTGATTCGTTCTCTTCGCTGTATTATAGATTTTGGGGCGTTTTCTTTGTCCAAATCAAAAAGGTCCAAAACTTATGTGAACTCTCCGATATTTATGCTCCGAACCAACCCAGTTGGCGTAGAAACCAACAATTCGGGAACGGGTATTAGGACACATAAGTTTTAGAAACCTTTTACATAATGTTGTTTGAAGTAATCTTATATATATAGCTGAATGTCTGTATGTCTGTCTGTATGTCTGTCTGTATGTCTGTCTGTCTGTCTGTACGTATGTGCGGAATAGAAATTTTTATTTCTGAACCGATTTGGACCAAACTTGGCACACATATACTTCGGGGCAGGGAGCGTGTCATAGGCTACTTTTCGTTATCGATCGATATCGATTTTATCGATTTTTTGCAAAATTTGAGCTACGGGGCTGGGAGTTGGCACAGGGGGGTAATCGAGCATGCTGATTACGAATTTAATAATGACAGGGCCGGGCGGAGCCGGGTTTGCCAGCTAGTATTGTATATACATAGCCCAAATTCGGCGTCATGTGACTGTTTGTGCGCTGTAGACAAGCCATCTGTTTGTTTGGGCGCTACGTTAGAAATTCGCGCGTTTGCCAAGGAACACGTTCAACTCGTAAAACCTGACATGTTCGTCGTTTTTTGGCGCTTCCTCCAGAACCTTGTAAAAACGATATCCCTCTTACCTATAACTCCAAAAACAAAGTCCAGTTTGATCCCGAACAATCTGTGCCGGGCCCTGAGGGAGAAGAAGTTGCGGGGATATACGTGCATACGGGCCTAAGTGAGCACACTGATTACAAAGAATGATAGTTTTGAGAATTATCGACTAACTTTTTCGGCAAACTTTGAGCTACGGGGTAAGAGTTACAGAGTGATCAAGCATGCTGATTATGGAAACAGGGGCAGGGAGCTGATACGTAGCGGGACAGTGGCAGAAAAATACTGTATAGAAATGGGGCAAATAGAATGAGTTCTGTTATACTATGTTGATAGGGACCGAGAGAAGTCCGGTAATCTATTGTCTTGTCGTTTTCCACTTTATGATCACCGTGATCCCCAATGGCTGGATGTCTTTTCTGCGCATTTTCTTTGAATTTGATGAAAATCACAAAGCTGTGCTAATCATGCTTATCATAAGAGTTAGCGATATATCGAAGCTACGGAAGTTTTGGTCAACCACTGGTTAGGTTTTTTTTTTTCTTAAAGGATTTACCAAAAATCTCGCTTCAGAATTTCATGCGTTCCGCCTAAAACATGGTTGGCACTGTTGATTATATGATAGGTGCGGCTTCATAAGCAAATATCAGTTTCATAAAATCATAGATGTTGAAGGTAGTCAAGCCACTTAAAGATCGATGGGCAGTCATATGCATAAAAAATCCAAATCTCTAGCCTACAAGATATAATCTCCCAAACGATAAGCTGCGCTACCTCTCCATGGAGACGTTGATGAGGGGGCTCCCAATCCTAGTAAAATACTATAGAATAAGCAAAGCTTTTAGGCTTTCCCTCAAACTTTTGTCATTTTGTATCGAACGTACTTTAAAGTATCGCGCGTGTACTGAAGCCACAGCTCCTCCGCATCGTTTTTCACAATCATCATTGCACCTGTAGGTACCATCATGTTCAATGAATCCTCCACCAGAACACGAACTGAAATGTAGTATCCTCCGTATTTGCTGTGTTGATTCTTCCATTCATACTATGAAGAAAAGGAATAAGTAAATCAGAAGCTCACGGGTTTAACTGAAGTGAGCTAAGACGATGGACCTTTAACGTGCTTTCAAAATAATCACGAGCGGTTGTGATGAGATCTTCTAGAATTTCTTGCTTATCCTCTGGAAGTCTGTAAACACTTTTGTTCAGGACGATAGCATAGCAAAAGCTCAAGTTCAGTGATAGTTAGAAATTGGTCGTGGGAAACATAAGTTCCGCCTGATAGAATTTCGTTTTAGTAGTATAAGTATCATATAAACTCGAAATTCTAAGAACAGCACTCTTGTCAATCTTGGCGAAGATAATACTTTCATGATCGCGCTCATGAGCCACTAACTGGCACTCTCGCCCGAACCATAACGTCATTTGATCGCGAGATAGGACTTCACAAAATGAAATCGCTGCTCTCACCCTCCGTCCTCAAGGTTTCGCTTACCCCCGCCCCTTCTCCTCCAACTTTCAAGTCGATCCCATACTGCAAAGAAAGCGCTCCTGCCAGTTTCCGACAGCTTCATTTGGGTGCACATGCTACGCGCATTCAAATGCCGTTCACCTCGGCCCTCTCTGCTATCAGCCACATGCCGGAGACTAGAGTATGTGAACAAGATTTGTGTTCTGCTTTGTTTCCGTTGCCTGTATGTGTTCATCACTTATTCCGCTTCCATCTGCTTGCCCTTTCGCTACCCCATCCTCCTCCGTCCTTCGAAGGCAGTGTGCGGACGAGGCGGGGGTTTTGGAATCTCAGGCATGCGAAAGTTGGCCCCTTCGAACATGATGCTTTCTACGAAGACGTGAAGGAGGTCGTCCGCAACGAGAAGTCCTTCTACAAGTTTGAGAGCGACTTCAATAAAAAAAATCGGGATGCCACCAAAGAATATAGACTCAAGAGATTTGAGAAGGTTCCGGAACGAAAACGGCAACCGTCTCGTGGCTTCCCTCTGCCGCACGATTTTTCCATGGAAACTATATCTCCATGAAACATTGCAAGGGATCGCCCAGAGCAACGACTCATGTAGGGATCGACGACATCCCCCAAACTGGAGGTGGAGCTTGGTCGTTCTCGGTAATTTCATCCTTGCAACGGCTCCAATCACCGCTTCCTTCAAGCATATCCATCGAGAGAACTGTTATGGCCTCGCAAAAAGGAAGGAGGTCGTCCATGGCTGTAACACTTTGGGGAAGCTCATATTAAGTTGTGATGGCCCATCGACGAGGAACCAACGAGACTAAATTAGCTTCTGTAAGGATGCGAGCTTTTGGAGAAAATGCTCCACGACACGTGAGGAGAACAAGGAACGCGTCTCGAACGATAACAAGCTATTTTTCTGTAACGAAAAGCCTTGAAGTAAGATGTAAGTGCAAACCATCTCAAGTTACTGATAGCAAATCCTAGCCGCAGGACAGTTTTGCAGTAGGACCTTCAGAGGCACGGGCAAGCAGAGATACTGGAATCAGCCAGAAGAAAGCGAAGTTTCGAGAAGGACTGAGGAGACCTCTGCGGTGTCATGTGCTGCTGACCGCATTACTGAGCAAAGACGGACCCCGACTTCTTTCCGACAAATTTGGAACCGATCGCGAAGAACTTGTGCAACAAACTTTTCAGCTCATCGATACTCCTACGAATACTCGTTGTTCCCACTGAAGAAGAATCGGATTTCTACCTACTGAAATACGCGCTGTAAATCATCCATGAAGACGCACGGGTCTAGAACCGGATCACCTTTCTGTTGAACTTCGGAAGCAGGGAAACACTGTCTGCACAAAGTTCTCGAATTGCATCTAACGTCTTGCCTCCAAAAGCAAAGGATTCCCGTACCAAGGTCGAACTTTGAAAACCGTCTCTCTTTTCGAAAAAGGCCAACGTGCGGATCTCAAGAACTATCGTCCGATGTGCTTGCTAAGCGTGCTGTACAAGTCTTAACGAGATCGTTCTCACTTGCATATCATGAACACTGGATGAAGCACAGCTCCAAGTGCATTTTGTAAAGGATTCAGCTGCACATGAACCATAATATTTGGAGGGTGATGAGAGTATGCCGGGACTACCTACTGCCATTCGCTCTAACCTTCACGGATTACGGGAAAGTCTCAAGGGCATTCCACTGCGACAGCCGATAAAGGATTGGATGCAGCTTCTGCCTCGAATGAGCCGATACTGTAGCCACGTTGAAAACTCTAACGAAACACCAACGCAGCGCTTGAGCGCAGCATTTTTTTAAGATTAGCCGTCACAAGCAGCATTTCGTCTGACTTCACAAAATGATGTCCCAATTGATATCCCGTTTTCGTGATTCAGCGGAATACGTTGCGAAACAGCGATGGATTTGCCACATTCTGAGAAGAACTGACAGATGGACATTAAGAACATCTGAGTGGGTTCCTCGCTAACAATAAGCAAAACGTCTTCTTATTCATTATCTGCGGAACACTTTTCTGAAAAGAAAAAGTGCTTGTGGAAGCGAAGGCAAAAACATGATTGCCGACAGAGATTAAAGTGGTATCTATTGCACAATAATCAACGTCGCTAACGGCCAGACCATTCGACATCTTGAAGCCATCGTACACTCAAATTGAGGTTGGTGGGATCTTGACACATTGCGGGAACGTGGCTCTTGACTAACGCAATAACTTAAGTCCGATCGAAAAAGGCGCATTCTGAAACGAGGAGATCGCTTGGACGATGCTATGAACGGGGGGGAGGGACTCCGATCCTGCCTCCAATCAGTGGGCGTTCCTCTAACGCCCATCCGAGCCCGCCTAACCCCCTTATGGATAACTCGCCCGCGGGTTTTTCCAAAACTAGCATTTTCGAGGTTCCCACGGATACTTGGCTTCACATTCGGAATTAAGGACATGAGGTGGCCCCGGAACAAAAAAAACATGGAAGTCGAGAATTTGGCTGGACGATGGTTTTAACATCTATCGTTACTCGTACTCTTGTGTTGTCACGTCAAATGCGAGCAGATGTGGTTTTTCTGGAGATTCCGCAGGTAACAAACACATTTGGATCAGCGTTTCGCGGTGAATGTCATGACATAGTCACAAATCGAAAGTTCAATGTTACCAGTTATCCTTTTCCCATAGGTATCCGAGTAAAGTTTATAACTTAACTAGCTGGCTTACCCGGCTCCGCCGTATCCGGACCAAACTTGGCACACATACACTTCGGGCCCCGGCGGGTGTCACAGTCCACTTTTCGTTATCGATTGATGTCGATTTTACCGATTTTTATCGATTTTTTTGCAGAGTTCACCTACAGGGCTAGGAGTTGGCACAGGGGGGTAATCGAGCATGGGGATTCCGAATACAATATTAGTTTTCAGAATTATCGATTACTTTTATTGATTTTATCGATTTTTTGTAAATTTTGACATGCGAGGCTGGGATTTTGCACAGGGGGGTAATCGAGCATGCTGATTACGAACACAATATTAGTTTTCAGAATCGTCCATTACTTTTACCGATTTTATTGATTTTTTTGTAAAGTTTGACCTGCGGGGCTGGGAGTTTGCACAGGGGGTAATCGAGCATGCAAATTACGAATACAATATTAGTTTTCAAGATCGTCCATTACTTTTATCGATTTTATCGATTTTTTGAAAATTTGAGCTAGGGGGCTGGAATTTGGCACAGGGGTGTAATCGAGCATGCTGATCACCCCCCTTGGGGATGATCAGCATGCTCGATTACCCCCCTGTGCCAACTCCCAGCCCCCTAGCTCAAACTTTGCAAAAAAATCGATAAAATCGATAAAAGTAATCGATAATCCCGAAAACCAATATTGTATTCGGAATCCCCATGCTCGATTACCCCCCTGTGCAAACTCCCAGCCCCGTAGCTCAAACTTTGCAAAAAAATCGATAAAATCGATAAAAGTAATCGATAATCCTGAAAACCAATATTGTATTCGGAATCCCCATGCTCGATTACCCCCCTGCGCCAACTCCCAGCCCCGTAGCTCAAACTTTGCAAAAAATCGATAAAATCGATAAAAGTAATCGATAATCCTGAAAACCAATATTGTATTCGGAATCCCCATACTCGATTACCCCCCTGTGCCAACTCCCAGCCCCGTAGGTGAACTCAGCAAAAAAATCGATAAAAATCGATAAAATCGATATCGATCGATGACGAAAAGTAGCCTATGACACGCGCCGGGGCCCGAAGTGTATGTGTGCCAAGTTTGGTCCGGATCGGTTCAGAAATGGAATTTTCTATTCGGAACATACGTACACACAGACAGACAGACAGACAGACATACAGACATACAGACAGACAAACAGACATTCAGCTTTATATATAAGATGGCGAATTACACGCATATAAAAGTACCATGAATTTTGTTGACATAATATCGTGCCGCAGCCTGTGACAAAGCAGTTTATCCCAAAGCAACTAACATGATGTTTTCGCGTAATCTGCATGTGCAACGCAAGCAATAAATTTCATAACGTAGTAAGAATTTTAGTGATTCAATGCTCTCTTTCCTCTACTGGAGACTTATACCGCAACGACGACACAAATATTACATGGAAAGCTAATCTCTATCTTAGCTGGAGTTAGCTCGATGAGCGGCTCAGACCCCAAACGGTCGCCTGGCCTGGATCGCGTGCGCGAACTACGTGTGGTCTCATTTTTGCACCCCCTAAGCGTGTGGCTTAGCGTCGGACTTCAAGAAACTAAGTTGTGAGGAAAGGTTCAGAGGACACATTCGCAACGCGGTGCGAGCTTAGGAGGCGACTGCCGGAATCCGAGCCTCTCGATTGGACTCACTCTAAATGAGACGGGGAGTACAATCGATTCAACTAGGTGCTCACTTTCAAGTAGTGGCTACGCATCCGTAGCGCATGTACATTGCTTAGCGATCTCTAATAGACGCGGCAGATTCGAATTAAAGGCAGTATCCGGGCAAAATCGATTCTGAGGTTTTATTCTTACCCGGACACTATTCGCTAAATCTGAAAATCCACACCAGAGAAAGCGAAAACGACAAAAAAGGGCTTTAAAGGCAGGTGGTACGGGGAAAGTGCGAATGCGGACTTTCCACACCTACATGGCCTTCTGGTTGCGCTGAGTCCACTGTCCACTACTGTGCTTCAAAAGTCGAAAAAGTGCTTTCTAATGCGTTTT